TCCTTCTCAGATTATCCTGACTCTTGGCAGGACCATTTCCTTGCAGCTATATGACTAACAGCTCAGCTTTTTTACTGGCTTCTTCTGGAGGCTGCCCTCAGCTCCTAGAAGATGACAGCAGTTCATTGCCAGGTGGGCTTCCCCACCAAGGCCACCTTGCTTTATCAAGCCAGCAGGAAGAGTCCCGTAAGCAAGTTGGCTAGCAAGATGGAGTCTTATATGTTGAATGTAACCACAGGAGTGCCATCTCAACAAGTTTGCCAAATTCTTCTGGTTAGCAGTGTAGCACAGGCCCCATAACAATCAAGACAGAGGGATTTCACAAAAGCATGATCACCAGGAGGCAGGGATTATCATGGGGCTACATTGCTGTCTTTCTGCCACAAGGTTTTATTCATCTAGTTCACATCCATAGTCATGTAAGGCAAAAGAAGAATGGAGCCATGTACTGCAGGCCACATCCAGCCCCAAAGCTCAGCAACAAATCTCAGGTCCCACACTCCAGCATCCAGTCCCACACTCTCAGCTCAAAAGCCACCAGGGAGTCTTTGGATGAGCATCCAGTTCCAGTTCTGAGCATCTCAGTCTATGCATATACTATACTTTGATGAAAAGTATAGTATTTTTTAAATGCTGGACACATGTTGTCAAGACCTCCTGAGTTTGTGTCATGGGCACGTCCTCAACCTTGGCAAAATAAACTTCCTAAATTGATTGAGACCTGTCTCAGATACTTTCAGGTTCATACCTTATATGTGTCCTTTCTCAGGAAACTACTGGAGGATGTTTTCCATCTAATCAAGAAAGTTAATCAAGAGAAAGACATGGAATCCAGGAAACCCAAGGTCTAATTCAGAAGACAGAAGAAGAGAATTCCCAGAAATGAAAGACAGTGGAGGGGGCTCAAGAAAAGAGCTGAGCTCGAGCTGCACTGGAACTGGTCCAGATGGAAGAAAAGACACCCTGAGGTATCTAAGAAGAGGAAATGAGTAGACTTATAGAACGGTACCTAAAGACATTGAAAACACCAAGAGCAGACTTAGAGAGAAGTTTGAGGTGTTCGTGCTAAAAGTGTCTAGAATTGTTTTTCCCAGTACCATCGCCACCTGCTACATATGGCTGTTTGAATTTAAGTCAAATAAAAAGTCTAAAACTTCAGTTCTGCAGTCACACTAACCACATGTTGTATGTTCAATGGCCACATGTGGCTAGTGGTTACTGTACTGGACAGTGCTGGTATAAAACATTGCTACCATTGCAGAAAGCTCTCTCAGACACCACTTGTCTAAAAAAATCAAGCCAAGGAAGAAAATAAAAGAAATGGAGAAAAATACCAACTTTCAGAAAAACAAGCCCTTGTAGAGGAAATGAAAAATAATCATAATATATAGGGTTCAGCTGTGAATAGCCCTTGGCCAATCATGAAAATGTATACATGGAGTTCTGAAATGCATATCTAGAACTTTATTGAGGAGCAGGAGGTGAGGCTTGTGGTTTAGATGAAAGAGAATTAAAGCCTCATCCTCCCAGATGGGAGCTTAGTAAATGATGCCTATGAACAAAAAATCAGGAAGGAGCAATGCAGACATTTTGTTAAGCGTGTAAAGGAATATAACAAAAGATTCAGCTAAAAGAGTCTAAGTGATGTCTCCAGGGAGGGGAAAAAAGGAAAAGACGAAACAGGAAGTGCTGATTTAATAACAAGTCTTACAAAACTTAAGCTTGACTCCTAAGCTATGTGCATATAGAAGTTGATCAAAATAATGAATCAAAGAAATAACAAAAACTGTTACAATTCCATCTCCCTTATCATGTCTTTTTTGGTCCCCGGGCAGGACACTTCTGTATTTTCATATTTAGGGAAGCATTATCGAAGTTCTGCTATTGACACATAACTGCCCTGGCTTTGGTTTGTAGCCAGTTGTACAAGCTTCTAGTCAAATGCCTGTATATTCATAAGTTCTTAGACTATTGTCTGATTTTAGAAGCTTTGAGGTATTTGGTATTTCAGTTAAATACAGAATAAAGAGTGAAGCTTCCAATAAAATGTAAAAAAAAAAAAAGGTAATAGTAAAAATAATAATAGCTAACACTTACTGAACACTTACTATGTGCAAGGCATATAATAAGAACCTACCAATAAATCAGGGTGTCAATGTACTCTCGTTCCATAGATGAGGCCATAGATAGGCCAGTAAAATAGAGCTCTTCTTTCATCTCTGGAGGGCATCATTCCAGATTAGAATCTGCAGGGTTTAGTAAGAAGGTGGCAGTGTTTTCCTCCTGTGTGTCTAGGAGGGAAATGTAAGCTGCTTGTTGGTACACTCAGCCCTGTGTAGCCACGGTGGGAACACAGCCAGCTCTCCTGTGAGTCTCTTACTTCTTATGTGCTTTTGCAAAATATTAAGGCAACCTGCAGCAGGCCAATTTAGCAGGGGCTTTGGGGCTTTCTTTTACGAGGAATTTATCCCAAGAGGTCTAAGCCAGGGTAATTTTGTGTGAACTCACTCTTACCCCCGCTCCTTTTTAAACCCTGTTCCTGGGATGCACACTTCACTATGAATGGAGTCTTGGGTTCTGCTCATCTGTCATACTTCTTTTACTATCATACTGGTTTCAAAAGTAATGTATAAAGAGTATCTTAGTTCATTTGGTTTGCTGTAACAGAAATACTACAAGCTGGGTGGCTTATAAATAGAAATTTACTTCTCACAGTTCCAGAGGCTGGATGCCTAAGATCAGGGTGCTGGCATGGTTGGGTTCTAGGATGTTCTTTAAGGTTGCAGGATGGCCGTCTTCCCTCTTTAACTTCACACGGCACAGAGAGGGCAAGGGAGCTCTCTAGGGCCTCATTCATAAGGGTACTAATCCCATTCATGAGGGCTCCACCCTTATGACCCAATCACTTTCCACACATTGAGGGGAAGGATTTCAACATATAAATTTTGGGAGGACACATTCAACCCAGATTGTATAGATTTTTCAGGGCTAATAATCCCTAAAGATATTGAGATATATGCAGAGGAACCTTCATTCTCTATTGGTGAAACATAAAATAGTGTAAGGATTTTGACTGGCAACATGACAATATTTATCAATTTTCAAAATGTGCATATATTACCTGCCTCAGTAATTCTACTTCTAGAAATGTAACTTGCAGATAGATTTCATATGAGTATTCAAAGGCAATGCACAGAGATGCTTCCTGTATGTTTTGTTTTGCATTGTTTTGCTTTATTTTGCAATAGCAAAAACCTTGAAACAATCTAGATGTCCATTAAAAAGTAATGATTAAACAATTATACTCTATCCAATCAATAGAATTATTTGTGGAAATTAGAGTAGGATATGTTTATATGATGTTTTATAAGATGTCTATTGCATGTTATTAAATGTATCAATTTTTGACAATATCTATATTGAAAATACCTGAAACTTAACAATGACTACATTTAAGAAGGTCAATGCTCATTTTTTACTTTATGTAATTTTGTACCCTATGTTTTTAAAATATGGGCCTGTGTTATTTTTTAATTCAACAACATGTTTTACAGCATATAATGACTAGTAAGTCACAATTCTAGTTTGTAGCTACCAAGTGAGTGATCTCATATTATGTAAATATCCTTTGGTCATAAGACCTGTGAGAACATACAAGATGAACAGGTATAATTAGTTAAGATGATACAATTATGTTATATTTTATTTACTACCATGTGAATCATGGAAAGGGAAGAGGTGCATATATTTGAAATATGAGATTACTTTCTCAAACTCCTGGCCTCAAACAATCTGCCCACCTCAGCCTCCCAAAGTGCTGGGATTACAGACGTGAGCCACCACACCTGGCAAGATTACTTTCTAATGTTTAACTTAAAAAAAAAAAAAAACCTATTACAGTACATTTAGTCTCAAATGCGTATCAAGATATAGGTGACTCACAGGGGTTTTGCCTCAGTATAGGAGCAACCCAGAGAAATAGCAGTTCTCTGTCATGTAAGAGCCTGTGATTTCTGTTGCTATGTGTAAGGATATACAGACATACAGACAGAATTAGATTTTAAATTAGAAAACAATAATTCAGGAACAAAGAAAGCACAAGAGAGACATTAAGCAAGTTTTAAGAAAATTGTTAGATAGTTTTTACAAAGGAACTGTCTTATGTTCGGATTTGCCAAATAGGGCATTATTTTCTCTGTAAGTTACCGATTTCCGTTTTATCGGCTCTTGCTGTTCAGAAATTGAGCCTGTTTGTGTCTGCATTCACACGTTGCTTCTGGGAGCCAGGAGTCATCTGAATTAATAGAAAATCACAAACTCAGTTACATATCAGAGAGGCTCTGTATTCCTAGCAGCTTGCCTTATCTAAGGAGGGAGAAGGTGCTAAATAGGATTTTGGTATACCCGCCTGGTTTAGTAACAGTAAAATGATGGGGTCGAATCTTTCTAATTACACCCTGTGGATATCTTACCTAGTGCCATAGTCAAATGTTTTCACCTTTAACTTCACTCATCACATTGTTAAAAATTGCTTTTGCCAACTTGATGTTTACTGGGTCTTTCTCTCACACTAAGTTTCTCTCACACTAAGAGCAGTAACTTACCTGTAGCTCACATGGTGAATCTTACCAGGGTGAGTGCATTTGCCGCCATGAAGACTGGACAACTGATGTGAAGAAAGCAGTTATGGAAGCGTCAAAGCCTCTCAAAGCCATGCTATTTTCCACTAGATTCTTTTGCATAAACGTAGCATTGAATGGGGACTCAGTAAACGGGAAATTCAACCTCAAATTGAACTACATAGGCTGGAAGTTAGGTAAAATTTGATTCCATTTGAATAGTTCTAAGCAAGCAATTTGTTACCCTTTATCCTTTAGAGGAATTGATGAACAGGTGGTTTTCAGAAGATCACTTGGTAAATTTAGCTTCTGAAATTTGAGCAACTCAAGATCTGATTGGTTGCTCTTGCCACATGATAATCCGGAGCCCAGGCATCACACTGGCTTTTGCCTGGGGTTCTCAGGAGGGGAGAGTTGGGAGAGGCTTTGCTGCTGAGGAAATTTATTTGGTAGATTGAAGGTAAGGCCAGTTTATGACTTTTTCTGTAATACTCTTTCAGGAGATGTTCCACCACTTCCCTTGAAGTATTTTTTGAAGGTTTGGGCCATAACTGAGGAAATTAGTGGTAGAAATATGGCTAGAAAAGTCTAACCCCATTGCCCTACTGAGGCCCTACTAATATCTGCTATGTACAGCGTGGGATTAGAGTCAAGTCCTATACTAACCAATTTATTGCTCGCCTGAATTGGCTCTCTTGTCTAACATTTTTTTGCGTTTGGTATTTCTCCCTAAATATATTTATATGAAAAAGAAGATATGTTGCCCTATGTTCCTATATTTATCCTGTTCTACTGGGCTTCATTTGCCTGAGGAGTGGCAGTTTCGCTAGCTTGACAAAACCAGCCACTGCAGGGTATTGGTTTACACGGCAAACATCTTTGGATGAAGGGACAGCTGTTCCGACTCATCATCCACTTCATATCAAGAGTCCTGCTCTCCGGCGTCAAACTGTAGAGGCCTTGAGAGATCCTTTTGCTATTTTCTGCATTAGAAGCTTAGGCTAAGGACTGACAATCCTATATGTACTTCGATCAATGCTTTACAACTTTGTTATTTTTCAGGTTTGAACGAGCGCTACAGAAACAAAAGAAAAAGTCTGTATAAGCCAATGGTGTTCGGGAAGAAAATAACCCCATTGCCTTGAGGTTTCTTTTTTTCTTTTAAAATTTATTGAATTTATTGACATGTATTTTTATGGGTTCCAATATGAAGTCTAAGATATACAGCAAACAGTGGATCAGGGCAGTATGGAAAACTAAGTCAGCTCTTAGAATTTTGGTGCTGGGGGGAAAAATTTCAGCCTCTTCTGAAAGCCAAGCTGACCTTCTTTCACCAGATTTTTTGCTGGAAAATGTCTTTTCTCTAAGTGCTTTGAAGTTTAAATTCTCTGTTCCCTGAGTCCAAACTCTCTCACTTCCTTTCCTCAATTTCCTTTTGCAATTTTAACTAAATTGATTATGTAGAAGTAGCAATTTCAACACTGAAGGAATAAAGATAAAGAAATTTGAAGCTTCTGCTGCTTATACTTGTATTCTAAATGTCTTCTCTCCCTGAGCCTGCAACAATATATGAATTTATAGAATAGTTTAGCATTAAATTTCAGTTTTATAATGTCATAAGATAATTTCAGTGCTGGGGATAGACTCTAATGTGTTTTCTTTGTATGGAATATGAAAAGTTTGTAGGTGCCACTACTACTCTGGAAAAATGGCAGATGACGAAGAATATGAGGAGGTGGTGGAGGTAAGATTTAAAAAAAAAAAAAAAAACAGTGACAGCAAACTATTTTATGTAGTGACAATCAAAGCCATGTAGGTGAATTAATCATTTGAAAAATACATTGTCTATTATAACTTCACAAAGAGTCACCATTTAAAGCATAAGAAAGGAATATTTTATGTTCAGTTTCACTGTAATTATGTGGGATTTAGAATTGAAAGGAAATATCACTGTTTCCCACTTTTGCTTTTCTTTAAGCCCTCAAAAACTAAGTGTGGAGTACAGGCAGGTTTTAATTTGTCTTCTAAAACTACTTTCTTCCCCAGTTCCCACTCGCAATGTTCAAAGGGCTAGTGAAGGAGAGAAAGTTGTGAGAACAGAACTCTGTCTCTTAGTGTCTGCATAGCAATAGAGGGAAAGATCTACCCCTTCATCTTTGCTTCAACTAGCTAATTATCTATAGGGCAACATGGGTTAGATATTCAGAATAATCATATGTATGAAATTGTATGAGCATGTGAGACTTTATACATAATATGTACACATGTGCACACACACACACATACACGCAAATATAAATAAAGGCATGAAGATCACAGTGACAGTTGGAGCCACATCTTGCCACCAACTTCAATATATTTACCTAAGTAAACAAGACTAGCTTTTGCTTTTGAATTTTGAATAAGAACAAAGACTATAGTGAGTATCTTGAAAATTTTCCTTCCAATTTTTGGTGGACATCTAACACATTTTACAAAGCTGTTAATCATTTATTTTATATTTATTTTACATGGTTTTGTTTTTATCATCTTATGATTTTTCCTCACCAGCTCTTGCCTTTAGCTTCACATTCAGGAAATAAAATCTAAAGGCTTGGAACTATAATACACATAAATACAGTGCCATGAATCTGAATGTGCTTATGAATTATCAATTAATGATGATAATTTAAACATATGAAAATCTCTAAATGCCTAAGGCATTTGGAGGCAGTTCTGAAAATCTGTGCTTTTTAATAAGACCGAAATTAACTGGAAGAGCTACCCAGAACCAAATTCCAGGTGGCAGTGCCAAAACTGGTCTTTGGAAAATTATTGTAGTGACCAGTCTATATTTAGATGAAGAAAATTTTGTTTATTCTATGAATGAAATTGCTTTTATTACTGAACGACATGAGGGAAAAATAGAATGAATCTCATACAATGTAACACTAAACCTCTCTGGGTTAAATGCTGGTGACATCTTTCATGCTGATATTATCACTAGTGTGCATCTTGCTTATATCTCTAAGGGTCAGAAGTATCACTATCAAACACTAATACAATTATAAATTAAATTATTTTCCCTGTGATAATAATGCCAGTAGTAGTTTCTAGTCTTCAACTTAAATATCCCTTGTCTTTCTTAAAATAATTTTATGCCTTTGCCACTGGAAATTAGCGCTAGACTCAATTGATTTAACTAGATGTCATAAAAATGGAGGGGGCTATTTTTAGATATCCCAACCCTATCATTTTGTTTCCATTACAGCTTCTGGGTCTCACCAGCAGGTGATAAACGAATAGACTGCCTGCCAGAAAATATTGAACTGAGATCTCTTTGACCTCAAAAAAGATCATGAGCATGGGAGGGTTGTGCATTTGAAAAAATTGCCAGGGAAGATTTTAGAAAACAGAGAGCAAATAGCTTTAAAAATATGCAGAAAACAGAGAACTGGTTTTAAAAATATATCTCCTTGGGATCTTGGACATCTGAAATAAAGTTTTACTGTTCTCTCTACTCACACTTAAACTTGGAAAGAAAGAGGAAGAAGCAAGGATATACTATCTAATTAGTGGCACAGCTCTAAAAAAAGAGTGAGATTTGGCATACAAATTAATGCCAACCATTTAAATAATGTTGCCTCTTTTATAAGCGTATTTCTAAGATGCATTTACCAAGGGTGAGAGCTCAGCAAAGGTAAAATTGAATAGCTTCCAAGGAGCTGCTTTTACTTGGATACTGAGAAAATCCAAAATAGTCGCGAATCTTCCATTTGAGTTTAATCTTTCTTCCGAAGCCGCTGATGTTTTGTGTGACCATAGGAATGACTCCATGTGGCATCAGCATCAAATAATATTTCCTAGAGTGTCCAAATGGTATTTCTCATGTGCTAACATCACAACTGTAAAAAAGCAATTCTCTGTCCTGTCAGTGCTTGTGATTTTTGTTGTGATCTGTAACAACATACAGGCAGAATTAGATTGTAAGTTAAAAGAATAGCTCAAGAGTAAAGAAAGCACAAGAATAAGGAATATTAGGGCAAGTTTTAGACGATTGTTAACACAGGTGAAATAGAGCAGGCAGCCTATTGACAATGGCTAACTAATTTGATGACAATTCACTGAATAAGAAAGCGGGCCACCGAGGGAAATTTTGCATCTTAATGTTTTCCCTTCTTTTGAGTACTGTATTTGTTCCAGTGTCAGAGATAAGTGAAAATGAAGCATAAAGTGTTATACATCCAACTTTTTTTTTTTTTTTTTTTTTTTGAGACGGAGTTTCGCTCTTGTTGCCCAGGCTGGAGTGCAATGGCGGGATCTCGGCTCACCGCAACCTCCGCCTCCTGGGCTCAGGCAATTCTCCTGCCTCAGCCTCCTGAGTAGCTGGGATTACAGGCACGTGCCACCATGCCCAGCTAATTTTTTGCACTTTTAGTAGAGACGGGGTTTCACCATGTTGACCAGGATGGTCTCGATCTCTCGACCTCGTGATCCACCCACCTCAGCCTCCCAAAGTGCTGGGATTACAGGCTTGAGCCACCGCGCCCAGCACATCCAGCTTTTGACTGAGAAATGAGCCAAGTGTTTCATCTTTATCCCTTTCCTCTTGTGCTTGGCCTAAATGGGCCTCTCCTTCTGTTCACCCTACAGAGCAGGGTGAGGCTAAGGACAGGATTCCTCTCTCCTTACACATCTGAAACAAAATGTCAACTGACTCCTTTCTGCATCTATTTATTGCTGGTGATGTCAGAAGTAGAACAAAAGTAGACTCGGTTTCAGATCCAGGCTGCAGATCTGTCATGCAGGCCATGATGACCTCAGAGCCACCATGGCAAATTGCAGCCTGCCTTTCCCACACTTCGTGATGAAGAATCTTCTCATTTTCCCCTTCATCTCTTAGCGTTTACAAATTTTCATATTAGCATCGCTCTGTTTAGGACAATCACACTATTGAAAGGGACTCAACCATCACTCCAGAAGAAACTGATTACTTACTAATGAGGGCAGTGTAGGAATAATTGAGACATAGATACACTTTGGGATCTTATTATTCCCATGATACAATCCATTTAAAAATGCATTCACACTTGAGTTACTGTTTTATTTTATTGTTAGTTTGCAAACAGTGAGTTTGATCACAGTTCCTCTCTGCCCAACCCACACACTCAGGATCTTTTTATTGTATTCTCTTCTCAGCAAATTCTATCTTGGGGACCATAAAAAAAAAAAATTACATGTCCCAGTAAAGTAAAATAGCTTCGCTTAATTAAAAAACAGCCTGGTACACTTTTCTCAGCCCTCTGCACCTCTTTGTCCATTCGGGTGGCATCCACTTTAGCTTTCCTCCAGTATTATAAGGTGAAAATGGGTTCCAAAGTATGAACAGGCTTTCCCACAGACATTCCAAATCAGCTGAGCTAGTGCAGTCACCTAAGTGGTTCAGCTGAGGAGAGGCGAGGTGGTTTCGCTTTGGTTCTCTTGCCAACGCCTTTGTGCTCTATTTACAGTACTACACAGAAGAAGTGGTTTATGAAGAGGTGCCAGGAGAGGTAAGTCTCAGTCCACAGCTGCATAAACTGCATTCTCATTAAAGCAGGAAGAGCTTTCTCCTTTTTCACATTCCCAGGGCCACAAAGATGGCAAAAGGGATTATCTGACAGAAGTTCACTCACCTACCTGTGCCCAGAAGCTGCTGTGAAAACACAAACATTACCTGTTTGATGGGTTATTTCACCTTTTTTTGCTATTCAACAAACCCAAGATGGCAGGGATTGGTTCCCCCTGTTGCTCGTGTGGGATTTTTCATGTAAATGATGCTAATAGAATGTCAGTGGCTATCACCATTAACCAACTGCAACAGAAGGGATGGCCTTGGCTTTGTGATTGGCATAGGAACAAGCAGTTTTGTTGCCTAGTGTTGTAACTTGTAGGACACCATCTCTGCCACCAGGGATAGTGCCTCCAAGGCTTTGTCCCTGATGATGCATTGAAATGCTATTCAGATATTAGCACATTAGGAATTCTAAATAAGCTATTACCATAAATATTCCAAGTTCAACCTCTTTTTTTTTTCCAAGGCAAAATATCTATATCATGCTTTATCTTCTTCATGGAGCTGTTTCCCTTTGAGCATGACAAACAGTGATATGGATGGTTAATCCTGAAGCTTGTCCAGGGAACCTGTGACTGCACAGAAACTAACATCTGTAGATGCTGTAAATTGGTTTCTCACAGTCAACCATGCCTTAGTAATCATGGGCAGAAAACAACCTATTAGCAATGATGTGACAACACTAGTTGGGGGGTTTATAAATGTACAATTTCCTTTCTAGGTTCTCTTTTCATAATTGATGCTAGAACTGTCTCTTTGGTACAGATGGTATTAGTTGTGAAGGGAAAGATACTGTGAGATGGATTGAAGACTTGGCTCTTATCTTTTTTCTTACATGCATTATTTTTAACCTTGGACGAGACTCAAACTTTGAGTCTTAGTGTCTTCCACTATAGCCTGCTGTAAGAAATAGTAATTTCCCGTCTACTACATAGATTGGACTGTTGTAAGGATGAATACCCCATTATGTTGTCATCATTATTCTTGTCTAGCTAAGCATTTATTCGTGTAAATGGTACTCCAGTTCACCTTCATTAACTGACTAAGCCAAGGGAATGAAAATATCTTATAATATTGATGTGATTCATTTTTTTGAAAGTTCATTATTCTTTGTCTCCTACTACAGTGGAGAATGCCTAAATCCCTGCAGAATGAGTGACTGATTTTCCCTCAGTCATTTACAAGTTAATATGAAAGTCAAGAATTTGAGCTTTGTTTGATTATCTTAACTTTTTGTTCCCCAATCTCGTTTGCTTTTACTTTACCCAGACAACTTGATTTTCAACTGTTTTAAAAAATAGTTTATTGCTGATATTTCCCCCTACTTTGAAGTATTCGTGTGTCTTTCTGCAAATGCAAACTTAAGGCAATGTTGCAAAGTAATAAGGAGTAAGATTTTTACTCCACAAAATCCCAACAATCAGCATTCAGATTTATGTAACATAATGTGCCTTCATATGGCTATAGTATGTGGTTTTCTGCTTTGGCTTACTTTAGATATGGAAAAGTAACACCAGAAATGTAAATCTGACTTGAAGTTAGAGTAATATGTACTGAGATCATGGTAGCAGAGTTTTTACTTTCACAACAATGTTGAACTCCATATCAAATTTTCAGACAATAACAGAAATTTATGAGACTACGACCACAAGGACGTCTGACTATGAGCAATCCGAAACTTCCAAACCAGCTCTGGCACAGCCAGAACCAGCGAAGCCGGCAGAGGGAAGGAAGGTCATCCGGAAGAAAGTGGATTCTTCAAAGTTCATGACCCCCTACATTGCACACAGTCAGAAAATGCAGGATCTTTTTAGCCCAGTAAGTTTCAAACAACTTCTGCTAACCTGGTTTGATTATTAAGAAATTACTGATCTCAGCTGGGCACGGTGGCTCACGCCTGTAATCCCAGCACCTTGGGAGGCCGAGGCGGGTGGATCATGAGGTCAAGATATCGAGACCATCCTTGTCAACATGGTGAAATCCTGTCTCTACTAAAAACACAAAAAATTAGCTAGGCATGGTGGCGCATGCCTGTAGTCCCAGCTACTCAGGAGGCTGAGGCAAGAGAATTGCCTGAACCCAGGAGGCGGAGGTTACGGTGAGCCGAGATCGTGCCATTGTACTCCAGCCTGGGTAACAAGAGTGAAACTCCGTCTCAAAAAAGAAAGAAAGAAAGAAAGAAAGAAAATACTGATCTCAGCCCACTCTGTTTTGGGTACTGGCTGGATTTTATTTCTCAAACTTGTATGAAACAAACACTTATTTTGAAAAATATAGGTTCTTACGACTGTTAAATTTTTATTTTATGTAATTCATTTGTACCATTGCAGCGTAAGAAAGCATTCTTACTGAAATCATTCCTGCAAGATAAGCACAAGGCCAATCATAAAGCGTTTATTGGTATTTAATCACTATTAGCCAATCTAAAATAATGAAATCATAAATATGGATTTAATTGAGGTCAGTTTGCAGAAGCTGCATAACATATTTAAACTATGTCAGCAAAATAGCTTCTTAAGTAGACTAGCTAACAGTATGTAAAAAGGAATATAAAGAGTTGTAGAATGAAGAACATTTATTTTAAAAAACTAAAATCAGACTAAGAACTCATTTGAAATTGAGGATCTAAATGTTTGACTATACCTTAGAACAGTGGTTATTAACCATGGCTGCACACTGGAATCCTCTGGGAGTTTTAAAACTCCTGATGCTCAGGCCATTCTAGTTTAATTGGTTCAGGGTTAGGGCCTGTGCACAAAGATTTTTTTTTTTTTAAAGAAACAGAATCTTTCTCTGTAGCCCAGGCTGGAGTGCAGCAGCTTGATCATATCTCACTACAGCTCCAGATCCTTAGGCTCAAGCAATCCTCCTGCCTCAGCCTCTCTAGCAGCTAGGACTACAGGTGCATGCCACAATGTCTGGCTAATTTAAAAAAAAAAATTGTGGGAAAGGAATCTTCTATTTTTTTTTTTTTTTCATAGAGGCAGGGTCTTGCTATGTTGCCCAGGATGGTCTTAAACTTCTGGCCTCAGGTGATCCTCCCACCTTGGCCCCACAAAACATTAGAATTAAAGGCATGAGCCAGCATGCCAGACCCTGTGCAAAAGGGTTTTAAAAAGCTGCCCAGATGATTCTAGTGCAACTCAGGTTGAGAATCACTGCTCTCAATGGTTCCTGGTCCTTAAATTCCTGTGTACAGTTCTGCAAGGTATACTGACTGACAGCAGATTTAGATGCACTTCAATGGGTCTCATTTGTTAATTGTCTGTGGTGGGTTGAGGTCTCACTAGATGGCTTGATTGCACATCCTCTGGAGGCTTTAAAAAAAAATGAAATGTAGCTTAAGAGAACATCGGATTCTATAACACTAAAGTTCATGTCAAAACCATCCTATTGGGCTGGGCGCGGTGGCTCAAGCCGGTAATCCCAGCACTTTGGGAGGCCGAGGCGTGTGGATCATGAGGTCAAGAGATCGAGACCATCCTGGTCAACATGTTGAAACCCCGTCTCTACTAAAAATACAAAAAATTAGCTGGGCATGGTGGTGTGTGCCTGTAATCCCAGCTACTCAGGAGGCTGAGGCAGGAGAATTGCCTGAACCCAGGAGGTGGAGGTTGTGGTGAGCCGAGATTGTGCCATTGCACTCCAGCCTGGGTAACAAGAGCGAAACTCCGTCTCAAAAAAAAAAAAAAAAAAAAAAAAAAAACCACCCTATTGAGGTTGACCAATAAATATTCACTTTTACTTAGGTGATAGCAGCTCATTATTTGGTAAATTTCTAATTGAGAGCCTTGAATAATCTAAGACAGGTTTCTAAAAACAAGATTTTCTTACCTTCTTTAGTGCTGCAGTATTCAGCAAGGATAGAATTTTTTGTCAATATATTGCCATAAATTCTTATTCAGATCCTATGAACCTAGAATTTCTGATGTTCTGAACAGAATGTCGGCAAAGATCTATAATAGTTTTTAAGTGGCTAGTAACTAAATCAATAGTATAATTTTAGATTGTTGACTACTATACTCAAGAGTATTCCTGAAACATTTATAATGATAAATTATGCACATTATCATTAAAGCAAGAAATCATTGCATATTCAGCAGAAACAATGAAATGGCATTCCTAAATTTACAGAATACTCAATAATTCAGATCGGCCATTAATTCAGTTGATGTCTCAGCTATCTGAACTACTAAAGTTTAGCGGCAACTTGTGAATTGAATATTTTTGTATTGTATTAGCAATCAAATCTTTTCAGAATTAACTAACTCAACTTCTATATTTATTTTCTAAAATAATTGAGGTTCAGGCTTTTTATATATGCATTCAGACAAAAAAATGATTGAAAGAATCATTTTAGGATATTTCCAAGACAATAGTCTGTAATAAATTTGTATTGTCTTCAGGATCCAACCATGTTTAGGAGACGCAGTTATCAAATCTATTTTCGTTTTTTGCTGAGAGTCAGGGTAGGGGACAAAAAGAAAGCTGTTACACTTGATAATTGTTATAACTTGAAGGATTTTTTTTAAAACTCAGATGATGTGAGTATGTTGCCTGAAATTTTTGCTGCTGTCTTGTTAGGCTAATATCGGATATTCTTTTCAGAATAAATACAAGAAGAAGTTTGAGAAAACAAAAGGACAGCCATACGCCAGCACAACAGATACCCCAGAACTTCGCAGAATCAAAAAAGTACAAGATCAACTCAGTGAGGTGGGCTGCATTGAGACATTCCTACTACTGGGAATTGTGAGCTCCAAATATGTGCTGGAAGAATAAGGAGTTGAATTACCATGAGCTAGGTCAGAAATCTAGAAAAGCATCAGCCATAGATCATGTTGCTGTAAATGTGAAACCAAACAGACTTCTAAAAGCTTGGCTTAGCAATTTAGCTTAAAGGAGACTATGAGATGGAAGCTCCAACTCACTGTGGTCCTCAACCCTGTAGCACAGTAAGGCCAAGAAGCAGCAGGCTGGAAATCCAGGAAAGCAGACAAGCAGTAAATGCAGGTGCTCTTTTGAAGATCACAATTTTCCAGCTAAAATGCAGAAACTATGCTTTGTGATACAGACCTAGAGTCATTGGGGTAATGCTCTGTAGTTGTAAGAAATTCCTTAATATACTCACATGTTCATGGCCGTCATGAATTCTAACTGTGCATTATTTGAGCAGGTTAAGTATCGAATGGATGGTGATGTTGCTAAGACTATCTGTCACGTAGATGAAAAAGCAAAGGATATTGAACATGCAAAGAAAGTGTCGCAGCAAGTCAGTAAGGTAAGGCAACGATATTGATGGCTGGGGTACTTAGTAGCATATGCATCACCTCTGCATGGTCTTAGAGGAGAAAATTAGACAGGCCTGATCCCGCTCACCAGCCTCATAGGCAGTATGAAGTCAATACCCACATTCATCAGGGAGGCTGCACAGATGACTGAAGTGGCCTGTAGAATGCCTGGGTGGTTGGAAGGATCCATTCCCTGCCCAAAGAGGCAGCTATGACTCGGCTCCAGGCTGTTGCTGCATGGAATACAGTCCCAGTGTCACCAAAGAAGCTGAGGAGGTAAATTTTTAATTGAAAGAAATTAGAATTCTAAATCAAAAGCTGACTATTGTAGGAAGAGTATTATAGGATGTTGGCATGGTCAACGTTTTCCTAGTAACACATCAGCAGCCTTTGAGCCAGGAGCCTTCATGAGTCTCCCTTTGTTTTTAAATCCTCATGCCTTTGGGTGAGACCTCAAGCCACAGGTCCTCTGCTCCTTCTGTCTAGGTTTTATACAAGCAGAACTGGGAAGACACCAAGGATAAGTACCTGCTTCCTCCTGATGCCCCTGAACTTGTCCAGGCTATTAAGAACACAGCCATGTTCAGCAAGGTAAGGGCCGGCTCCATCACCACTTCCATCTCCCTATGTCGCCCCATCATACACTTTATGTCATGCTTGGTGAACTCTTGATCATCCAGAATACAATTCCCCAATGTTTTTATGAGTAGCCTTGAGACACGAGAGGCTGCAGGGGTGGGGTGTGACAAAAGGAACCGAGAGGCAGAGTGGGGAGAGGGTCCTTTGGGAACTTGAGCAACCTGGAAGCAGAGGGGAGTGTCTGTGGAGAATAAAGGTGTGCTGGAGAACCAGCTAAGAGAGCCACAAAGTAATAGCTCAAAATTTTCTGTAGACCCTGTGCTATACTTTGGATGTCCCAGGCTATTACTCTAACTAGAGGTTTATTTTGTAATCCATCTTGCAAGTATACTGTACTGCCCTGAACTAGTGCTTCCTGGCTCCTTACATTGTGCTAGTACTTGTAAGTGCTATTAATAAACAATAACAAATAAACAATGACAACAGCAACAACAACAATAACAACAAAAAAACAGCAAGAAGGCAGGTAGAGTCCCAGAGAAGAGATGAAACAAAATCAGACCCATCTGCCCCTCTGAAAGTAAGAAAGAGAAGCAGGCCATGCTATCAGTATAAATGACTTGAGTTGGGTGGAAAGGGGGAAGTTATTTGTGAATTTCATTTACCTTTGCTCTCACCTGGCCCTTGGTTCTCTAGGTCATTGATGGATGAATTCAAAATTATGTATTTTGTGTAAATGTGACCCTACCTACTCCTAACTTTTCACTCTTTTTTGATTTAGAAACTGTACACTGAAGACTGGGAAGCAGACAAAAGTTTGTTTTATCCCTACAATGATAGCCCGGAACTGAGGAGAGTTGCCCAGGCCCAGAAAGCTCTCAGTGATGTAAGTGAAAAGCAAACGGCACCATTTAGGTGTGCAGAGTCAGGGGAACTTGAATTACATCTTCTGGACAGTTGGTCACTGCCACTCTTCTTTATAAGAGAATAAATGCTACATTTCAGAGGAGTAGATCTAGAATCGTTATATTTTATGATGTCTCATTTAAATTAGATATAATTTACACTTTATATTAAATATAATCTAGTCCAATTTCCTCTTCTTATAGGTGGCAAACCTGAATGTGGGGTCACATTAGTTAGTGCAGAGCCCAGGCTAGCATTCTTCCCGCTAGAGAATGCGTCCTTCTTTTCCCTTGGCTCTGGTTGAAGTTGTTCTGTGACAAAAGAGTGGCAATTTTAAAAAACCTATTGTAAGCATAACCACCTTTCCAAATCTATTAAGTAAACAATGTTATGGAAGGATTGTGCCTTGCTATCCTAATCAAGTCCAAATTGTGGTGTGTCTCCCTTTTTCTGTGTGTGGAACCTGACTAGTGTACTTGTTAAAGCATATTTGTGACTCCAGCAGTTAAGGTGGGAGGATTGCTTGAATCCAGGAGGCTGAGATCAGCCTGGGCAGCAAAGCAAGACCCTCATCTCTACAAAATATATTTTTAAAAAGTTAGCCAAGTGTGGTGGTGCATGTCTGTAGTCCCAGCTACTCAGGAGGCTGAGGTAGGAGGATCATGTGAACCCAGGAGGTCAAGGCTGCTGTGACTTATGACCAAGCCACTGCACTCCAGCCTGGGCAACAGTGAGACCCCATCTTAAAAATAAACAAACAATGACAACACCACCAACAACCAAACAAACCAAAAACACATTTGTGTAATTATCCTGCAAAGAGCTCTTGCTATCAGAAGATACTTTAGTTAGTGAAAAATCAGTGAGCCATCTTGCCAGAATTTTGGCATCCTAGATCTTGAAAACCATGCGTTAGAAGAACTTAAAAGGCTTACTAGAGTCCTTAGGTTTGAAACCAGCAGAAGCAGCAGGGAGACACACGTGGGCCTAGCACTCCCCCTTGTTTTCAGGTACTTTCTCTCATGACCATTGGATTTGCCAGAGGCCATATTGAAAATCCAGACTGCTACTCCAGCCTTCAGTAGAGCACTGTATTATAAAGTGACAAGTTATTTGACAGTCAGTTGTCGATTAGATCCCTGGAACCTCATATACTCAATTTGGACTTAGTAAGCCAGTTCAGACTGACTGGAATTTACTTCTAATGGCTCCTAGGATCTGATCTTGCCCTGAATCAAAATAATACATACCAATTTGATGGCATCTCTAACTTTTGAGGTCTAACTTTTAATGCCACCCTCTTAATATCACCTGCGAATTTAGTGGATGTCTTTTCTATTTCACTTTCTATGTAATTGATTCAAATATAATAAAGATATACTTCCATCCTTTCATAGGTAAGTTAGGAAATAGAGAAGTTCTAACAAAATTTTCAAGTCATCTAGCACATGGTACCAGTTTTAATGTGTGAGTACTTCTTGCTTCTCCTTCAAAATTAGCTTTGTGGTTCTGTATCTCATGTACTCACAATATTGTTGTGTGGCTGTTATCAAGTGATCCATAGTTATTTATTGAAAGTCTATTATGCATGCATACCTGGAAGGATAGAAAATTACTACAAGCAGTTTTCATCCTTTCCTCTGAGAATTTATCATCAGGCTGGTAAAATAAAAGTATTATATATCAAACAACAAGAAAAAAAAAGTTAAAAATGAAACAAAACCCAATAGTCTAATACTTGCTACAAGAAAGACAGGACACATGTGAGTAATCAGAGAAGGCCATGTGGAGGTGGTGATCCCGAGGGCATGGGTAGTGATGAAGAAGAAAGGCATTTTGAGTAGAAGGAGCACTTGAACAAAGCGACACAGGCAAAATGAGGTCTGAGTTTTGAAGGACCACGAAAGTGAATCATGTGACTGCCTCATGTGGAGAGCACTTGTGAGAATGCCGGGAGCAGGACCTTGAAAGGCATACAAAATCTCTTTGACATGGAATGGTAAGAAATAAGAAGCATCATAAGATTTTGGAGAGGAAAACAGTATGATAAAAATAGAATCTGGGGGCTGGGCACAGTGGCTCATGCCTGTAATCCTAGAACTTTGAAAGACCAAGGTAGGTGGATCACCTGAAGTTGGAAGTTCGAGAACAGCCTGACCAACATGGAGAAACCCTGTCTCTACTAAAAATACAAAAAATTAGCTGGGCATAGTGGCATGTAATCTCAGCTACTTGGGAGGCTGAGGTAGAAGAATCGCTTGAACCTGGGAGGCGGAGGTTGCAGTGAGCTGAGATAGCACCACTGTACTCCAGCCTGGGCAACAAGAGCGAAACTCTGTCTTTAAAAAAAAAAAAAAAAAAAAAAAAAAGAATCTGGAGTAATTTTGATGGGCAATATGGTAGATTGAGATTAGGAAAAACTGGGTAATTTGGAAAAAATCTATTTTAGTAATAATTAGGGCAAAGGGGAGGAAGAAAGGAATCTGAGAGTAATAAGTATTAATAAGCATGAATGGCATTGGATATTGGAGACAAAAAAGAGAAAAAATCCATAGAGGAGCTTCGGACTATAGGCTGGTGGTCTGGGTGAGTAGGGGCACAGCTGCTAAAGATGCATTTGTGGAAAGAGAAATGGAGTTGAGATGATTGATGGAACATTCAGATCAAGGCATCCTATGGATAAATTACAAAGTTAGTACCATTGCTCAGGTATGAGACCAGGGCAAGAAATTAGTATTTGAGAGTCATCAGAACAAAGTGATAGCTGAAGACATGAACATCTATGAGGGAAGCAGAAGAGCGTATGGCCAAGGGCAGAGTTTGGGAGGACATCCACACTTAGGACTGAATAGGAGCCAGCAAAAGCATGAGAGAACAAACAGAAAAGTTGAAGGTGAACCAGGAAATGCCATGTCATGTAAGCCTGGGAGAGGTTTCCAAGAAGACACTTAATCTCCTCTCTCCCTTCATCTATCAAATGGAGAGATGAAGGGTTACCTTCATGCCATTCTAACTTTAAACAATTAAAGTTGGCCACATGTTTTGAGCGATTACAGTAGAAGACGTAATGAAAGAGAATGTTCAATAATGAAGTGAAGTCTTCCTCGCTATTTCTATTCCTCAAAAAGATGTGGCAGTTAAGGCATAGCTTTTACTTTTATTGGAGACCAAGTATGCACTCAGTGTCTATTAATATGCCTATTAATACTGCTGTCAGCGCTGTGAACTTCTACAGTTATTAGGAACAGAGCCCTAAGCAAGCTGTTGTTTGCAGAACATACCACTGGGCAGGCACATAGATTTCTAGCTAAGGGCTTGGGTTTAGAGGCTGTGGCTACCTCTTCTGTACCTTCTTCCTGTATCTTTCTTAACCCTAATTATCATGTTTTCCTTATTACCTAAGTATAGACAAACTACTTTGCACACACAAAGAATCTTTAAGCTGATGCAGAGTACAGAACTTTTTTTTTTTTTAACGTTTGTGGTTTTTCTCCATAACAACAGATTTCTAACTAAACAGAATTCTGAAGAAGGTTCCTGAGAAATCAGGACTTCTAGATCTGATTTGTCTGAAACTTCTTGGCAGAATGTCAGACTTAATAAGCATTTCTCCTGTTCAAATGTTGCTTTTTCCCCAAGGACTCAACCAGCCATGAAAAATCTTGTTGTCCTATGCCTAAAATAAAGTCTTCAGCCTTTGGGTTTTTTTGAGACAGGGTCTCACTCTGTCACTCAGGCCAGAGTGCAGTAATATAATCCTGGCTTATTGCAACCTCCACATCCACACTCAAGCAATACTCCCGCTTTAGTCTCCCAAGTAGCTGGGACTACAGGTGCACACCACCATGCCTGGCTAATTTTTGTATTTTCGGTAGAGACAGGGTTTCACCATGTTTCCTTGGCTGGTCTTGAACCTTTGAGCTCAAGCAATTTATCTGCCTTTGCCGCTCAAAGTTCTGGGATAACCGTGAGTCACCGTGCCTGGCTTAACTTATTTAAAAGAATTTAAGCAGTGGAATTTGTGTAAATGCATTTCAAAATCTGTCTTTTTGTATCCCAATTGATTTGATGCCCACGAAAGCTTTTGTTAGAGGCACCAGGTGGGTATTATTGGAATAAGATATAGTTAGACTTGGTTAAAGTATAAAGATGATTGGGACCTTGGGATTATTCAACTGCTTTGCTTGATAAATAAGAATACTGCCATGTGGAAGGGAAAATAATCTGTAGAAATCTCACAATTGTGTCATGGAAGAGTAGGAGGATAATTCTCCTCTTGAGGCATCCCCCTCCATGGCCTCAGTGTGTAAGACACATTGAGATGTCAGTCCTTGACTCTTGCTCTAGTCAGAAACTATGCAGGCCACAAGGGTTCCCAAGGATAGGACATCTTCTTTGCCATCCCAAAGTTCACAGTCCAAGAGGAAAGAGACATGTAAACAACAAATTGCAGAGTCATCTGATGACCCCTTTAAAGGGGCTAAGGGCCAAGCCGAGTGAGGTCCCAGGAGAAGGTCATTGCATCTGGTTCAGGAGTCAGGGAAGGTTTGGGAGGGGAGCCATGCTTGTCCTGAGCCATGGAGAAGAAACAGCGTTTGCAGACAGATGGGAGAGGGAACAGTATGTACGAGGTCCTGAAGCATTTGAAGGCCTCGTATGTCTGGGGATCTGTGACTAGTTCTGCATTGCTGGAAGCAGGGACCAAGTCTGGTGGAATAAAAAGCCAGAGGAGTCAGTAATGAAGAAAGAAAGTAAGGCAAGAGAAAATGATGTTTATGAATCATAGGTACCATACTTATTTTAAGGTGTTAGAAGTCTTTTATACGCTGAAGGGAAGGAGCTAATAAAGAAGGAGAAGTTGGAGTTGCGAGAAAGAAGAGGGATGATTGAGAGAGCTGGGTGCAAAATGATGTACTGGAAGGGGCCTCAGCATGCGTGCAGGAGTCATTCACCGTGAGGGATGTTTCTCCTCTGAGCCAGGGCAGGGGTGGGAGAGGAGGGATGAATACGGAGAAGGTAAGTGTGTAGCGTGTCTTTATGAAAAAGGAAGCTGAGAGTAAGGTGGAATTGATTGTGGGCTTAAGGACAGTGTCGAGGTTTTAGACTGGCCTCTGAGAATAGGAACTAACCAGAGACTCATAATAAGCTGTGCAAGTTTCCTTGAAAACAAAGTGGCATTTGTATACCTTAAGGTCATAGAGCGTTGGGAACAGAGCCCCAAGCAAGCTGTTGTTCACAGAACCTACCACTGGGCAGACATGTAGATTTCAAGCTAAGTGTTGGAGTTCAGAGGTGCCCCACTCTGTACCTTCTTCCTGTGTCCCTCTTAATCCTGTTTACCTTGTTAGCACTGCCTGATCCATGGAGCTGTGGGTTTTTTTTTTTTTTTTTTTTTTTTTGAGACGGAGTCTTATGTTACTCAGGCTGGAGTGCAGTGGCGCGATCTCCGCTCACTGCAACCTCCACCTCCCAGGTTCAAGCAATTCTCCTGCCTCAGCCTCACTAGTAGCTGAGATTACAGGCACCTGCCACCATGCCTGACTAATTTTTGTATTTTTAGTAGAGACAGGGTTTCACCATGTTGGCCAGGTTGGTCTAAACTCGTGACCTCAGGCGATCCACCTGCCTCAGCCTTCCAAAGTGCTGGGATTACAGGCGTGAGCCACCTGTTTTCTTCTGTGGCATTCAGCATCCTTAGGCATAAGAACAGAGGAAGTATATGGTTGAGTTGATCCAAGGCTGGGGGTTTATTAAGTGAGTGTGATAAAAAGACAAGGAGTTGGGAGTTAAAGATGCTGGTTAAGAGAATAATTGAAATCGCGAACCATGGCGTGGAAACAAAGGCAAGGAAGCAGATCTAGGGCCATGAGTCCTGAGGAAGAGGGAAGAAAATTAAACAAAATAGAAATCATGAGCAGTACTGAGAGCAAGGGTATGTGACATCTAGAAGGACAGATTATGATAACATGTTACACTAAAATTTAAGACTTCAAATAAAGATGAAAGCATAATCATTTTTAAAATACATCCCTGTCTTTTATTTCATCAGGTTGCCTACAAAAAAGGTCTCACTGAACAGCAAGCTCAATTCACGCCTCTGGCCGATCCTCCAGATATAGAATTTGCCAAGAAAGTAACCAATCAAGTGAGCAAGGTAAGTAAATAGAGCCGGGACTCTCCCACTCTTGAAAACTCTGCTTAATCATTTCAGCCATAGGGAAGGTTACTAAAGGTGAGCCTGAAGATGAAACACAAACACTCAGAGTATTTTTACATATGATCCCCAAAAACTCTACAGCAAAAGCAATACATCCATAAATGTCATGAACTGTGTTAATGAATGTTTGGCCAGCTTGATGACTCAATGATTGATAAATGTGAATGTCACCTTTTAAAAAGAGAAGCCACATCCTAATGTCACTTAACATTTTCACTTATGGCAGTAATACTACAGAGTCACCAAATAACCACACACTTCCTTGAAGAGCTGGTTTAAATTAATAGTGAAGAACTAGTATAGTTTTGTTGAGACAGAGCCTCGTGCTGGAGTGCAGTGGCACAATGTTGGCTCACTGCAACCTCCTCCTCCCTGGTTCGAGCAATTCCCCTGCCTCAACCTCCTGAGTAGCTGGGATTACAGGTGTGTGCCACCATGTCCAGCTAATTTTTTTGTGTTTTTAGTAGAGATGGAGTTTCACCATGTTGTCCAGACTGGTCTCAAACTCCTGACCTCAGGCAGTCTGCCTGCCTTGGCCTCCCAAAGTGCTGGAATTACAGGCATGAGCCACCGGGCCCAGCCAACCTTGCATAGTTTTATCCTATCAGTCAGACTTATAAAAATAAGAATGTGTCTCGTACATACCTTAGTTAACAGCAGTGAGCAGTGGACCTCATAACTTTTAAGGCCCTGGCAAACAGCTTAGTCTGCCTATATTTAGGCTAATAAACTAGCTCTGGGGACTGCGGCTCTGATGAGGAATGCAGAGAGACAGATGCTCCACTGATGAATAGGCCCATGCTCAATTCCTATTCTAAATTGTTCCAAATCAGGCCACTTTCTCCTGGGATACTGCTGCTTTTAAATACTTTATCTTGCCCTCTGTGGAGTTGAGCAGTTTGTTCTTCTGCTTGAATTTTGATGAAACCTCAAGATTTTTATCTTAAGCAGTTTCTGAGTAAAATATCTAGTAGAGAAGAAGGATGAAATCATATGGAAGGTGATGTCTACTCAGTGATGTTTGTTAATGTTCGATATTGCAGATTACCTAACTGTGAGCTGTTTGAATAAAGGATCTAGTAAGTATAGTTATTTCAGTAATAGGAATACTACCAATCTGAAATTTTTCCCGAGGCTAAGCGGAAATTAACTTTAGAACTGTATGTAAATACATGGTCCACTGAAAGTGTTGATATTGGCCGGGTGGGGTGACTCATGCCTGTAATCCCTTTGGGAGGCTGAGGTGGGTTGATCACCTGAGGTCAGGAATTTGAGACCAGCCTAGCCAACATGGTAAAACCCCATCTCTACTAAAAATACAAATAATTAGCCAATCATGGTGGTGGGCACCTGTAATCCCAGCTACTTGGGAGGCTGAGACAGGAGAATTGCTTGAACTCAGGAGGTGGAGGTTGCAACGAGCCAAGATTGCACCGTTGCACTCCAGCCTGGGCAACAAGAGCAAAATTCTGTCTCAAAAAAAAAGTGTTGATATTGTAGATAAGATGGGGGAGAAGGATAATTTATCTTCTTGGAAGAAAAATAAAAAGGTGTTTTCAAGTAGTCATTTAGAAATAAAAAGGAATCTGTTTTAAAATTTTTATTTAAAGTCTATTTTAAAAGAATGTTTCTTTACTAAAGAAACATTCTTTTGCCTTATTTAAGTATGTTTTGTTGAGACAGAGTCTCATGCTGGAGTACAGTGGCACAATCTCACTCACTGCAACCTCCACCTCCCTGGTTCAAGCAATTCCCCTGCTTTAAAAGTGATTTTGGAAAATTACTTTTGAACTCCTCTATAATCATTCTCTCCACCAATTTAGACTTACCAGTTGGTTTAGCACTGTACTCTTCGGCACAAAAGCCACTAGCCAAATGTGACTAGGAAGCGCCTGACTTTGATCAGTATAAACTAAGCATATAAGTCAACTTGGGCTTCTGCAGGAAAATACCATACATTGGGTGGCTTAAACAGTAGACATTTATTTTCTCACAGTTCTGGAGGCTGGTAGTCTAAGATCATAGATCCAGTTCCTGGTGAGAGACCCCCTCCTGGCTTGTAGATAGCTGCCTTCTCATTGTATCTTCACACAGTGGAGACACAGAGCAACTCTGGTCTCTTCCTTTTCCTATAATGACAATAATCTCATTATGGGGTTCCCACCCTCATGGCCTCACCTAAACTTAATTGCTTCCCAAAGGCCCTTACCTCCAAGTACCATCACATGGTACTTGAGAGTTAGGGCTTCAACACATGAAATTGGGGGATGGAGACACAGACATTCATTCCGTAAAACTTAAGTGTCCAATATGTGAGAAATAGACACTGGATCTTGGATACTTAATTATGAAAAAAAGAATGTTTCAAATTAATATTTAATATTGATCACATGTTGGAATGTTAATATTTCAGATTTACTTGGTTCAGTAAACTATATTATGAAAGTTATTTCTCACATGTTTCTACATTTTAAAATGTGGCTATGAGAATGACATGAATTATATATGCATTGGATGGCACCATTCTAGGTGGACAAGGTGACAATGTTGGATACGTTGAAAGTATTGCCAGAACTGGCCTTGCCCTGTGGAGTAATAATATAAGCTAAGGGGACGATGGCTGTGAAAAAATCACTAGATTTGGCCATGGTGACGTTATTTATTCCCAGTCTTACCCAGATTTCTGCGTTTGTAATGCCTTGTGCATCCAAAGTAATAGCTGTGTTGGGGAGAAATGCTTGGGATTGGTAGAAGTCCACCCAACAAGAAACCATCCCACAAGGGAGGCACAGGGCTTCTCAAAGTGATTTACCTCTGGTATTGTCTTTTCTCCTCACTCTCAAGATGCTTTGACCCATGTTGCAGCAGCATCATGTCCTCTTCCTCCCTAAAATAGGATTAAAGTCTCCTTTATCTACTCACTCGAATGCATCTAAACTCAATATCCCCTCGTTGAATCATGTTGCTCAGATCTATCTGTGGGGGCCAAGGGGTCCTCCTTGGCCCACTGAAGGTTGGCTGAAAAATCAACTTTGCAAAAGGCAGATTGGTTGAAGAAAAGGCATACAAATTTATTTAATGTGTACACACGGGAGACTTCAGAATGAAGCCCTAGCTCCCCAGGAGGTGCTGAAGCTTATATACCATCTTGAAGTTACAGAAAGACTAGGAACTTGGATTCTGGCAAAATAGGTTATGGGGAGTGGGGAGAAGAATTCTGTTGAGGGGCAAGAAATGATCACTAGGGAGAATTCAGTGGGTTTGAAGAACATATAGTAGTGTGGGGTGAAGTCTGTTGGGCTCACAAAGCGAACAATGGCTTTTTGACAGAAGTTTGTCCAGGTTTGTTAACAGACTTTAGTCTTCCTTCCTGAAATATAGGTTCAGTTGAAAACTCAGGAAAGGGGTCAGAGACAATTGGTTTCTGCTTTCGTAGGTCCAGACCTTAGGCAGATAAGAAGACTTGAACCTGTGCTTTGGGAGAGGTAGAGGATTTTAAAATGTGGCTATGAGAATAACTTGCATTATATATGCATTGGATGGCACCATTCTAGGTGGGCAAGGTGACAATGTTGGATACGTTGAAACCATTGCCAGAACTGCCTTTGCCCTGTGGAGTAATAATATCAGCTAAGGGGAGAGATAGCATGTGGCAGGGGCGGCGGGGGGGATTAGGGAGAAACAATTGTTCTCCTTAGTGGGACTGTCTGGTCTTCATGTAGATAGAAAAAAGTCTCTTCTAGCTTCCAAGCTTCCATTAATCTCTAAGGGCCTTTAATTCAAAATACTCATTATACTAGGGAGTCGTATTTTGGATGGAGCTCTGCACATCCTCACATCCTTTTCTTACAGCTCCCAATTCAGATGGTAATAATCGTATATCTGCAGTGATTACACTAATGCTACATGCCATTTGCCAGCCCTCCTTACTACACCTGTCAGAATCAATTCTCTCACCTTTGCCTTTGGCCAAAGCCATGAGCTACTTACTTCCTTCTGTCTCAGCTGTATTTTGTAGCTCTAACATAGATGAACAGGCAGATTTGTTCATAGAAACAGGCCGTCCAGATGGGGAAACTATGTACCCCATAACCAGCTGAAAGTGGGGCCCTGAATATAAGACGGGGAAGTCCCTTTACTTTCTCTGTGCCTGCCTCTCTGCTCCCTTCCAGAGCCACAAATGAAAAAATAGATTTCAGGTTGGAATTTCCCCTTGATACCAACTGGAACCTAAACTTAAAAAAATAATAATCTTTCAGTAACATATTGTTACACAGCGTGAAGAAACCAGGCTCTGCTCCTCTAATACCATGGAAATTCTTCTATCACATAGAATTGGGAAGATTTCCATTGATTTCACTAGAAGAGATTTGATTGAGTCAAGCAGACAGCATTGGGCCCACCGTGGGCAATAAAAATACCAGCTGGGTTCTTTATACCCTTTCTGCAGGGATAACTTTTCTATGAATGGAACCATCAGGAGTCCCAGTGCTTAGCTACTCACAGAATAAAAGGGTAATTAACTGCCTTCGTTTTCCTTTCCATTTGATAACCACATAAAAATGACAGATGCAGATTTTGAAAGTAGATAATGAAGCCATGTGTTTAAGCAAGACACCAGGGTACCCAGTTTATGGCCCCATGGAAGTCCCTTCAGCTGACCTCTGAGGAGGAGGGAAACAAGCTTACTGTATCTATGGACACATAGTCACCCTCTTACCCAGAGAAGGTGTCCCAGAGCTTGTAACTGACCTGACATACTTTCCTCTGTTAAACAAACCAAAACTTTCTAGAGAAGTTAAACTGACTCTTTCTTCCAAGTTTCCATCAACTGCAAATACAACAGAGTTTGAAGAGAAAGGTTTCCCCCTAAACTTTCTCTCCAACTCTGTTGCACTTGGATGTTGGGAAGGTTGGACGTTGGACCCTAACATGGGTAATCGGTCTCCATGTATTGTAAAAAACTCTGGCTTCACTCTCAGATATGCAGAGTGAGACCCCTTGGCTGGTAGAGAGGGTCCCACGTGGACACATACCTCTCTCTTCCTCTCACTCCTCCACCTGTGGACCTTCGTCCTTTCAACTTCTCTCCTACCCACAAATGAGGCAGAAGGCCATAACTTCCTCAGTGGTCAGCAAGCTCCAGCCTCCTCCTGTGTCATCAAAATCTTCCCAGACTTGGCAGTGCTCAGGAGTGGACTGTGAGAGCTCTATCTCCACCCCGACCCGTTTCAGCTGCTGGGTAGGAGGAAATACCTACAGACCTGGATAGGTCTGTGAAGATTAAGAAAGATGGAAGGACTTTGGATGAGGGGTTGAGTGATCTTACACTCTTGTTTTGCATCCGGTTTTAATATCTTCTTGAAAACCAGGCATCCATCTCTCACTGTGAGAATTAGTCTCCTGCTCAATTATCCTTAACAAATCTGTATATGCAATGCCTGTTTTTTGATAAATGTCCAACATTTAGACCTCATTAAGAATATCTGCTACCTTCTCAACTTTATATTTCAGAGTTCTCTGGATCTCAGTTTGGGGGATCAGGCCCAATTGCCCCTTCCCAAACCTAAGGTTTTTCTCCTTTAATAGCAAGCAGGAGGTAGGGCCACGTCCCTCCAAAAATGATACATTAGGAGATGCTAACCTGACGTATATGTACATCAAGAACCTCTGAAATTATAACTGTTTGTGAGCATTTTATAGCTTTCTCAATTTCTTGAAGAGGTCTGTTTCCGAAAAAAAGATTAGAAACATTTCTATCAGTAGTCTCAGAAAATCCAAAAATCAATTTTATTGACTTCAGTTTTTTAAATCTTCAAAATGAAGTGCAGGTAAGTCAATCAGCAGTATAACATGCATCTTATCTTAGCAAAGATTTCCATTGAAGAACTCTTACCTCCCTGCACATACAATTTTCTTTCTTATGGAGTTTCTGACTTTCTGTTACGATGATGACAATAATGATAGCTGTTACTATTATTACAATTGTTATACCCTATATTTGCCTAGCACTGTGGGGTTTACAAAGCACTCTTCAGTGAATGATCTTATTAAACTTCCCAGCAGGCCTCTCTGTAAATACTATCACCAGCACTTGTGGCTGAGACAACAGAATCTTGGAGAGGCTAAATAACACATTTGGTCATGACAAAGTCAGATGTTGTTCCCAGAGTTTAAACCCAGGCCCAAGACTCTAAAATTTATAGCTACAAAAACCAGTTGGCTATTATTATGCATATTAACCTTTTGAGAAGAAAGGAAATTAGGCATTTGAGTGATGGCTAAGTTTCCTTTAACCCAAGCTCCTCAACTTTGCACATCATTCGCCTTTAGTTCTTCTGTTAAAGGTATACCAGAAAGACGCTTTCTTTTTCCTTAATGGGAATTATGGGGATGTAGCATATGCCAGTGCCTTGGGACCCATTATGTCTGTTAACACATTTTTATGAACCATGGAGGGAGAATTGCTGTAATTCAGCTTGGGCTCTGGCTCATGAGCCCAGGTTTGGGGTTGGCTTGGTTAATTCTGTTCCAAGAACACTTAAGCCAAAATATTTCAAAACCATTTATCATGGTCTCAGCTTAGTGTAGTTGAACAAACATTTATGAGGTAACTTCTGGGTGCTACATTTTATGTTGGGTTCTGAGGATAAGAAAGCAAAGAAGATACAGCACCTCTCTCTTCCAGGAGTGTACAGACTGGGATTCAGATGGAGTGGTGTTTGGGAGTCAATTGGCTCAATAATTCAATTTTTGAATTACTTTCTAGTTCCTATTAAATTTAACTCTAAACTAGAAGGTCTACGCGTTAGCCTGCAAGTTGAATTTTATTGTGGTTATTGCTTTCTGAATAACTAGGCGTTTTGGTAAAGCTTAGAAATGAACGGCTGGGTTCATTTGACATAGAAATCTCAGGTTGATAGGTTGTATTGTAACTCTGAAATATAAATAGAGGATGACTTCTGACTCTATTTCTTTAAACATCAGGGGACGTCTGCAAGTTCTGAATAAATGAAGTCCCCAGACTCAGCAAGGGAAGGGGGCACTAGTACCCTCTTTCTCCATTCTCTATGCCCCCTCACCCAACTTTCTGGTTGGGTAAATTGACACTACGCTGGAAGATTTTTTAAAAAGGCATTTATTAAGGACCTAAGAATGGCTTGCGGAAGATATTTTTTAAAGTTAATCATTATTTCTTAATTTGCTGCCTTATTTGCCAGTTCATGAGTCCTGCTTGTCTTTTCCTTTTTTTCTTTTTCTTTTTTCTAGCAAAAATACAAACAAGACTATGAAAATAAAATCAAAGGCAAATGGAGTGAGACACCTTGCTTTGAAGTTGCAAACGCCAGAATGAATGCTGAAAACATCAGCACAGTAAGTGGGAAGGGATGGCCAGGGCCAGTCGTCCTGGGAGGGAGACCCCTTTCCTTAGTGACTTCTGGCCACCTGCTCTACCTCAAGGGGTGCCAGAACACGTGAAGCCCCTCTTCTTGGGGCAAGACCTGGTATAGAGTTCCTGTTAAGAAAGAAATTTCACAAACTCTCTTTCCTTTTGAGAAATATTATTTTGGCCAAATGCCATTATTTCTACCTCAATTTTCACAGGCACATGATGGTGAGACCCTCTTACTGACTGCAAAGTGCAGTTAGTACAAGTTAAAGGGACTCTTTTTAATTTATTCTTTGCCTGAGGTGCCAAACTGTAGGGTTATGGAATTGATCAATTTAGTGTCTCCTCACTGGAAAACATATATCTAACTTATTATTTTTCTTTCTTATTAAGTTTCCTGCTCCTGGCCCTTAAGAGCTCTTTGTTAGTAGCCAAGAAAAGCCTTTCTAATTCTGTTTTTAGCCTATTCTAATTGTTCTAAATCTCTGTTAAGTTGCTAATCATTTTTGCAATGGTACCACAGTCTCTAATTGTAATCTGATCAGCCTAAACCAAGGACAGGGTGGCTTTGGGTAACTTTTCCAAATCCCTGTGTCTTCTCATGTAAACCCTTGTATAGTTTGTTTTCACAGCAGTTCCTTAGCTTGTTTAATGTCTTACAGAGGAAATACCAGGAAGATTTTGAAAACATGAAAGACCAGATCTACTTCATGCAGACTGAAACACCGGAGTATAAAGTGAATAAACAAGCTGGTGTGGCAGCTAGCAAGGTACGAGGAAATCCTCTCATTTATCTTGATGGTTTGACGGTGGATGGATTTCTTATAATTTTGGCTCTGGTATAAAATTCGTAAAAAGGGGGAGGGGCGGTTCTTGGGGGAACTACCAGGGTTGAGACCAGTGGATGCGAGGCATGTGAAGAAGAGTAGAATTGAAACAAGAACAACAACAAAATACTTTGGAATTATCTTAGGGCTACTTAAAAATGTTGGGCCATATATAAGCATTAATAATATCTAATTACCATCTTTAGTGTTTCCTAGAGTAATTTATTATTTGCCTGAGGAACCAAACTGTACATTTATCAAATTGATGTAGTGTCTTCTCACTGAAAAGGCCTTTTGCTATTTAAAAGTAGAAAGATTGTAATCTTAGAGAGCAGGACTTCTCCCCCCAGAAAGAGGCAATTGGTAACCTTATATGAAGATAGGCACTCATACGTGCAATACTATCATGATTTTTCTTATTTTCCCACTGACTACAGAAAAACCTGGTTGCAGGTTCATAAATCCATAGATATTTCCATATGCTCTATCAAGTGACTTTGGTGAATAGTCCAAATCCTTGGCATTCTAAAGCACGATGGTCACTAAAGAGAGCATAAACTTTGATGCCAAACACACTTGGTTCTAACCCTGGCCTTGGCTGTGCCAGAGGAGAGAAAGAAGGATTACATCACTTAGAAGGCCATTATAGCATCCACGTGTAAGACAGTGGTGTTTTGGACCAGGAGGGTAGCAGGGTAGGTGATAAGAATTTTGAAAGCAGATCTGACCTGATTTGCTGATGTATTGGATGATGCAGGTTTTGGTCTAAGCAGTTAGGTAAATGGGGTTTCCCTTTATTGTGACAGGGAAGACTATGGAAGAGGTTGGTAATTTTTTGGAGGACAGACAGGAGCTCATCTTCACACATGGTAGATTTGAGATGCAATGACTTTTAGACATCCACGTGGAAGTGTCAGTGGTCAGTTGATTACATGAGCCTGAAGTTTCAGGAGAGATATATGGAAAGTTGTATAAACTGGGTTGTTATCCACATACAGAGTGTTTCCTGCCATGAATCTGGAGAGTATCAAGGGAGTGTGTGTAAATGGGAAACTGTAGGGACTGAACTGTGGGTTCTTCCACAAGTACTTATATGTGAGACGAGAGAGAAGCAAAACAGGAGAGGGAAATGCATTGGCAAGCTAGTGAAGGGGAAAGGGAATCACCAACTGTGTCAAATGTCTCTGAAATGGATTTACCAATGTCTGGTCTCTGCTGACCTGAACAAGAGCCATTTGGCTGAGTCTGCTTGGAGAGGATTCATGAGTGAATGAAAAGAGGGAAACTGAAGTTACAAGTATCTTCCACTCTAAATGTTTTCCTGGTAGGCAAAGAAGAAAATGGGCAAGTAGCTGATGAAAAAGTGGGTAAAGAGGGACTTTTTGAGATAAGAAACCAAAACATCATGCTGATGGAAAGAATCCAGTAGAGAGGGAAGATGTGGTGATGTTGAAAGGGGGAAGAATGGCTGGGGTGATATCCTAGAGTAGGTGGAAGGGAAAGAGATCTGGTGCTCGAGAGGCATGCTGGCTTTGCCGCAATCCCTGGCAGTTCATCTGTTTAACGGGAGAAGGCTGCGTATCCCAGCTGCAGGTGGGGAGATAGTACAGTTTGTGAATCTGCTTTCTACTTGTTTCTGTTTTTCAAGGACACAGGTAATTCTCTAAGGTAGAAAAGCAATCTGAGTCCCTCATTCCCGTAGCATACCCCTGTGATGCTCTGCGGAGGCTGTGGGGTGGATGCCTCGGTGCTTCTGCTGTGTGTCTCTTGCCTTTGGATATCAAGCTGATTGCTTTTGTTTTCTGGGGTTCATAAATCTTGGATTTATCTAGGATTCCTTGAACTTCTGTGGTGATATTGCCTGAATAAAGGGCTTACACTGGGGATTATGGTGGGAAACGGGATCAGTTTCTTGTTCTAATCCCTGTGGACAGGGTTCTGGTGGGGGCTTGTGAACCCCGTCTTCCCTATGCTCCCCCAATACCCCTCAACTTGCTGCTTCTGCCATAGCTGGAATTAAAGTTGCGAATGGGAAGGGCAGAAGGGAAAGCAAGGCTCCTTCTCCCCACTCCTTCCTCGTCCTCCTACTTGTACATTGAATACACGTGTGCTCCACGTACCATCGCAGGTGAGGCATAAAAGGGTGGATTAGTGGCGCTTCTCGCTTCCTTTCTTTAGGAGCGTGTTGGCAGGTAGGTAGTTGGGCGTTAAGAGCCGAGTGAAGGTTCTACAGCAGTAGGCATCTGGGGCGTCTTGCACGGTCGCTATTTTCATCTTTTTCTCTCTCCCATTATTTCTGTATCTCTCCCTTTGAGGGCAAAGACAATGTGTTGTTCTTTCTTGTATCTGTCCTCACACCAGGCACAGAATTGACACCCTGTGGATAATTTGGAAAGAATAAAAGAATGGGAAGAAAAACATGCTGGAAATTTATACAGTTTCTCCTCTGCTGTTATGAGTTACTATGAGTATTTTGTTTATAAAATGTCAAGCTGCCATTTTTCTAAAGAGAAAATTGATTTGTGGAAGTATGTCAGAATATCCGTAATAGAGACAGGGGCAAAAATAACCCAGAGAGTTACTTTATCATTTTATTTCACTCCTACAGGTAAAATACAAAGAAGACTATGAAAAGAATAAAGGAAAAGCAGACTATAATGTGCTTCCTGCTTCAGAGAACCCGCTGCTTAAGCAGCTGAAGGCAGCAGGAAATGCCCTAAGTGATGTAAGTATATTTTTGTCAAGAAGTGTTTTTAAACCTTAGCTGCAAAAGAGATGAAAATTTTCTCATCTAATGACTAAATGCATAGTAACTTTGCAAATACTTTAAGATTATGGAGTGCTAGGATCACTGGAACTATTTAACCACAGCAGGCGTCCCCAAACTACGGCCGGCTGGCCGCATGGGGCCCCCTGAGGCCATTTATCCGGCCCCCGCCACACTTCAGGAAGGGGCACCTCTTTTATTGGTGGTTAGTGAGAGGAGCACAGTATGTGGCGGTCCTCCAACGGTCTGAGGGACAGTGAACTGGCCCCCTGTGTAAAAAGTTTGGGGACACCTGAACCACAGAAAGGCATAAGTCCCTCTGAGTATAATGTGCCTTAATGTTTGTGGTTCTGTGGGATTAATTCAATGGGCAGGGACATTCTCATGTGCCTATGAGCTCTGGGCACCTGGGCCTCCACATTGTAGATGTGTTGTGATTTTGACAGAGGCAGAAGGAGACTTTCAAAGATACATCTTGACCCCAGAAACCATCATTCACCAACAACAGAACTCAAAAGATGGGCCCCTAAATCTTCACAGGACATTCTAATTGTGCAATTATTAAGAGCCCAACTAAGCCGTTCAATTTAAAACAAATGAGGCAAATGAGACTGGGCTAGGCATTAAAAGACAGCCAGAGAGAGAGAGAGAGAGAGAGAGAGAGTGAGATTGAGATTGAATATGTGATAACTTGAGTTTATCTCCTATGGTTGGGTTTGCATTAAGCTTTCCTAATATTTGTGGATTTTATGCGGCTGTCTGTGTGGGTTAGTGATCTTTTCTTTGTCTCTTGAACTCAGCAGCATAGGAAATACCTGTGTGTGATTGGGGAGCAGGTGGGGAGAGTGGCAAGTGAGAGCGTCTAAATGAATCTGACCAAATAGCTCTGCTGGAAAATCGGTGCAAAACACTTTTGCTTTCTTTTTAAAAACATTTTATTTCAGTTGCTTTTAGGGGTGCAGGTTGTTCTTGGTGACATGGAAAAGTTCTTTAGCATTGGTTGCTGAGATTTTGCTGCACCCATCACCTGAGCCGTGTACAATATAAGCAATACTAGTCCTTTCTCCCTCATTCCCATTCCAACCTTCCAGTCAAGTGCCCAAAGTCCATTATATCATGTTATACCTTTGTGTCTTCATAGCTTAGCTCCCACTTGTATGTGAGAACATACGACATTTGGCTTTTCATGCCTGAGTTACTTTATTTAGAATAATGGCCTCCAGCTCTATTCAAGTAGTTTCAAAAGACTTTATTTCATTCTTTTTTGGGGGCTGAGTAGCATTCCATGTTGTATATACACCACTTTTTCATTCGCCCCTTGTTGGTTGATGGGCACTTAGGTTCCACATCTTTGCAATTGTGAATTGTGCTGCTATAAACATGCCTGTGCCTGTGCCTTTTTCGTATGATTTCTTTTCCTCTGGGTAGATACCAAGTACTGGGATTGCTGGATTGAATGGTAGATCTCCTTTTAGTTCTTTAGGGAATCTCCATACTGTTTTCCATAGTGGTTGTACTAGTTTACATTCCCGCCAATAGCGTAAAAGCAGTTGTGCTAAGTGAAAAACATCCTTATTAAACATCTAAAAGCCCCAGTTCAAATCTCCTTTGTTGATAAAGACAGGGATTTAAAAATCTTTATAAATACTTAAATATATATGTGTGTGTATATATATATGTATATATATAGTTTTTTTAATTGCACTTTGGGTTCTGGGGTACATGTGCAGATCATGCAGGACTGTTGCATAGGTACATACATGGCAGTGTGGTTTGCTGCCTCCATCCCCCCATCACCTATATCTGGCATTTCTCCCCATGTTATCCCTCCCCCATGTCCCTACCCCCCATTGTCCCTCCCCTAGTCCTCCCCCAACAGAACCCAGTGTGTGATAGGAATCTAAAAATCTTAAATAAGAACAACATCATTTACATTTTGAAAACCCAGAATGAAAAAGTGGCAATAATCTGCTCTATCAGTGGCATATTTAAACTAACCATTGCTTCTTGTTGTTCTTCAAGCTAAAGGTAAATCTTGGCAGAGAAGAGTTAGTAATAATTCATAGTACCAGTTCACAGATATGTACATCTTATTTTTAAGGCTAATTGTATAATAAGAGATTTTATTACAAGGGGGGAGATTGTTATTTCTTAACTTATATAACTTTTTCATGAAAGTTTGTTTAAAAAAATTAAACAACTTGCAATTGGTCAAAATCTCCATGTTTGCTGTGGTACTAACAGTGAGGAAAGAGTATGGGAACTGAAAGGCAGAGAAGGCAGTAATTCAGAAATACACACAAATCCCTGCTACTAAGGGCTTGGTCAGAGGTAACATCTTGGTTTCTTAATTTTTAAGAGTTCGGAATGTACGAAACTTAGGCTTTATAATAATTGCTGAATGAACAGTCTTATGATTCATGACACTCCATGTTCGATTGTCAGGTTTTTTGTTTTGTTTTGAGACTGAGTCTCACTCTGTCACCCAGGCTGGAGTGCGGTGGCGTGATTTCAGCTCACTGCAACCTGCACCTCCCAGGTTCAAGAGATTCTCCTGCCGCAGCCTCCCAAGTAGCTGGGATTACAGGTGCACGTCACCACACCCAGCTAATTTTTTGTATTTTTAGTAGAGAGGGGGTTTTACTTTGTTGACCAGGCTGGTCTCAAACTCCTGACCTCATGATCTGATCTCCTCGGCCTCCCAGAGTCCTGGGATTACAGGCATGATCTACCGTGCTTGGCCTCAATTGTCAGTTTTTAAGACAGTTGACAGATGATATCTTTTCTTCATCTTTTGTTTAGTGTTAGAAAATATAAGTGTTATAATCAGCGTGGGAATGACAGGAATCTAATTTAACTGATTTTTTTTCTTTGACAGAAACTATACAAGGAAAACTATGAAAAGACAAAGGCAAAGAGCATAAATTACTGTGAGACTCCCAAATTTAAGCTCGATACCGTTCTGCAGAACTTCAGTAGTGATGTAAGCGATCTTACTGTCACTCCTTCTGTTAAAAAAAGAACCCATTATTTCACCAATTAATAAATGAAATATGTTTTGTCTTTCAGAACAAATACAAAGATTCCTACTTAAAAAATATTTTGGGACATTATGTAGGCAGCTTCGAGGATCCATACCATTCACACTGCATGAAAGTCACAGCTCAAAACAGTGATGTAAGTTCTAAGATAATTGTTTGACTTTTCAAATAACATTTTTCTTAGGGCTTGAATGCAATGGCTGCATCTTATGCCTGATTTCTTCTCCTCATAGAAAAACTACAAAGCAGAATATGAAGAAGACAGAGGCAAAGGCTTCTTCCCCCAGACCATAACTCAAGAATATGAAGCAATTAAGAAACTAGATCAGTGTAAAGACGTAAGTCCATAGTCTGAACTTTGAATGTGACTGCCTTCCATAGCATCTAGTGGTCAAGATATGTGTAAAATGCTGACACTTTTCTAAATAAGTGTAAGCCAGGAAATTGCAAGAAATGAAATCCATTTTGTAGTAAACATCCTATTTTCCCCTTGTTGGCATCCTTGCATTTTAAGAGGTAATTCTAGCTCATTTTCCCAAAGAAGAGTTATCAGGAATCTGAAGATTCTCATACAGATGTACGAAGAATCTCTCAAACTGCAGTCTAGTTAGAAATATATATATATATAATAAAAAAATATTAAATATATATAATTTTAATATATTAAATATATTTAATATAATTATATATTATATTATTATATATATTAATAATATATATATATTATTAACTATGAGTTTCTTTGCTTTGCGGGGCATGAGGTTCTATTTGCCTGGCCTATGGGCCACTTCGGATCTGACAGGTGATACTGTTAAACCAAATGCCTTTGCTTCCCACAGCACACCTACAAAGTCCATCCAGATAAGACAAAATTCACCCAAGTTACCGACTCTCCTGTTCTGCTGCAAGCCCAAGTCAATTCCAAACAGCTGAGTGACGTAAGTTCTTCTGACTACCCAGGACATCTAATAATAAGAGATAACATTTCATAACTCTATACATAAAATCCAATCACTTACAAGTTTATTCAAAAGGCAGGGTAAGTATTAGCAAGTTTAAATTGTGTGTATTTTTATATATTTGTATAAAAATATTTTTCTGCATCTTGTGGGGTGGATAACATTTACAATGAAATGATTCTGTAAAGGAAACAAATGTAGCTTAAAGCAATGGAAAGAACCTGAGTTCTAGAGTCAGACAAAACCACATTCAAATGTTAGCTCTGTCATTGAAGTCTGGATGGGCAAAGGTTTAACCTCCCTTTGCCTGATATTTGCCTTTTATAATTTGTGGCTATTTTGAAGAGTAAGTAAAGGGAGAAATGTACACTGCACATACCCTGGCCGAGAGTAGGTATTCAGTACATGAGTTTCTCTCTCCCTAGTAAGTTTCTGGAAATTGGAATCTCTGAGAAAAGTTGTATTATGTGAGCTTTAAGTGTGGACTTCCAAACTTACATTGAACTAAAAAAATAAAAGTAACCTCCGTAGATTTATGTCCAGAAATGAAGTCTCCAATTAGAGCATCAAAAGCCCTGACGTCTGTGAGAGGACTGTTAATCAGATGGAAGGAAAGCAGCTCCGGTACCTGAGCACTGACAGTGACAAGAACGACGGCACGGGGCACTTCCCAGAACCTACAGGGCCAGCTGTGCTATGCAGGGAGGGAGGCGTGTTTGACAGAGCTGCCTCATTCCCTTAGGGTCCTACCGTGGTGACAGATGTGATCGTAGCTAGCAAGTGTCCCACACACAGGTTCAGTCATGCAGGTGGCCTACCCAAGCTCTACAAGTCTCTTCTGATCTCGAAAATGTTGTCACTTATTTTACAAAATGTACCACACAAGAATTTTTGTATTCTGGAACAATTCTTCTGAGCTAATTGATATTCTCTCTCTCTGTGTCTGTCTCTGTCTGTCTCTGTCTCTCTCTCTCTCTCTCTCTCTCTCTCTCTCTCTCTCTCTCTCTCTCTCGTCATAGTTAAATTACAAAGCAAAACATGAAAGTGAAAAGTTCAAGTGCCATATCCCCCCTGATACTCCTGCTCTTATCCAGCACAAAGTCAATGCCTATAACCTGAGTGATGTAAGTTCCTCATGCCCTGTACTGTGTGCTATACTGACAACCTGTGCTTTTATTTTTGAACTGCTTCATTACGATTCAATGAATAATTTAATGTTAAAAATGGGAAGAACAGTTAACACTTGTATCATGTTCTTATGGCTCTGCCAGTATTACTGAATTCACCTTACAAAATGTGTGTAGCAATCTTATAAATAGTTTCAAACAGTTGGATAATCTTAATATAGTGTAACCATCCCTCAAAATGCTACTGCTCATTTATGCTTAATTGTAGATTTTAATGGTAGATCTTTTAGCCATATATTCATTTAAATCATACTATAATTCATTTATTTCCTGGGCTTATAATGTCCGTTATTTCACATAAATGATACTTATTTCTACACGTGTAAGGACTTTCATAAATAAAGATATAGCAGATAGAAAGGGCAGAAGTTCAGATACCCATTTCTATCTTTAATTTTTCAAACTTAATTTTATAGAAAAGTTTAATTACCCTTGGGGTTCTCAATTTCTTCAATAATTCTGTAAATGAGTACTAAGATTATCTGGTATCAATGAGTATTGTAATGATTTATGAAATAACCTTTGCAGAGAACTTAGAGGTCAAATGAAAGTGATGCCTTTGTATCATAAAAAGTAAGTTAACTGTAGAATGTTTGTGCTACTCTATAAAACATTCAGTGTTAGGAATCAAATATTAGTATAATAGCTAGAATTAAATTTGATTAAAAAAAAATTCTCATGGAGAGTAGAGAAGCCCAACTTAGAGAATTAATAGCTCCAGCTTGAGAATGTTTTAAATATGCATGATATCCTGGACAATAAAAAGGACCCATTTATTTTATATTGAGACAAGTTATTTAGTTACCCATTAGTCTTTAAAGGTGATGACATGCAGATCACTTTTGCCAATTCCTTTGCTGAATTTTTCTGTCCAGAATCTTTATAAGCAAGACTGGGAGAAGAGCAAAGCCAAGAAATTTGACATTAAAGTGGATGCCATTCCCCTGCTGGCAGCCAAAGCCAACACCAAGAACACCAGTGATGTGAGTGTGGCCTGGGGACCTGGGGACCTGGACAGGGCGGCCTCGGGGCATTTCCTGGAGAGTGGGATCTGGCACGTGTGATGTCTTTGCAGGTGATGTACAAGAAAGACTATGAAAAAAGCAAAGGAAAAATGATTGGAGCCCTCAGCATTAATGATGATCCCAAGATACTGCACTCCTTGAAGGTGGCCAAAAACCAGAGTGATGTGAGTGTCTTTGTAATTCACCCCTATTTTCAGATGTGGCCACAAAGTTTCTGTTTAAGTTAAGCTTGGATGGACATTAGCCTAACTGAAATCTCGGATTCAGGATGACAAATCACACGTGAAAGCTTTACCCAGGTGGTAAAGAAGTTGAACTTCCCTATTGTTGTGGATGTCTTCAATGCCAGTGAATATTGCAAAAGTTTCCTTCATCTCCTTAATGCCTTCTGTTTCGTTAGGAAGAAAAATATTCTGGCAATATCATTGTCTTTATTGTTTTTCCTAGAAATGAGCTTCATATGTGTAAATACAGCTACATGCACATGTAGGTATTCACCCAATGCCCACAACTGATTAAGGTAGTTTGCAAAAATAACATAAGAAAAATGAAAAGCAAGAAGTAAGTTAAAGGACGAAGTAAGAAAAACATGAGGCAAAAACTCAAAAGCAAAGTCTTTTATTTTAAGAAATTTATAGAATATTGATTTAAAGACTTTGATTTAAAGAATATTGATTTAAAGACTTTAACATACTTATTAAAAATAAAATATGACTCAGCAATCCTAATATAGGATATCTACCCAAAGGAATATAAATCATCTATTATAAAGACACATGCATGCGTATGTTCATTGCAACACTATTCACAATAGCAAAGACATGGAATCATCCTAAATGCCCATCAGTGATAGACTGGATAAAGAAAATTGGTGCAGATACACCATGAAGTACTGTGCAGCCATAAAACGGAATGAGATCATGTCCTTTGCAGGGACATGATGGAGATGGAAGCCGTTATCCTCAGCAAACTAAGCAGGAACAGAAAATCAAATACCACATGTTCTTTTATATGGAAGCTGAATGATGAGAACACATGGATACATGAAGGGAACAACACACACTGTTGGAAGTGGGGGTGTGGGAGAGGAGAGAGAGCATCAGGAAGAATAGCTAATGGTTACTTAATACCTGATTGATGGGGCGATCTGTGCAGCAAACCGCCATGGCACACGTTTACCTGTGTAACAAACCTGCACGTCCTGCACATGTGCCCTTGAACTTAAAAGTTGGAAATCAAACAAAAAATAATAAAACTCTTCACAGAAATTGCTTTCCTAATTCCTAGCAAAAAAAGAAATACAGAGAAATCATTTTTCATATAGAGGTGTTACAAAATGTGTTTCACCAAGTGCTGAACGGAGTACGCTTCCAGGACTGTGCTTAATTATCTAAGGTTCACCTCGAACCTTATATGTCATTTTGCATCAGCTCTTTAAAAAACTCATTTTTCTTTCTTCTTTCTTTCTTTCTTTATTTATTTAGAGACAGGGTCTTGCCCTGTTGCCCAGGCTGGAGCTCAGTGTTACGATCTTGGCTCACTGCAACCTCTGCCTTTCAGGTTCAAGCGATTCTCCTGCCTCAGCCTCCCTAATGGCTGAGATTACAGGCATGTGCCGTCACACCTGCTGATTTTTGTATTTTTAGTAGTGATGGGGTTTCACCATGTTGGCCAGGCTGGTGTCAAACTCCTGGCCTTGAGTGATCTGCCCACCTTGGCCTCCCAAAGTGCTGTGATGACAGGTGTGAGCCACTGCCATCTAGCCAAACTCATTTTTCTCTAAACATATTCAAATAAATTATTTTAAGACAAAACTTTGCTTAAATAGCAGCATTGGTGTACTTTAAGTTATTCAGCCTGAAAAAATTTTAGGACAAGTAACATAAACATCTTTGTGATTATTAGCAGGTGAGATTATATAAGGCATCAGCCTCTATCACACCAATACTGCTGTTTCTGCTTTGTGGAAAATAGATGCTGAGAAAACATAAATTTTGCCCCTTCAGTTAAAGTGTAGCAGTGACATGGCTTTTACTTTATGGGGTGTTTTTGTCTTTCTTTTTGGTTTAATTTCTTTTTCCTTTAACAGAGATTATACAAGGAAAACTATGAGAAGACAAAGGCGAAGAGTATGAATTACTGCGAGACCCCGAAATATCAACTTGATACTCAGCTGAAGAACTTCAGTGAGGTTCGGAAAGCCACGGTTACTTCTTGGGTCAGAGGGCTTTCCTACTGTTTGACAAATGATTGTTAACTTGGATTACATTTATTTTATTTTTCAGGCTAAATATAAAGACTTATATGTGAAGAATATTTTGGGACATTATGTAGGCAGCTTTGAGGACCCGTATCACACACACTGCATGAAAGTTGCAGCTCAAAACAGTGACGTAAGTTTGAAGACAATGGTTCATGCCTCACAATGACATTGTTTGAGAGCTGTAATAATCGCAATCTATTTTTGGTTTTTCTCATTATAGAAAAGTTACAAAGCAGAGTATGAAGAAGATAAAGGAAAATGCTATTTCCCTCAGACAATAACACAAGAATATGAAGCAATCAAGAAGCTGGATCAGTGTAAAGATGTAAGTTAGCTGCCCTGAATTCTTGAAATTGGGTTTGGGATTCTTGTGACATCTAGTGGTAAATTTAGCAGGAGTTTAAATGCTAATGTCTAATGATTAGGAGATGATTACATTTTACATTTAGTTTTGGGGTGGAACTGGGAAACACAACAATTATGATGAAGAGGGCTATTTGTTACAAAATAATTTCAGATTTTATAAATCTTAATTTCCATTAGTTTATATCTATTCAAATTCAGGGTAAAAGAAAGACATGCAGGTTTGAGGTAAGTGTTCATTATTTAACAAATTCATATGAGAAGGCAGCCTGGGCCAGGCGATTTCCTTGGTGCTGAGAAAGACAGGGAAAAAGTGGGCTACCTCTTGAGGAGCTCCCACTGGAGTGGAAGAGACAAATAATAAAGGAAGAGAGGACAGAAATAAGAAAGATATCAAGCAATGATAAGAAAACTAATATAGGATGATGATACAAAATTAAAATAGGACAATGTGTGAGACAGTGACTGGGTGGGCATCTTAGATTGGGTGGTCAACGAAGGTCTAAAACAGGCATGACCAGCCAGGCCAAGGTCAGGAGAAGAGCAGCAGGGAAGAACAGCCTAAGGAGAGAACAAACTCAGCATTTAAGGAATTCAAATGATGGGGTGGCTAGAATATACTGGGGAGGAGGGCAGTAGTAAGAGGTGAAATGGCAGGGGATGAGGGAGGGGATGGTTTCTGTAGGGATCTTAAGCCAACATGTAGTTTAGACTGAATACCAGGTTCAATAAAGAGTCATTGTAAGGCTTCAGTGGGAGAAGGGTTAATCTGGTTGCTGAGTTGCTGTAGGCAGACCAGAGGCAACTTGGGAAGTGGGGATTCAAGGCGAAGGGGGTGGGGGGGGGGGGAGAGCGAGAGAGAGAGAGAGAGAGAGAGAGAGAAAGAGACAGAGAGAGAGGCAGAGAAGTGAGAATATAAATACATCAACTAAGTTTTTAGGAATAAAATAAACTCTGTTTTGACCTGGAACCATTTTTTATGTTAGCGTATGTATAACCAAGACTATATTGATAAATTATAATGTATAAATACATTATAAATTTCATTAAAGACTATCTTCTTTTCTAGCATACCTACAAAGTTCATCCAGATAAGACCAAATTCACGGCAGTCACTGATACTCCTGTACTGTTGCAAGCCCAGCTCAACACGAAACAGCTTAGCGATGTAAGTGCTTTGATTTATGCAAGTGTGGGTGACCCTGAGAGCTTTGCTCATTTAAAACATAAGCATTTACATGCTTAATCTTCATGGGCTCATCTACCATCCCAATATTATTATTTTTCAAGATTTATTTATTAAAACACAAATGAGGCTGCTAGGTTGAATTGTAGCCTGAGGAAAGTTGTGTTAGACAATAAAAAAAATAATTACTGTTTTTTTTTAACAACTCACTGTTTTTTAGTGGGATTTTCTTATTCATTAGGATCTGTCACATGTACCCTAAATCTTCATGTCAACTTAAATGAACAGTTGACAACAAAAGCATCTATTTGGGTAGGTAACAAGGCAAATATTTCCTATTCTTGAATTTGCTAACAAAGACTTTCCAGAAAGTAAGGGCACAGTAACAAGACAGACATCAAACAATAATAAGAAAACTAATATAGAATGATGCTACAGAAGTAAAGTGGGATGACATCAGAGAAAGAACTGGATGGGTACTTTAGATTGAGTGGTCAAAGAATGTCTAAGACAGGCATGGTCCAAACATGCCAACATCCGGGGAAAAGCAGCAGTGCTTCTCAAATATCCACATTCATGCAGTCGTCTACTGACCCTGTTGAAGTACAGATTCTGATTCAGCACATCTGGAGGACTCCATATTCTGACTTTCTAATAAGCCTCTAGGTGATACTGATGCTGTGATTGGTAGGATACTCTTTGAAGAGCAAGGTGCTAACATAGCTAAGTCCTGGAGAATAGTACATCATTCTCAAGATAGGAAAAGTTTTTCCTGCAATAAAATGTTTTAATGATACAAATTAGCTCATATGCAGTTGTTAAGGAGGAGAATGGCATCAGTATAACCTAGAAGTCATTTCAGCTCATATGCCACTTTTCTGAGCATCTTAATATTTTGTGTCCCAATAAAGAACAGCTAAACACTAACATTGCTGATTTAGCTCATCTCAGCAAGCTGCAGAGAAATATAGTGCTGCATGTGGTCACAGTCACTATCAATCACTCTTTCTATTGGCTTGGGTAGACAATCTACTCTGCCTTGGAACTGCTTCTTGCAAATTCTCAATCTTGTGCATTTTTACTTTTGGCTCCAAAATTCAACAGCTTCATCCGTTCTTTACAGTCCCTTCCTTCCACCTAACACCACCTTTTAAAAAAATACAATCCTATGTTTAATATTGTAAATAAGAATTCACAGCCAGGTGCAGTGGCTCACACCTGTGACCCCAGCACTTTGGGAGGCCGAGGCAGGCAGATCAGTTGAGCCTACGAGTTTGAAACCAGCCTGGGCAACATGGCAAAATCCTGTCTTTACCCTGGAACCAACACAAATGCCCATCAATGATAGACTGGACAGGGAAAATGTGGTACATATACGCCATGGAATATTACACAGCCATCAAAAACGATGAGTTCGCATCCTTTGTAGGGACATGGATGAACCTGGAAACCATCATTCTCAGCAAACTGACACAAGAGCAGAAAATCAAACACCGCATGTTCTCACTCATAGGCGGGTGTTGAACAATGAGAACACATAGACACAGGGAGGGGAGCACTACATGCTGGGGTCCATTGGGGGGAAATGGGGGAGGGACGGGGAGGTGGGGAGGTGGAAAGAGATGGCATGGGGAGAAATGACAGATACAGGTGAGGGGAAGGAAGGCAGCAAAGCACACTGCCATGTGTGTACCTATGCAACAATCTTGCATGTTCTTCACATGTACCCCAAAACCTAAAATGCAATTTAAAAAATTATATTTAAAAAATCCTGTCTTTACAAAAAAATAAAAATATTATCTGGGTATGGTGGCATATGCCTACTCAGGAGGCTACTCAGGAGGCTGAGGTGGGAGGATCACTTGAGCCTGGAAGGTGGAGGTTGCAGTGAGCTGAGATTGTGTCACTGCACTCCAGCCTGGGTGATGGAACCAGACCCTGTAGAAGAAGGAGAAAGAAAAGAAGAAAGAATTGTTTACATATATTTTTAACTGTGCTAGTATTTTATTGAGAATTATTATTGTTTTTGTTAGTGCTTTGATTACAGAAGTTCATGTTCTCCAGATACAGCCTAGCAGTGTAGATCAGATCATACTCCCATTGTGTATAACATAATCTATGCAATGGCAGCTGGTAGCCCAGAGTATGGTTACACAGCAGTCCCCTTATTCAGTTTTGCTTTCCACAGTTTCAGTTACCTGCAGTCAACCATGGCCCAAAACTTTGAAGTGGAAAATTCCAGAAACAAACAGTTCATAAGTTTTAAATGATGTGTTGTTCTGAGTAGCATGATAAAGTCTCACACTATCCCCCTTTGTCCTTTCTTTATCAAGAAAAAGAAGGGTAAAAACAGATATTTTGAGAGCGATAAACCACATCCACATTCCTTTTATTACAATATATTGTTATAATTTTTCTATTATTAGTTATTGTTAATCTCTTACTGTGCCTAACGTATAAATTAAACTTTATCACAGGTATATATGTATAGGAAAGAACATAGTATATATAGGGTTCAGTGCTATCCATGATTTCAAGTGGCCACTGGGGGTCTTGTAAAGTATCTCCCACAGATAAAGAGGGACTGTACCACAGTCCCTGAAATAGGCAATGAGACTTAGAATCCTATGTGAGACTTTGACTGAATTGGGTATCTCTGTGAGGCATTTTTTTTAAAAAGGCACTAACACCTTGGCTATATAAACTGTCCTAAATAAATTCAAATAAGTTCCCTAAACTGTTCAAACATCCTTTATCAGCTGAATTACAAAGCAAAACATGAAGGTGAGAAGTTCAAGTGCCACGTACCAGCAGATGCACCACAGTTTATTCAACACAGAGTTAATGCCTACAACCTGAGTGATGTAAGTACCAAAGCCACAGAAGCCTGTGTTTGGTGTGCATGGAAAGAGAAAATGTTATCAATTTTGAAAGACAAGACTAGGAATTATACAAATAAACAAGTATTAAGATTGTTACCAGAGTGTAAGTGGAGTTTTTAAGGCCAAAATGTTCTTAAGACTTCTACTTACCTATCAGATTTCATTTTCCATGGTCTCCGTTACCATCAGAAGATCACTCAATTACCCTTCTGCTATTCCCTGGAGTTTTAAGACATCTTTCCCATGTAAATGTCACATTTCACCTTCACCAAGTTGTTGTCATTTTATAGCATCCTTATATAAATCAAGGTAGCAGAGTCTTTAGAAAGTTTACAGAACATTAAAAAGAGTAGTTTATACTTAGCGGTAGGGAGAAAGAAACTGGGTGACAGATAAATCAATATGTATGCTACAATTGATAAATACAGTATTTATAGGTGAAATAAGTATAAATAAATTTTGAAAATATTTTTATTTTTTTACTGAATTACACTGTGTTTAATGGTCTTATCATTCCTTTGCTGAATTTTTCTGTCCAGAATCTTTATAAGCAAGACTGGGAGAAGAGCAAAGCCAAGAAGTTTGAAATTAAAGTGGATGCCATTCCCCTGCTGGCAGCCAAAGCCAACACCAAGAACACCAGTGATGTGAGTGTGGCCTGGGGACCTGGGGACCTGGACAGGGCGGCCGCGGGGCATTTCCTGGTGAGTGGGATCTGGCATGTGGGATATCTTTGCAGGTGATGTACAAGAAAGACTATGAAAAAAGCAAAGGGAAAATGATTGGGGCCCTCAGCATTAATGATGATCCCAAGATGCTGCACTCCTTGAAGACGGCCAAAAACCAGAGTGATGTGAGTGTCTTTGTGAATCTGTATTGTTTTCAAGATGGACTCCCTCTTATGATGCCCAAGGTAGTTGTGTGGAAAAGGATTTCATGAGCATAGGCTCTCTCATGTTCACAAAAGTACTGCTATAGAAAACTTTAGAATAATGCCCTGGATTATTGCACCTCCCACATTTGAGGGGAAAAATCACTGATTTGTACTTGATGTCCATTTCACTTTGAAAAATGTATGCATCAATATTTAATAGAATATTGATTATATTCTTAAAACCTTTTAGAAAACTTCACTAGATGTTTTCACATTTTATTCTAATTGAAAAATAATTTTTAAAATGAAAATTTTAAAACTGTCTTTACTTTGGAAGACATTTATGAATCACAAATAAAAAATCTTAATAGAGTATCATCGTTCTTCATTGGCTTTAGTAATGAGTTTGGTCTGGATCCAGGAAAAAGACTCCATTGATTACAAATCCCTTTGAGATGCTGACAAAAGATTTGAATCATCTATCTAGAAAATGAACATTTATTTTCATGCCTTTTGCCTGAATTTTGGTGAACTCATGGGCTCCTTAAGGCTTGTCTATGGGCCATGTAACATTTTCCAGTTAAAACTCTTACTACAGAGAGACAAACATCTACTATTGCAAATTATAGTATATACTGTGTATAAAATGTTTAGAGAATCCCTTAAGAGTTCTGAGAATGTTCAATGTAGCTTGCAGGTACTAGTTTTTTATGATGAAAGAAAAGGGTGTTTGTATCATTTACTTTTAACCATGCTTTTATATGATGATATATACATACCTCTTTAACTCATGTGGCATTTATTGTGTCATCACATAGCACTTTAAAACTTCCAATTCCATAATTTTCTCCAGTAACTTCACAGTGAATTATGTCAGTATATAGTGCTCACATATATTACTATCTTGTTCACTGGTTAAGTTCTCTCAGCTCAAGAAGAGTGTGACTCCCCCTTGATAGCATGTATATTTTTATCCTTTGTTTTTATTCCTATCACAGAACCCTGTAGTAGGCACATAAGAAATGCCCAATAAATATTTGTTGATTGATGTAAATGACCAAAAGACATAGCAAATGAGTCAGTCTCACATAACATCCAGGCAAAATGCTAAGCTGCAGATATAGAACATGCATGACTTTTTTAAAAGAATCTTTTAAAGCCATTTGGATCTTTGACAACATTTTATATGTGCTGGTATGTGTCAGCTGGTGTGAACACGAACAAAACAGTAACAACAATCTCTTCAAAAATACTTCCACACACCAACTGTTGTAACATTGCCTTATCAGTTTACTTCTAATTAAGACAAACTTGTTTTCAATGTTGTTGCAAACTATCAGAAAGTTTCCATACTTTATTTTTATAAACTAGGGTCTCAATTTTATAGTTAAGTAATAAATGTATTCAGTGAAAGTGACTACCCACAAAATATGAGAAGGAAAATCAAGTTCCCTTAGAAAGCCAAAAGATCAGATCGTTTGCAAAAGGAATTGTCACAGAAGATTTATAATGCACATCTGTACTTACCAGCTTGGGTCACTGTCTCTAATATATATGTGACCATGGGAAACGAGGATGAGTTTCTAATTTACTTAAAGGCAGTAGGTCAAAATTTTTCTGTTAAGGTAATTAGTGAGTGGCTATGATGAAACTGGGAATTTGACCTAATTAGCACCTTGTCTAACCATTCCAGAAAACCAGACAATGAAGGCAGCCCTTAAGGCCAAGTCAGGGCATTTAGTTTATAAGAATATCGTACAGAAGGGCCAACATTATTTTAATGACTCAGTTTCCCAAACTTTTCTCCTATGAAGTCTTTTAACTGCTGCAATCTGAAGTTTCTTTTAAATTGTTGCCAAAATTGACCTTGATATGAAAACCTTTGCTATTCTCAGTAGGGCTTATCTCCTTTCAATAATAGGTTAAAAAATCAGTTGACTATCCATTTAAAAATGACTCTATACAGCCAAGAAACTAAGTCTACAGCCCTGTGTATGAAGTAGCCATTTTATAAAATCAAATTGTCTTATGGTTTTCATTACATTTAAAAAATGCTTCTTTACTGGAAAACTCTTCATAGGTTAAATTACATTAATAATAGCAACACTTGTTAGCGGTCCTTGAGAAACGCTGTTTTAGAATAAAAGCATTCCTGTTCCTGACTGAGCAGGAGCTGTGGCCCATTGTCTGTTGTGACTCTTGACGGTTTCTCATTGATTTGAGAAGGTCTGCCCACGTGTGCTTTTTGGAGGGATTTCAACGGTGTGTAACATAGGAACACATTTTTGGACAAAATAACTACTCAGATGTTTGAATCTTTCTCTAACTTGTATTTATTGTTTATGAAAGATCTGTCTTTTCTGGAAATCCATAGAAGATTTGTTATAATAAATGATAATTTCCTATTCACAGCGTGAATATCGAAAAGATTATGAAAAGTCAAAAACTGTCTACACGGCACCTCTTGATATGCTCCAAGTCACTCAAGCTAAGAAATCTCAGGAAATTGCCAGCGACGTTGATTATAAGCACATCTTACACAGTTACAGCTACCCGCCCGATAGCATCAACGTGGACCTCGCCAAGAAGGCGTACGCACTACAGAGCGATGTGAGTAACCAGGGTTTCTCTAGCCTCTTTAAAAAAGCTGGAAACTGAAATGAACTTCAAAGTTGAGTTAGGTTTTTACACTTCTCAGAGGTATCTGCACTGTCCTATGTATGTTAGCAAAACGACCCTTGTGATTCTCTAAGAACATGCCCTTCAAGGTCAGGAAGAACTGATCTGGCATGCATCCCATCACTGTTTCCCTCTGGGAAAGTTATCAGCCTTGCTAAGTCCAGAGTCCTCCTCTGTAAAATGGAAATAAATACATTGTTTGGAGGAAATAAAAACATTGTTTGGAGAATGCAAATGCATGCAAAATACTTAGCATGGTGCTAGGCCCGGGTGAGTTCTCAATAAACATTCAGTATTTATCATTGCTATTATCATAATCATCATATTCATCATTATCAATGATTTTTACATAGATTGCTATCTGAAAAGAAAATATATCATTTGACATAAATATTTATAACTATTTTTTTCTGCAGATCAAACTTCTTTAGGCAAGTTAATTTGTCTGAACTACACAAGTGAATACTTCATCCTAACAATTCTAGTTTTAAAAATGTGATAAAGTACACATAACATAAATTTACCACCTTTACAATTTTCAAATGTACATTTCAGTGGTGTTAAGTATATTAACATTGTTGTACAACCAATCTCCAGAGCCTTTTCATCTTCCCAATCTGAAACTCTATATTCATTAAACAGCAACTCCCATTTTACTTCTTCCCCTAGCTTATGGCAGCCACCAATCTATGCTGTTTCTAAGTTTGACTAACTCTAGATACCTCATGATGTGAAATCACAGAATATTTGTCTCCTTGTGATTGGCTTATTTCACTTGGCAAAATGTCCTCAGTGTTCATCCATGTTGTAGCATGTGTCAAAACATCCCTCCTTTTTAAGGCTGAATAATATTCTATTATATGGATATGCCACATTTTATTCACCCTTTCATCAGACATTTGGGTTGCTTCCACCTTTAAGCTATTTTGAATAATGATGCTATGAATATGGGTGTGTGAATGTCTCTTTGAGATCCTGCTTTCAATTATTTTGGGTATAAACCCAGAAGTTGAATAGCTGGATCATATGGTAACTCTAATTTTTATCTGTAGAAGAACCATCATAAGTAGTTTTCCATATCGGCTGCAAAATTTTACATTCCTGCCACTAACAATTCTATATTATGCATCGTTATTGTACTTGTTATTCGTTTGATTTGGTTATGTTTTTTCACCCCAAATAGATCATAAGCCTCTGAAGGACAAGAACTAAATATTTTGTTGATTTTCCATTCCACTTAAAAGGCCCACAGTAAAGAACAACAGTTTGAATGTTGTATATAAAATGTACATTTATGGTACCACCAATGGCCAGACAACAAAAGTAGCTCATGATTTTAATACCATCAAGTAACTGTGCCTCAACTAGGACCAATTCCAAATAATAACTGCTCCCTTATGCAAATGAACAAGTGCAACTGTTTTAAACTGTTGTTAGCCAATGTCGAAACACTCCAAAGTGGACCAGTACACATGAAGGGCCATGTGTGCAAACAGTACAAATAATTCCATTAAGTCTTATACAGCTCGAAAATGAGCAAATAATCCACCTTCAAAGTGGCCTTCTATTTTGATTTGATAGAAACATAATATTTAAAGTTCCAGAAAACAAATGTCTCACATTTGATTACCTGACAATTTCACTTACTCTTTAAAGGGCAGCTTTGACTTGAGCATTTTCCAGTTTGGAATTAGAGTACCACATACTTCCATTATGTTGGAAATAAGAATGAAATGGAACATATGCCAGTTAGAAGGAAAGCAAAAATCTAAGAGCTGTTACTATCTCTGAGCAAAGAAATACATACAATAACCTTAGCGTCTGGAGTAAGGAAGCTGGTTAGAAATCTCAAAAACATTGTTTTGAATAAAACATTGGAGTTTACATAATGAAGATGACACAGCAAAGAAATGTAACCTTTCTCTTGGTGTTTTAGGTTGAATACAAAGCTGACTACAACAGCTGGATGAAAGGTTGTGGCTGGGTGCCTTTTGGGTCCTTAGAAATGGAAAAGGCAAAGCGAGCTTCAGACATCCTTAATGAGGTAAAGCCATTGGGTGTGTCAGAGGGCGAGTGGTGACTGTGTTGTGTTAAAGCTCTCAAAACCATGGACAGTGCCTCCTTCATTGCCTCATTCTCCAGTGGCTGTTGCTGAGGAAAAAACTTACCACGTGCATAAATTACCCAGGTAGACCAGCACAAACCTTTATATTACCAAAATCGTTTATGTGAACCATTCATTATAAATATTTTTAACAATTTTATTAAGGTATAACTTGCATACAATAAAATCAGGTGTACACCTTGACAAGTTTTAATAAATTCATATGATTCTGCACTCATCACTGCAATTAGATTTTAAAATGCTGCTAGAACCCCAAAAAGTTTCCCCCTAAATTCCTGCTCTCATCTTCAGCCCCAGGCAACCACTGATTTGCATTCTGTCTCTAAAGTTCTCTTTCCTAGAAATTTCCTTTGTATCTGGCTTCTTTCACTTCATGTAATGTTTCTGTGATTCATCCATGATTCTGCTTGTAATTTTTTTAAAATTATTGAGTAGTAATCTTTTGTATGGATTTATTAGGTTGGTTCAAAAGTAATTACGGTTTTGACATTAAAAGTAATGGCAAGAACCACAGTTACTTTTGCCCTAGCATAATACGTACCACATTATTATTGCTTCACCGGTTTGGGGATATGTGGATGGTTTCCTTTTTTGTGTGTGATTATGAATAATGCAGCTGTTACAGAAATCGTCTTTGAAGAATTCTTCCCTACGTCAAATTCTGGTTGGCTTTGAAGTAATACATAAATTATAATTCAGTGTAAGAAAAAATAGTGATGCTCTTGAGCCTCATAAGGCAGCAGGGTTATGTGTCCCTCCTCTGTGACAGTGGCAGAGTCTCACTGCTGTCAGGCCGGTGCATCCTCAAGGAGGGCAGACAACACGAAGGACCGAGGTGCTATGTGCAGGTTACTTTCCACACTCAAGTTTTACTTCTTGTACACTGCCTTGTTTTCGATGAAAACCATTTTGTCTACTCAAAGATCTTCCAGAAAAAGTTATTCTGGGTTAGTGGTTTTTAGAAGTCTGAAGCTGAAAGAGGGATATTACGAAGTGGGATGTGCAATATGCACAAAGGAAGAGGACTGGGAAAATATATAAGAGATGAATACAGGAATAAGGTAGCTAGAAGTTGACAGCTCCCAGTTGGCACACCTCCCCAGGGTCTGCTCTGCAGTGCCCCTTAAATGCTTTGGTGATAATTTATGTGCTGACCACATTAAGGCTTGCAGAGCAAAAGTCCTGTCTCTATGAATAATAATTCCTAGCTCTTGCCCTAGTTCCTCAGTTCTTCCTTCCTCAACAACACAGCTTCTTGATGCCATTTGCTGATGGAGTAACAGGGAAAAAGAGAACTTGTTTGTGTCCTGCAAAGACACTTTAAATCTCCTTGCTTACTTTTCTGTCAAACCTTCAGAAAACTCTGGGATGTTTCTGCTTTCTGCTTAGCTGAGGGTGTCTTCTTTCATGTCATAGGCAAGAAATTAAGAATGGAGTCTGTCTGGTTCCTGAGAGCAGTATATGTGTCTGTGCTGTCCCAAAACATCCACAATTTAATGGATTTTTTTAAATATTGACTTTTGTATTGCATTCATCAAGCCAATCAAGAATCTAGTCTTTTTACATTTTAAAATCATAAAAGAAACTTCCTTATTGCTTCAAAATAAATTTCAGGGATTTTGACATATTAGCCTTCAGTGAAAAACCAGATTGATTTTCTCTTTTTGATTTGCCGAACAGAAAAAATATCGCCAACATCCAGACACACTCAAGTTTACCTCGATTGAAGATGCTCCAATTACAGTACAGGCTAAAATTAACCAGGCCCAGAGGAGTGATGTAAGTGTTAATCCTCTCTATATGTTAATAGATGTTAGCTAATACACATACATTTGTATTTCAAATGGACTGATCACCTGTAGTTATTACACAATATGAAGAGACCCAATTACATGAGCAGCTGTGCAATTACCCAGCTGTTCATTAATAAAGCATTCCTAATTAATATATTTACAGTAATGTATATTGTGCTGACTGTCCTTTTGGCCATTTGACATTGCTTTCTAAGGAAAAGGTAAGAGGGACTTCTCTTAATGGCAACAAAAACTACAAGCCTGTTTCTAGGAAAGACCAGAAAGAATGAGTATATCAAATGGGGAGCAGTTATATTTTAAGTCAGCCATGTAAACAAAAAATATGGTAACTGTAATACATTCTATTACAGTTAAGAATTTTATTTCTTATCCTATTTATCTTTAATTGCCCACAAAATATATTTTAGGTAGTTGGTGTATTCTACCCTATTATGCTTTCCCATGCTCAGGAAAGTGTTTGCAGGTGACCATTTTCAACAGGCCATCTCCCTGGGCTAATTGCCACTTTGTACCCCTACCTAGGCCCAGAAGTTCCTAGGGCAAGTTCCAAGGGACCTTTGCAAAACTGAATAAGCACTGAGACAGGATCCTAGGCAACTGCATGTGAGACCTTGAATGCCTACAGATATTTGCAAATGAATATGCAAATGCACAAGAATGTTCTCCTTAAAACCACCTCTGTGAAATAGAATCCTTTAGGAAATTATTTTCCAGTGCCATTAAACTTTTCTCTCTGTTTATTTGTTTGTTTGTGCATTTTTATCTCTTTCAGATCGCTTACAAAGCCAAAGGAGAGGAAATTCTTCACAAATACAACCTGCCAGCAGATCTGCCCCAGTTCATCCAAGCTAAAGTTAATGCCTACAATATCAGTGAGGTGCGTGGGCAGACTCGGGCTGATGTATGTGTCACACTCTACCAATATGGTCTCTAAGTTGTACTTAAATGACATTTTTCTTTCAGAATATGTACAAAGCAGACTTGAAAGACTTGAGCAAGAAGGGATATGACCTGAGAACTGATGCGATTCCCATCAGAGCTGCCAAAGCTGCCAGGCAGGCGGCGAGTGATGTAAGTCCAGCTGTGGTCATACGTGGACAACTAGAAAATGTGGGTGGGTGGGCTTGGGGTCTGACGATGACCCAAATGTCTCCATGCATGTGATCCCCAGTTGGAAGCAAATCTGATTGAAAACTATTCAGGAAATAAAGTTCCCTAAATAGATTTAAATTTTTTTGGCAGGAAAGGAGTTCTGTTACCTTCTACTGATTTGTTCTAATTAAGCCCCTTCATTTAAAATTCTCATTTCTGTTTCTACACTGACTCACATTACTTCTCTTGTGGAGATACCATTTAAGTCATAATTGCCTCCTGATGGTAAAATTTTTTCAAAACCTTATTGATATGGTCTCCTTCTTTCCCTTTCTCTCCCTTTTTACTTCATTACTTCCACAGACAGGTAAATTATCCTCAATTTCACCACCTCTAATAGCCAGTCTTTGGGTTCTATTAGAGTTAAGAATTTTATTTCTTATCCTATTTGTCTTTAACCAAGATGTGAAATGAAGTCACTTTGCTCTTTGAGATTTAAATAAAACTGGCTCAAGCCCCCATCTGTTATTCTATAGGAAGTGGAATCCCCCTTCACATGATTTCTGTGGCATCTCTGAGATTTTTATTTCTCAGCTGACCTCTGGCTCCTGGCTGGCTTGAGCTCACCTGGGGCCTCCTCCTGCGGGTTTCCTCTTGCTGCTGTGTATGACCCAGAAATGAAACACAGCCCCTTCCTTTTGACTTCCTAGAGTCCGAAACACCACTTTACTGATTGTTTGAAATTAGGTTTCAATCACTGCAGTGTGAATATGTGATGATTGAATAACAAATGTCCTCATCCTGAAATGCCCCTGTCCCACCCAGAATTTCTCACTGACCACCTTTCTCTGTGGGTGCTTTCCTTCAGCCACCCCTGCCCCGACATACCACAAACCTGCCCTTGTGCCTCTGCTTCTTAGTGTCCCACAGGGCCCTCCACATCTCCCCAAGGAAGCTCAGTCCCCCTCACTGTGTTATCCAGAGCCAGTTAGTGTTTACCTACCCCTGGCTCTGGGTTTCCCATTTGAATATCCAAGGACTTACTAAAATTCTATTATTATTATTTTTTTTTTTTTTTGAGACGGAGTTTCGCTCTTGTTACCCAGGCTAGAGTGCAATGGCGCAATGTCAGCTCACCGCAACCTCCGCCTCCTGGGTTCAGGCATTTCTCCTGCCTCAGCCTCCTGAGTAGCTGGGATTACAGGCACGCACCACCATGCCCAGCTGATTTTTTGTGTGTTTTTTTTTAGTAGAGACGGGGTTTCACCATGTTGACCAGGATGGTCTCGATCTCTTGACCTCGTGATCCACCCGCCTCGGCCTCCCAAAGTGCTGGGATTACAGGCTTGAGCCACCGCGCCTGGCCTTAAAATTCTATTATTAATATTAACATCCTACTGCTACTATTAAAAAAATGCTAAAACTCATCAAATATCCAGTTACTTGCACTCTAGTAACACAACATAATTGATAGAGGTTGTGAAATATGTATCTTTTCGTGTTTCTTTACCAATGTCTAAATGCAAAGGGAGACTATAGAGATTTATTTTGTTACTGATACCAATTATGGTAATGCCCCCATTTCAACCTCTCTTGGAAACAGCTACAGACAATCAACTGGGTTCTATAATACAAAACATTTTTATTTTAAACAGGCTACATTTCAAAGCATATAGAAGTGAATTGCTAACTGTTCAGTTATTGAAGTACAGGAATTTAGGAGAAGTTCAATTACTTCAAATCATGACCTCATTGTTTAGTAATACCTTCAAAGCTGTATTTTAAATTATGCCCACCTTTGTTTACAATAGGTTCAGTACAAAAAAGACTATGAAAAAGCTAAAGGGAAAATGGTTGGCTTCCAAAGTCTTCAAGATGACCCTAAACTTGTTCATTATATGAATGTGGCCAAGACACAATCAGATCGGGAGTATAAAAAAGACTATGAGAAGACAAAGACCAAATACAGCACACCCCACGATATGTTCAACGTCGTGGCAGCTAAGAAAGCTCAGGATGTGGTCAGCAATGTCAACTATAAGCATTCTCTCCATCATTACACCTACTTGCCTGACGCCATGGACCTGGAGCTGTCTAAGAACATGATGCATATACAGAGTGATGTAAGTGTCATATACCCCTCAAGAAAACTCACCTGTAGGTTCAGAGTCTGCCATGAAAAAAACCCTGGCCTGGGCCCTCACTCCTCTTTTTCCCATTGCTGTAGAACGTCTACAAGGAAGACTACAACAACTGGATGAAAGGCATTGGCTGGATTCCTATCGGCAGTCTTGACGTCGAAAAGGTTAAAAAGGCCGGTGATGCTCTGAATGAAAAGAAGTACAGGCAACATCCAGACACCCTCAAATTTACCAGCATTGTGGACTCCCCAGTTATGGTCCAGGCAAAACAGAACACGAAGCAAGTCAGTGATGTGAGTACGACAAAATAGAGAGGACAGAGGATATGGAGGAAGCTTTTTAGAAAAGTCAACAGCAGCCCAGTATTTTTATTCTTCTGGGCAATATCTTTCCATTTTAAATTTATTATTTTGCTTATTTAGTTTTTTAAAAAAATTACAGTTATGTTTAGTTTGGGCACTAACATTTTCTTCTCTGTTGCTTTTTATCTTCCTTTTAAATCTTTGAAATATTGTGACATGGTGGAAAAATACTATTCTAGAACTCCACATGCAGACAAATACACATACACATACACAGAATTTAAGCTTAAATCCCAGACACTTTATTTTGGCAGATTTGTTGTATTCGTTTCTATATTAAGTTCCTCATATTTTCTTTTCATATATAAAACATTAATACAGAGAAGTAATACATATGAATATGTGTCTTTGCTCCTAAGAATTCAGCATACACAATTATCATAGACTTTTTAACATACGTCTGATTGAGACGAGTATCGTTTGCCTGCCTGTGCATGAGCAGCATCTATGCTGTGGCTAAAGTCAAAGTTTCTAAAGGAAAGTCTGGTGTATAGAAGATCAAAAGCATTCACTTGTTAATTTATTTAATGAATGCTTTTTGAACATCTGTGTGCCAGGCACTGTAGTACCTGCTGATGACAAAAAGATGAAATAGATGAGGATTCCTGGGATATAGAAATTCACAAAAATGTAGGGTAAGAGCATAAGACAAAGACATGGCTACAAGCAGGGCATTGTCATCCAGAGAAACAAATGCTGCAGGAGAGGAAAATGTTGAGAGCAAGGGAGGATGCCTCGTACAAGGGTAACTGCCTACCAGAGTTTCCCAGGCAAGTGAGAGAAGCGAGCATTCCTGGCAAAAGGAACAATATAATAGCAGTAGAAAAGGAATGAAAAAGTATAGATGCAAAAGGCTCAGAATGGTAACCTGATTAGTGAGGGGCTCATGTGCTAATTGTTAGAGTCTAAATATTATGTGGTAGGTAAAAAAGAGATGTTGAATGTGTTGAATCTGTGGAGTCCCATTATCAGACCTGTATTTTAAAACACAATGCTGGCCCTAAGTGTGGAGACTTTGGAAAGGAGAGACTGGAGGCAAGAAGATCAGTCAGAAGGCTGTCACTGAAATCCGAGGAATTCTTAATTGGACTGAAGCTAAGGCAGTAGCAATGGCAGAGAAGGAGCTGCGTAGAAGGTTGAATTCATGAATCTGTGATTGCTTAGATATTGTTCTTAAAGGCAGTGAGGACTTAGAGATAACTCTTTGGGTCCTAGAAGAGACTATTTAGTATTTGGGGATTAATTTAGCTATTAGCCATGTCAGATTTTATCTTGGCTGCATGCATACCAGTTTGCTTGTCATATTCCACATAAGCATGCCAGGGAAAGAGGGATATATATGATAGGAGGATGCAGTAAGATTTCTGTATCACATATTTTGACACCTTTCAGCGAAAAGTGTATATGATTCTTTAAAGTAACAACGTAGGGTAAATATGAAGTAGCGAGCCTTTTGAGTATGCTGGATTGGTGTATAAGCACCTCTACATTATGAGGAAATTATTGTTTGCTTTTATTGCTACAATTACATTTTGGAAAGTTTTTAGCAGAAGTGAAAGATTATTCTAACTACTATTTTCTCTCTAGGGATAAAGAAACAAAAACTTATAAAAATGTGAGAACTATTAACTCACAGGCAAAGAATAAATTTATTTGGCTCTGGTGAATTTTATTATTCTTGCTTGGATTTCATGTTTGAATTTACCTTTCCATTCACCTCTGGCAGTGAACAATTTTTATTTTCTTAAGAATTTTTTTCTCTTTCTATTTTAACACACAGAGTTGTTGGTATTAAGATAACAAAATACTTGTTTTGTTTTTAAAAAATGAATTTTTTTCTCTTTCTATTTTAACACACAGAGTCGTTGGTATTAAGATAACAAGATGCTTGCTTTGTTTTAAAAAAAAGAGGAAAATGCGTTTGATGATTTTTAACAGGAGAAATTCGTGGGTGATTGTGCTAAAAATAACTGTTTAAAGCAAGCAGTTAATAGAATTTCCTTTTTGCACTATGTGAAATGCATTTTATTGCAGATCTTATACAAAGCTAAAGGAGAAGATGTGAAACATAAATACACTATGAGTCCTGATCTTCCTCAGTTTCTCCAGGCCAAGTGCAATGCTTACAATATAAGTGACGTAAGTAGAGTCTTCGCTGAGATGTGAAATTCAGACCTGACATTAAAATCATAGACTTTAGGAGTAGGATGGTGCCTTGACTATTTATTTAGGTCAGTTTCCCACAAATCCCCCATTGGAACATATCCCATAGGATGGTCCTTTACCTCTTCAGTTAACCTTTTCAAGTGTAGGACAACTTTAAAGGATGTAACATTCTTCTTTATGTAGAGCCCAACATCTATTCCCCTAAAACTTCTACCTAGTTTTCCTAGTTTTGCATGTGGGGGAGGTTGTTATCCTCCAGAAATATACAATAAATTAGATCCTTTTAAAAATAACCCTAAAATTTCAAAAGCTGACCACCATGTCTTCTCTTGACCTTCCTTTCATAAGAATGAACAACTTCATTGTGTCTCTAGCTGATCCTCACATACCATGGTTTCCAAAACCTTGTTCATTTCCTCTGGATCCACTCTTTCAGTATTCCTCTCTTCAACAGGTGTCAGAACCAGATATAGGTCAATAATTAGAGCAGAATCCAATGATCTCACGCTGCACACAAAGTGTGACACTTTGCCAGTGTGATTTCCTAAAGCAGTATGTGCTATGGAGGATTCCTTTAACTTCTGTCTGGAAAAGAACAAAACAATCCCAGCAGCTGAGGAATCACTTAAGCTGATGAATACACAGATGCTGACATCCTGTTTGCTTTTCTGTCCAGGTCTGTTATAAACGGGATTGGCATGACTTAATAGCCAAGGGCAACAATGTGCTGGGTGACGCTATTCCCATCACTGCAGCCAAGGCATCGAGAAACATTGCCAGTGATGTGAGTAAAAATTTTAGGTGAAATTTGGATGTTTGCCTTTTTAAAAAGTAATCAAATGCTTGTTTAAATTGACACTTCACTGAAAGAAATATGTCAAATTAATGGCATTTAAATTCTCAAAATATTGTTTGGAAAACCTGTCGCTTTTAGAAATATTTTTGTGGTTCTTTTCAGTTGACCCCACTTGGCGGAGCTGTCATACATCTGACAGTGGCTTTTTCCTTTGATTCACAGCCCAAATTACCTTCACTGACACATTTCTCTGACAGCCCACATTTATTTTCAGTGGGAACATCCTGACTGCATTACCATGTTAAATTCAAATGACTGCCTGCGTTATAATTGTATTAAAAACACTGAAAAAAGTTATGTAAAATGTATAGATTTTTATAAACCAAAGAGGAAAAAGTCTACTTTTTAAGGATATAATTTTGATTCATGTAAATTGATGTCCATTTCATCTGGTACCAGAAAAAGTATACACTTCTACTTCTTTCCATCTTTGAAAAACAAAATTTTTAGAAAGCATGCATGCCCTGCAGAGTTCACTGTTACATGCCATCCCAGGGGCTAGAATCTTGATTTGAGAAAAGAGAAGAAACAAACCAGGTGTACAGACCACGTACGAGACAGGGGTGTAAAAACGCTGCTGCTCTCCTTGGAGGAGTGGTACTAAAAACGTCTTTTGCAAAGATCTGCACACGATGCACATCACTATGAAATACATTTCTAGTTTAAGTAGGGAGTGAAAGTCTACGGTACAACTTTATTTATTTATTTTTAGCAACTGCACAGTGCTTTTTCACATGTCTAGAAATTACTTGACTCCTTTTGCCTGCTAAACTCTTGTTTATGAATTAAGGCTTAAATTGCAGGAGCTGAAAGTCTACAGGGTTTAAGTGGATTTGAATTGTCTTACATAACAATTGAGGTTTTGACCTGTTACAGGATTGCTCAATCTGTATCCCGTTGCTGCTTACAGCAGCGAGAGACAGTGGACAGCGGAACTCTGTCCGTTCAGTTTTTATTGATGGGAAAACCCCACAGCAGGTCCTGTCCTTACTGTGGCTCCTTAATTCATTTGCAGCTGTTTCAGCAGTGAGCTTGGAAAGCAGCTGCTGATAAAAGAAGCTGGTGAAGGCCCAGCTGTCTTTCAGCGGGGACCCATATTTGTGATGTAAAAGAAAATATTAAATTGAAAACATTCGCATCCCTATGAAACCAAGGGATACTGCTCTTATCTTTAGAATGTGTCGTGTTCATATTAAGTGTGAAAATTCAGTTTGTTTTAAATAAAATTCCACATGCAAACCATCTAGGAGTCATGACAAAGAAAATAAACTGATCTCAAATGTATCATGACATTCGCTTGAAACTTCAATACATGTTTTCACTGAACTTTTTGGAGGGGGTTGTGGTTTGCATTTTTTGTACACTCTTGAGAAAGTCACAATGTTCTGAGCGTCTTTGTATATGAATGTAATTGTAGCGTTAATGTCATCAATGCCTAGGACTTTGCTAACCCAATTCTGCCTCCACAGTATAAATACAAGGAAGCTTATGAGAAGGCAAAGGGAAAGCATGTAGGTTTCAGAAGCCTCCAGGATGATCCCAAGCTGGTCCACTATATGAATGTAGCAAAGTTGCAGTCCGATCGTGAATACAAGAAGAACTATGAGAACACCAAAACCAGCTACCATACCCCTGGGGACATGGTTAGCATCACAGCTGCAAAGATGGCCCAGGATGTCGCTACCAATGTCAACTACAAACAGCCATTACATCATTACACATACCTACCAGACGCCATGAGTCTTGAGCATACGAGGAATGTCAATCAAATTCAGAGTGATGTAAGTATGTGTAACAACAGACCCAGAGATGTTTGCACTTAAAGGATGATCATTTCTCTCTTTTATTAGACCTCATACTACAGTAAGATATTTGAAAAATTCATTTTAGAATAAACAACCATTACTGAAAGACTACTAAAGGCATAGCAGATGAGCTGTTCTTGCCTGCTTTCTATGCTTATATCATAATCATTAATGTTGTCTTTAATAACTAAAGAATGAAAGATAAAAGTATATTCCACTAACTAGGAGAGCCACTTTGATTCTCAGCAAGAAAAGATGGGTATTCCTGATGGGTTGGCTGCAATGGTGATAGATATAAAATGCAATATAGAAGAATTTTCTCTCCTTCCTGAATTTGGGAAAGGTGGGGTTTTATTTTTTTCCTTTATTAACTCAAGGTCACAATGTCTTCCATGTAAATCTATGAGTCATCTAAAATGAACCAGGAAGGCTTTGTGCTTGCAACATGATTCATGGAGAGCTGCGCAGAGAGGTATTTAACAATCAGGGCGTTTCCTTCTGCAGGAGCCAGATTTCTGTTAGAATTGTCCTCTGTAAAGGGAAGAAGTGTTACATATTTCTTGTCACTTGATGAAAATATTGCTCCCCAGATGAGCTCAAGCATAGCCTAGGTGGACAGTATGGATGTAATTTAGTTTTGGAGTCATCAGTGAAATCAAAAGGAAAGCCCAATTTATTGTCAGAAGTGACAAAATATTTTCTAGCAATACCCATAGAGACCTAGATTCCCTTCTGTGTTGCATAATGCATTCTGAAGCATGGTCATTTCTCTCCGTTTTATCAGGCTTCATAATAGAGTCAGAGACTTGAAAAAACCTTAATATAAACAACCATTGTGGAAAGTACCAATTTATTGTCAAAAATGACAAAAAAATTTTTTAGCAGTACCCATGAAAATATGTGACTTAGATTCCCTTCTGTGTCGTGTAATGCACTGTAACAACAGAACAGCTTCTTCTTATTACCACCCTCCAGATAAGCTCTGTGACAGTCAGACATGAGCATGCTGAAGAGTTGCTGTTCCTTTCCCTTGGCTAGAGAGTTGCAGATCCCAGAAACACCCCTTGAATATTCTCCAGGGTATCTTCTTATATGAGCTTACCCTTTTACAGAACGTGTATAAAGACGAGTATAACAGCTTCTTTAAGGGCATCGGATGGATCCCTATTGGTTCCCTGGAGGTTGAGAAGGCCAAGAAAGCAGGTGATGCATTAAATGAGAGGAAGTATCGGCAGCACCCAGATACCATCAAGTTCACAAGTGTGCCGGATTCCATGGGCATGGTGTTGGCTCAGCAGAACACAAAGCAGCTAAGTGATGTGAGTGGTTTCCTTTCAAAAGGATTTGTCCATAAATAACCCCACATGTCTGAGCCGCTCCACCATCCTTCTTAATTCAATGTGTGAGGATGCATCTATGTCCGCAAATAAACTGCTTTCATAGGTACGAGAGAAAGGGCTGACTTCTGAAGCAACGGGGATCTTGAACATGGGAAAAACAGGAAGGCGAAAATGAGGGGCTATACCAAATTTGCTTTGTTTTCCAAATATAGAGAGCCTGTGCTATTCATAAGCAGATACACATTATACATATGAAATGACATTATTACTATTATTATCTGTGGCTCTGAATTGCAAAAGAAGCTATTTATTGCTTTGATTGCAGTAGTTCTACCTAGTCATAAAGGGAAGAGGCGTAATGTCCTAATCCCCTCGCATAATAGCTCCATGTTCTGAGAGGCAATCTTAGAATGAGGCCTCTGGGGAGGAGATAAGCAGTTTATTTGCAGTCATCTGGGGTCTCATTCTGAGACCACATCTATATGGACTCTTATTCTTTCTGTCAGAAGCTAATTACAATGCTCAGGGCCTCACATGATTTGTTAATTTTAGAGTTCTGTTAAAATGCCTCCAACAGCAAGAGAGGGGTAAGTAAAAAGCAAAGAAAGAAAGACTTTTTGTATTTTTAGTCCCAGATTTTGAAAGGTGGGGAACGCTTTCCTTGCCTTGGATTTGAATATCTGTGGATTTTAGCTTCTGCTCCCACATTATCACAGATGTCTAAGGGTTAATTCTATCTTAGGGGTAATACATGGTATAAATTCTTTGATTTATTTTGTACTGAGCGAGATGTCGCTTCTCGTGGTGTTTTTCCAGTTAGCTAGGCAAACTGTACATTCACTATATAAAGTCTTCCCCATCACAATAAATGCCATCAACATCTACCTCGTTACTCAAGCTGGAACTTGGCAGTCACTGTTAACACCTCCCTGTGTGAACTCCCACATCCAGTGCATCTGCTGAGTCAGCTTCCTAAATATCTCTCAGCCAGCCTGCTCCCAACAGCCACCAGCCCTACTTCCAGCTTCCGTATGGCTCATGTGGACAACTGCAATAACCTGTTACCTGGACTCCCTGCCTGGGGTCTCAAACAACCCCAAAAGCCTGTCTTAAAACACGAATCCAAGCATGTCCCTTTCATATGTAAAATCTCTTAGGAACTTCTTGAATGTGAAGTGAAATCTAAACTCATCAACTTCACTGAAAAGACCCTCCTCTCTGTGACCTTTCTGCACCTCCTGTCTAATACCGCCGCACCGCGCCTCTACCCAGGCACGTTCCAGCCCCATGACTTAGACTGATTTCAGTTCCTCAAGGTGGCCAGCCCATTTCCAGCCTCAGGTCCCGAATGCTCTTCCTCTCCCCTGTCTCCAAGTTTGAGCGTAAATATTACTTCTGCAGAGTGGCTTTACTGACCATCCTTGTTTCTTTGCTACAATTACTCCATTGACCACACGTCACAAATTCCAGCGGTAGTTTGTAGTTTACATGTTTTTTTGTCTGTCCCTTTTGTTGGACAATAAGCTCCAACAAGGACTGATTTGCCTTCCTCACCTCTTTAAACACAGAAGGTACCATCCTGCCCAGCCCACAGTGCTGCCCAGTAAATACTGGTAGAATAAGAACATAATTGCCTCTACCAGGGTCCCCTCCCTTATGACAGAGTAGGCATTTGTTTCGTACATGGAAAACACAATGATAACCTTCGTTTTTAAAGGCGTCTGTGCTTGATGAAACTTAAATGATGTGAGCTAATGATATGTGCATGCTGCCTCCTTTGCTTTTAGTTGAACTACAAGGTGGAGGGAGAGAAACTGAAGCACAAGTACACTATTGACCCTGAATTGCCTCAGTTTATTCAAGCCAAGGTCAACGCCCTCAACATGAGTGATGTGAGTATTTGGCCCAGTGCTAATATTGCCTACTTGGGCCTCTCCTTTCTGGTTCTTTGGAACTCTTGCCATCAGAATTGTAGAGGGGGAAATTGAGTGTGAACACTGAGCCTCCGTGTTGAACCCTTAACCTACAACATGAGCCTAGGGCTGCAATACAATTTTGCCTAATACAGACTTTTCCAAACTATGGGCTGTGACTCATTCGTGGGTTGTAAAGTCAGTCAAATACATTGTGTCCCATTTTTTTAAAAAAAAAATGGAACATGAGATAGACAAGATTAGAAAACGCAAGAGTGCCTAGTCTGTGGTATGGAAAATATTGCTTTCTACAACTTTTAATTACTTATTAAAACATCCAGAAAAGTTTCGTTTTCTTCACAAACTCTTTTTTTTATGGAACTAGCCTCTCTCCTGAGTAGTCTAGACACCTAATTGGTGGTAATGTTTAAATCCACTATTATGAATTGTTTCCTTTTTTAAAAAAAAGATATTGATAAATCCTAATTTAAAAACATAATCAAACTTGGATAAGATTGTTAATTTCTTAAAAGATGGCTTAGTCATTCTTTCCAGTGTTTTTAGGTTCTGTTTCATCTCCACCTATACATTCCTATGCTTTTGGTTCATTTAAATTTTTTTCTAATTTTATAAGTAATATTTAAGCAGTAAGATCAATCAAAGCTGAGTTGTACTACATCTGGATTTTTAGTTTTAGTATTCATGTCTTTCTATAAGCCTGAAATACTTCATTGCAAGAAAATTTTTCCCGGCCAGGCGCAGTAGCTCACGCCTGTAATCCCAGCATTTTGGGAGGCCGAGGCAGGTGGATCACGAGGTCAAGAGATCGAGACCATCCTGGTCAACATGGTGAAACCCCGTCTCTACTAAAAATACAAAAAATTAGCTGGGCATGGTGGCGCGTGCCTGTAATCCCAGCTACTCAGGAGGCTGAGGCAGGAGAATTGCCTGAACCCAGGAGGTGGAGGTTGCGGTGAGCCAAGATCGCGCCATTGCACTCCAGCCTGGGTAACAAGAGCGAAACTCCGTCTCAAAAAAAAAAAAAAAAAGAAAAGAAAATTTTTCCCGAAAGTATTATATATTATAGAAAGTTGGAAAATATAGAAAATTATGAAAAATAAATGAAAACCTTCTGTTATCCAACAGTCAAAGCATTACCTTTCAGTTGCATTGTTATGAAAAATATACATTTTTTGATCAGTTGAGATTATACTGTGTAAACAGTTTACTAATCCTTTTAAATAAAATCTAATATATATGTAAAAGACAATCCTAACTTCGTAGATTGTCTTAATAGAAATGGATCTATTATGACATGTTTTATAAGAAATATTTTGGCATTCTGTTTCATTCCTCTGTTAATGTTGTCAAATAATCAAATAACGTCTACTTTTTTGAAGGCTTATTATAAAGCAGATTGGAAGAAAACTCTTGCCAAGGGCTATGATTTGAGACCAGATGCCATCCCAATTGTTGCTGCAAAAAGTTCAAGGAATATTGCTAGTGATGTAAGTCTAATTTAAAAGTAGGAAACTTTCTGTCTATCTAAAAGACTTCAGGAGTTCAAGACCAGCCTGGGCAACATAGCAAGACCCTGTGTCTATAGAAATAAAAACAAATTAGCCAGGTGTGGTGGTGTGTACCTATAGTCCCAGCTATTTGAGAGACAGATGGGAGAATCTCTTGAACCCAGGAGTTTGAGGCTGCAGTGAGCTGTAATTGTACCACTGCACTCCAGCTTGGGTGACCAAGTGAGATCCTATCTCTAAAAAAGAAAAAAAAAAATCTATATGTGATATGTAAGACTGTATCAACTATATAAACAATCAAGTAAAGAAATTATAATATATAACTTCTAAAATCCTAATTGCCAATTACATGGTTTATATTGTTTCACTTAAAATATTTTTCACATATTTGAAAGCTTAATAAAGTTCTTACAAAAAAGAAAATTCTTTTTTTAAAACTGTGAGGTATTTGAAATTTTCATTAGCATCATTAGGAACTTAAACACTTTTTATTTGGAGTTTGTCACAGAAAAAGTCGTGATATACTAAAATATCACTAAATTAGAAAAGTCTCCAAGTATTTTAAAAGAATATGATGTTTTAATTTTATAATTTCCACAAAGAAAAACATCCGTGGAAATAGAAACATGGAAAACCGGAAAAAATATTTTGCTAGTTCTTTGTGGTTTTCCATATTTTTAGTTCCATGGATTGGATTACATAACAGGATTTTAGTTAATTACATAAAAGGATTTTAATTTTTTTTTACAAATTAAGTTATATTCCTCTATGAATTGACATAATAAACACCTTGATAGAGCAAAAACACATTAATTTCAAGATTAATACACTAATTTGTATTAGGGCTGAAATTTACTCATAATTATGCAAATAGTTTTTAAGTTAATACAGATTAATAATGGAAATATGATAATAAAAAAGCATACATTAGCCAGATGTGGTGGCTCACAAATCTAATCATAAAACTTTGGGAAGCTGAGGAGGGAGGACCCCTTAAGCCCAGGAGTTGAAGGCTGCAGGGAGTCATGACTGCACACCATTCCACTCTAGCCTCAGTGACAGAGCAAGACCCTGTCTCCAAAAAAAAAAATAAAAGTGCACATCAAATGCCTAATAAGCAAACTTCTCAGGAACCTTTGAGTATATTCAAATAATCTACTTATGAAGAGTATAAATATAAACTCTTCCATTATTCCATTCTTAATGATCTCTCCAGAGCAGGTCTCAAGATGAGCCATTAAAAATGTTTTTCTAATTGTTTACTTTAAAATATGGGAATAAAACCTTAGATGTTACCTAGATTCAGGCTGAATTTAGCTTTTGCTTAATTTGTTGTATAAATTCAGTTTATATCAAACTGCTATGCTATCCAACTTTTGTTTGTCCTTTGTTTTCAAATAGTGCAAATATAAGGAGGCCTACGAGAAAGCCAAAGGTAAGCAAATTGGATTTCTCAGCCTTCAGGATGATCCTAAACTGGTTCACTACATGAATGTGGCCAAAATGCAGTCTGATCGTGAGTACAAAAAGGGCTATGAAGCCAGCAAGACCAAGTACCACACACCTCTGGATATGGTCAGTGTGACAGCCGCAAAGAAATCTCAGGAGGTTGCCACTAATGCCAACTACAGACAGTCATACCACAACTACACTCTGCTGCCCGACGCCTTGAATGTGGAGCACTCCAGGAACGCCATGCAGATTCAGAGTGATGTATGTACTGGTTATCAAGTTGTCATCCATTTCTAGTGGGTGGGAGGGAAAAATAGGAACCACTTACTCCATCCCAAACCTGGCCGCACTCGCTGTAATTAAGGATCCCCTCCAGAACTGGGAGTTTTGGGATTTCACTCATTTGAACTATAGGTAGCTTTGTTGTTAATTTTTTATATATGCATACATATATATTTAAAATATTGGTGTTAGACCCAAACATACGATGTTGTCTGTGAAAAATTAGGAGACTCAAATAGGTGTTATATAATTTTCCTTCCAGGGCGAAATTCTGTTAATTTTTCTTTTCCTCAAGAAAGTTAACTTTTTAAAGGGATTGCTGGGTCAGGATTTCCTGTTCAAAACCACCATGAATGCAATCACTTTTATAACTAATTTCTTCTGAAAGACTGTAGGAAGTAAAAAGCAGATTTTTTTCCCCTGCACATCTTCCCTATTTTTTTTTATTGTAAGTTAATCATGTAGCCAAAGAAACCCAAGCCCTGACTCTTTCTGAAATGAAAAATGTTTTGTTTTTTTTTTTTCATTGTAAAGAATCTGTACAAATCTGACTTCACCAATTGGATGAAAGGGATCGGCTGGGTCCCCATAGAGTCCCTGGAGGTGGAGAAGGCAAAGAAAGCAGGAGAGATTCTTAGTGAGAAGAAGTATCGCCAGCACCCCGAGAAACTAAAGTTCACATATGCCATGGACACAATGGAACAGGCACTTAACAAGAGTAACAAACTGAACATGGACAAGGTAAGGACTCACCTGCTAGCCTCGCCTAGGGAACCCTCATGATGGTCACGCCATTGAGCCTGGAAGGGCCCCCATCATCTCCTTCAGTGTTTCTGTCTTTCTGGTCGTCTTGGTGGTGTTGGTAGGAGGAGGACTCTGTTGCTTCCATCATGTTGAGAGTGTTCTCTTTCATGGTGACCCCCCTCAGGTCATCTCCCAATAGCATGTTACAGATGTGACAGAACCACAAAACTCTACCTAGTTGTGCGGAGGAGGCAAGACGGTATTTGACGCCTTTGGTGGTAGAGAGTTCCCTTATTCAATAATGTTTTTTTCTCATTGTATGTTTAGTTTACTCGGCCCATCTTTTTGTTATTTCATCCATTTTTCTAATACCGCATTTAACCTCTTCTACCATGGAAATGCCAATCTCTTCCTCTTGCTAGCATTGAAGTAAACTTGTCCTGCTGTAAAATCAAGCACCCGACTTTCTCATTGCAGAGGCTCTACACTGAAAAATGGAACAAGGACAAGACCACCATTCACGTCATGCCTGACACACCGGATATTTTACTCTCCAGAATAAACCAAATCACCATGAGTGATGTAAGTAGATTAACAACAGCAAAAGCTGGGGAGAAGGGTAAAGGGAACTGATACTTATGTCTGTCTTCTACATGCCAACCACTTTGTAGTCAGGACCTCTATTCTAACCCCAATAACAAGATGTTGTTGTTGTTCTATTTTATTATTTAGAAACTGTACAAAGCTGGCTGGGAAGAAGAAAAGAAGAAAGGATATGATCTAAGGCCTGATGCCATTGCAATTAAGGCTGCAAGAGCCTCTAGAGACATTGCCAGTGATGTAAGTACTTCCACTGGACCTTTGTGGGGTTGAGCAAGCAAGAACAAATGTGCCAAGCTTGTGTGCATGTAGGAGCTGCAGTCAGCTTTACTCAGGGTTGGTGGGAATGCCATCCCATGTGACATACGAGACACCTCCCTTCATCCTATCCTAGCACCCTCTAATCATCTGTTCATTAATTAACGTAAATAGCGATTGAGTCTTGTTAAAATAAGTAACCTTTAGAGTTTATTCAAATTATTTACAGACAATTCTAAGCAAATGTAAAGATGCAATATACATGTTTTATCCAGGAGGCCCATGGCCAGTCTGTCTCCTGAATTTAAAGATGCACCATAAAAAATCATGCCTGCAGCCTTGTTTGTTGTTCAGACAGATGAGTGGGGAAATTGCTTTCTAAATCTCTCTAAACCAATTTATTTTCAGATCTCTTCATATAACTCTAAGGTTATTTTCTTTCCATGAACTCAAGTCTGGGGGGAAAAAAAATTGAAGTAAAAAGAGTTTGCTCCCTGCCCCTCATGAGTGCCTTCCTGTCTAATTTTAGAGTAGCTCTAAAACCCTTCAATTAAGACAAAGCTAATGTCACCTAGCGAATGGTACTTTGCTCTCTTTCTTTCACCATTTTCATTGCCACAATTTCTTCTCTGTCCACAGTACAAATACAAACAAGCCTATGAACAAGCCAAAGGGAAACACATTGGCTTCCGGAGCCTGGAAGATGACCCCAAGCTGGTGCACTTCATGCAAGTGGCCAAGATGCAGTCAGACCGGGAATACAAGAAGGCATACGAGAAATCCAAGACCTCCTTCCACACCCCGGTGGACATGCTCAGTGTGGTGGCAGCCAAGAAGTCTCAGGAAGTAGCCACCAACGCCAACTACAGGAACGTGATCCATACCTACAACATGCTTCCTGATGCCATGAACTTTGAATTGGCCAAAAACATGATGCAGATTCAAAGTGATGTATGTGAAAGCCACAACATTTGCAGAGCATTTGCCCTGGATAATAAGCAACCATGAATAACCATAAGTAATAAGATTTTGAAAATCCTGAAAGAAATTCTGCAATTTCCCACAGAGTGTTTCATTTATTACCTTAGATTGAATTCATGTCTTTTAGCAAAAGGAGATCAATTCTAGAAACTAAAGTCTTTTCTACTGTTGCTGCTGTGAACATTGTTGGATTCTGAATTCCACAACAGCAAATGGAACTTCGTTTCACAAAGAATGTAGTGAAGGACATATGTCTAGCAAAGATGGTCAAAAGCATATGAGGCTTTTAATAGAGGAATGAAAGGAAAAGAAATCAGATAACCTGATAGCTCAGGCCCCCTCCCCAACCCTCCAACTGGCTTTCATCCCACTACTTCTAATCTTGCAGATCTTACTGATGAAATTTTGAGGAGGTGATGGCTGAGGCAGTTTTTGGAATAAATATAAGGAAGACAGTATAGAGCCAAGGATTTAGCTAAAGAGGCCATTTGATGGTTGGAGAAGTGAATTAAGTTACTTACGAACCCAAAGCAGACCACACCAAGCCTACATTTCTCTTTGGAAATGTGAAGGCTGAGCTATTAATTGCCAGGGAATAAAAAGAGTTTGCTCCCTTCCCCTCACCAGCGCCTCCCTCCCTAATTTTAGAGAGGCTCTAAAACTCTTCATCTAAGACAAAGCTAAGTCTTTACATAGTGTCCGAATGAAAGCAACCATGGTACAGTTATAGAGAGAGATGTCAAAGCTGAGGGGCAAAACAATGAAATTTACATAAAGTACCAGGAAAGTTTCTGGCATACCTGAGGGAATTGTAACAGTGGTGGATATCAAAGATGGCATAAGAGAAACGTGGGGTTTCCATGGTCATCTGTTAACCAAGGGGACTTGGGAATTTTTGTGAGAAAGGTCAGCATTGTCACCTTCTCAAGGAAATAATAGTCACCTGGCAGATGAATCTATGTGGTATTCCTTAGTACTTTTTCTTTATGAAGACATTGAGAAAAACAAGTCACAAAGACATTTCTGCTTATTTTTAATTTATCATACATGGAAATATAAAAAAGATAAAAGGTTAGGGAGGAAATGGATGAAATTCAACTACTATTGGTTGAATACCAATATTGCACCAAATACTGAAGTGGTAAACTTACAGAAAAGTTACAAATGAAGTGGAAGTTACAGAATATTAAGCACACACTTGGGATCCTTGGGAAGTTTCATGATTTAATTTTTCCTCTTTTGCAGAATCAGTACAAGGCTGACTATGCTGACTTCATGAAGGGCATTGGATGGCTCCCTCTGGGCTCCCTGGAAGCCGAGAAAAACAAGAAAGCCATGGAGATTATTAGTGAAAAGAAGTACCGCCAGCACCCAGACACTTTGAAGTATTCCACACTGATGGACTCAATGAACATGGTTTTGGCCCAGAATAATGCAAAAATTATGAACGAAGTAAGTCTTTCAATAATGCAGTGTTTCATGTGCATCAGAGAGAATCCAGGTATAACTTATCTTTAATCCACAGGTTTTGCTAATACAGTTATAGGGCATCATACTTGAGGTTATTTTACCTAGAAAAATAGTCTTGGGGTTAAAAAAGAGAGTAATTATTTCTAACTAGTGGTCTTCATATTTCAATGAACCATCCTATCTCATTGACATAATCAAATAGGGACTCTTTTGCTGCACCAGCTGAAAATGAGTCCTGTTTGTATAAGGCGTGGTTGAAGAGACATTCATGACACTGAATCAGCAGATTCCCTGGTGACAGCTTTTGTTGCAAACCACCTCCCTGCCAACCCTAGCTTCCTTACTGCTTTGATGGGATCAAAGAAAATTCCAAGATTAAGGAATGTAGCAGCATTTCAAACTGGGACCTTCTCTGGGCAATCTTGAGGGCAATTGTTCTACATCAGTATTTCCTTGGTTCATTAATTATTCCAGCTTTTAGAAAAGACTTGCTCTATTTTTGCGTTGATTTACAATAAGAGATCAAGACCAGCAACTGCAATCAACCTTAAACATCTGTTTTTGAAGTTAAAAATAATAAAATAACTGCAGCAGCACCGGTGGATCAAAATGAGAAATGCCTTTGATTAACATAATAGAGAAAAAGATTATTTAGATCTAAACATGAAGCAGCTGCAGAAAATAATGGCCCTAGTTATGCTAGAAAAATAAAGCTATATTATGCGAAGTCATGACGTAAACCCCCTAGAGTCTTCAGATAATTGAAAGATTTGTGCAGATCAACCTCCTTGAAAGGGACCTGCCTAAAAGACAAGGCACAAATCTCTGTGCCTCTTTTACGATTCAGAATCTAAACTATCATGAGGATATAGATATTTTTCAGTGTTAGTGATTAACATCTCAGGATAATGATGCCAAGATGAGAATCATAGAACCAGCATGTACTGGTACTGAGAGACATGTTGGTGATCATCAAGTTGAATCGCAGATTCATTGCAAAATTGAGAAAAGAATAGCCCAGAGAAGCAGAGCACCTCCCCAAAGGGCACACAGCAGATCAACAACAGGGTCTGGACTGGAACAGGGATTCTGATAATTAGGCACTGCTCTTTCCACTAGCGTTTCACTGTCCCATCCTATTACTACTACCCACATATGTTGATTTATATTTATATTAAATATTAATAATTCAGATTCTCATCCACATTAGCTACATGTCAAGTACTCAATCGACTTATGTGGCTAGATTCTACCACCTTGGATTATGCAGAATATTGCCATCACTGCAGAAAGTTCTGTTGTATAGTGCTGGTCTAAAACAAGGTTCAGAAAACAACTGTATTTGTAAATTAAGTTTTATAATAACACAACCACAGCTATTTGTTTGCTTATGGTCTCTGGTTGCTTTTGAACTACAACAACAGAGTTGAGTAGCTAATGACAGATTGTGCAGCCCATAAAGCCTGAAATTTAATGAATTTCTGTCTATACAGAAAAAATTGGCCAACCTCTAGTCCAGAAGAATGTTATTCTTATTTGAATTAAGACTGGCTAAAACAAAGAGATAACATTTTTCGTCTATTGCATTTGCAAAAATTAGGAAGTTGTATTACACACAGTATCTGGAAGGGAGTTTCTGTTAAAGTAAACATTTAATGGGCAATTTGTTAATGTTTGTAAACATAAAAAATTCAGGTATCATTACCCTATAGAAATCCTTATATATGTGTGCAGAGATACATAGACATATAGATACACAAGACTATGTTTTGCATTTTAGGGTTTTTGAAAGGAGATGCTGAGATGAAAATTGGGGTACAGAGTATTTTTTAGGGATTCGAGTCCTTGGGAGGAAAGGACGAGGCAGGTGGAGAAGCTGAACAGTGATGCTGGTATAACAAAGTCTTGGCCAGTCCACAGAGGGCTCTCAAGTGTCTTTGTCAGTAGAGACATGAACTGAACTGAAATGGCTAGATCTGTGTACCTCCACTTCGATGAGCCGTTGGATGTGGTTATCTGGGAAGGGCATGCTCTTGAGTGAGGTAGCTGATGACTACAGACTGTTTGCCAAAAGCTGGGGCATCAGGTCCTTCCTTGAATGAGTATATTGGTGGCATATCTCCACGTCCACCACAAGGATCATGACATTGCTTGTAGTAGAAAAGGCTAGAGACCATAAATTAAATATTCATCAACAGAGAACTAATTCATTAAATCAATTAGATTATACCTCCTAATGAAAGATTATGTAGCTCTCTAAATGAATGAAGCAAATTATTGTAAGAAGGTTCAAAGATATTTAACCTATATTGTTTAATTAAAAAGCAAGATGTAGAACATGGCTTTATTTATGTTTTAAAAGTATCATGTGTTTTTTAATATGCACAGAAAATTTTAGGAGGCAAATGCTATCTCCATGCTGTAAGATAAAGGGAAAAAGCATTTTTACTTTCCATTGTATATCCTCTTTGCTGTATTGTTTTAATAAGCAACTCTTCCATTAAAATTTTTTGGGCCAGGTGCAGTGGCTCCCACCTGTAATACTAGCACTTTGGGAGGCTGAGGCAGGTGGATCGCTTGAGCTCACGAGTTTGAAACCAGCCTGGGCAACATAGCAAAAACCCACCTCTATGAAAAATACAAAAGTCAGCCAGGCTTGGTAGCACATGCCTGTAGTCCCACTTCCTCAGGAGGCTGAGGTGAGAAGGTGGGTTGTTTGAGCCTGGGAGGTGGAGGTTGCAGTGAGCCATAACTGTGCCACTGCGCTCCAGCCTGGGTGACAGCACAAGACCCTGTCTCAAATAAATAAATAAATACCTAGTGAGATATTGCTATATATGTACAACGATATGTATGTACTAAGTGAGCTTCTTTTAAGATTTTAAACACTAATTTACACTGGTTTTTTTCCTAGCATCTCTACAAACAAGCATGGGAGGCTGATAAAACCAAAGTCCACATCATGCCTGATATCCCCCAGATTATTCTGGCAAAGGCAAATGCAATTAATATGAGTGATGTAAGTATAGTTCCCCCTGTTTTCATCTTTCTCTCCAGCAGATTTGAACCAGTAAGAACAAATGAACTAACATCTCTCTCTAGTATGAGTGAATGTTTAAAAAATAATGGTGGAAATCCACGCATGAGACTGTTTCTCTTTCTAATCTTCCTTCGTGGAGTTGGAGTAGGGCTGTCGATGGGCTTGGGCCAAGCAGTTAAAAATTTGAAGGGTGGCGTTGTCCTCGGGACAGGCACTCGTTATACTGAGACATTTGGTAGAAAGAAGAGAGGCTCGGGGACCAGGAGAAGAGAAAAAGGAAATGAGAATCCTAGGATTTTGTTCTTAAAGAGCCTTTCCATCGAACTTTTGAGATGTTCTAAAGAAGGGGTTAAATGGAAAGGGAAGAGAAAATTTTTGAAGAATTTGGGGCAAACCCCAAAACAAGGAATGTACAACACTTTTTAGAAAATGCATTCCTGTTTATTTCATTTCCTCTTTTGTCCTAATCATTTGCTAGGAAATCCTCTAATCCTACGCATTTTTTTTTCTTATCTTTGTTTGTATTCCACAGAAATATGGAATAGCTGACCTTTTTAAAAAAATATGTAGATTCCACATTATTATACAAATAAAAGGGTTGATTATAAAACTGAAGTTTTGTTTTGATGTAAGAGCATGGCTGTTTTAAATTCTTACTTGCATCAATGAGAATCTTTGGGACTTTCACATTTTTAAAGTATATTTACAACCTAATAGAGACCAGTAACTTTTACTTTTTCTGGTAGTTTCTTGAAAATATGTTTGAGTTTGTTATAGATTTTTCTTCAAACACAGATATGTTACTGGTAGGAACATTCAGCCACTGACCCACCAATGAAGCTTTCTGCTCAAAACAAAAAAAGATGCCACAGTGCTGGTATACTCTTCTAAAATAAATCCAGGCTTTCATATTTAGAAGAAAACTCTTCCCTTCACCTCTCTTTACAGAAACTCTACAAACTTTCCTTGGAAGAGTCTAAAAAGAAAGGCTACGATCTCAGGCCTGATGCAATTCCTATCAAAGCTGCCAAGGCGTCAAGAGATATCGCAAGTGATGTAAGTCCGAAGGAAAGCAGTGACCTGGCTCGGGGTTTCTAAGGAACGAAAATAATAAGGGCTGAGTTCTGGAAACACTGAGTGGACACAATATGCAGAGCAGTGGATTTCACTGTCTGTGAATGCTTCTTAACCTTGCTTTTGTGTTTTCTCTGACATTTCTGAAAAAACACCGAGCTAACCACATTATGACCCTCATAGATGTCAGCTCCCTGACTCATGAGATCTAGGTAAACTTACTTTGAATCTGTCACCAAGGCTTATGGCTTGTAGAAATTGTAAGTCATCTACTACACTTTCTTGGTGAAAGGCTTGTGTTACTCTTGCCTCCCACTTCTTCAGACCTGACTTCCTAACAGGATGCTCATGTATGCAAGGGAGCTGATCATTTGGGCTCATGATAGCTGATGAGTAAATAATCAGGAATTTCTGCAAACCAGTTGTTAAACCATTGGTAGCTTGATATTGCCTATGATGGGTGTATTTACATGACAGAAACTGGCAAACACTACAAAATGAGGCTTCCCCCCGCACCCAGCAAAAAGCAGGTGTACCAGCACATCACTGTCATAACATGCCACCTATATGAAACTCAATTCTTTCACTTGGTTGTTTCCACAAGAAATCCACTCACAGGGAGCATTTAGTGACTTGGAGGTCCTGGGAGGAGCACATTTCAGAACACTCGTCCCTTGGTCACCCAGCAGTTTTACTCTCTCTTTCCTCTTCTATCTCTGTTCTTCATCTTCCCTACCTATCTAGCCCATCCTACTCTCTCTTATCCTGAGAACTCCAAATTCTTCTCCCCTCTACTATACTGGACTAATTTGGCTCTACTAGCTTCTGCCATCAACTTGCACCCTCAACCCCACAAGGAGATAGGCAGAAATAGAAGCTCTTCATGGATCAAGATATCCCCTCTATAGAAGAAAGTTGGGATGATAAATAGTACAGTTTCTTCCCCATTATAGCAGTTTAGAGAATCTTAAAGGAAAAGAAACTCCACAAATATAAAGCTATTTTAAAATTACACGGTGTGTCTCATAATTGAACCTATTCTCACCAGTAAATGACTGACAGGATGATTTCTTAGGACAGCACTAAGAGAAATTTTCTGGTTTTTGCTTTTTTAAACTTTCTATGTTATTACCTACTAAAGTCCTCTTAGCACTATCGGGGAAGTACATATGTAAGTCAGTATGATGCATCATCACAAGATCTGGGTGCTAATTCTCAGTGGCCTCAGCAAGTTGCTCAGCTCTCTGGGTCTCAGTTTATTCATTTATAAAATGAGGGCAGTAATAAGAATCTTGCCATCTACCTCACAAGGGAAAGTTGTATTAAGTTACATCAATAAATATGAAAAAAATGTGTTTTTGAACTGTAGAGCTCTATACAAATATAATTTAAATGAAATACAGCATATTGACACTAGACTGATTTTTAGTCAAAGGAATTGCTCTGTGTAAAAACTCATATTTTCTTCACAGTATAAATACAAGTACAATTATGAAAAAGGGAAGGGGAAAATGGTTGGTTTCCGCAGTCTTGAGGATGATCCCAAATTAGTCCATTCCATGCAAGTGGCTAAGATGCAATCTGATCGGGAGTACAAGAAAAACTATGAGAACACAAAGACCAGCTACCACACGCCTGCCGACATGCTCAGTGTCACGGCTGCCAAGGATGCCCAAGCAAACATCACCAACACTAACTACAAGCACCTGATTCACAAGTACATCCTCCTTCCAGATGCAATGAACATTGAGCTGACGAGGAATATGAATCGCATACAGAGTGATGTAAGCTTCTCTTCTACTTGGGTGATGGTTGGAATCCTAGCATGGGAAGGGAGGTCACAATCTGTTTACATGCCATGCTTTTGTATCTAAATGGATAAGATACAGTAGAATTTACTTATCTTCTTTATAGAATGAATATAAGCAAGACTACAATGAATGGTACAAAGGGCTTGGCTGGAGTCCAGCAGGTTCCCTGGAAGTGGAGAAGGCCAAGAAAGCAACTGAATATGCCAGTGATCAGAAATACCGCCAGCACCCGAGCAACTTCCAGTTTAAGAAACTGACTGATTCCATGGACATGGTGCTCGCCAAACAGAATGCACATACCATGAACAAGGTAGAGACAACAGTGGCCCTCCACACAGTTCCCATGTGAGGAAAGGCTAGCAGGGTCTTCTTCTTGTTTGGAGAAATCTAATTCAGGTCCATCACTCCTAGGCTGTGGCAAACCATTCCAGATTGTTCCCCTACACCTTCTTCTTCTTCTGCCCACCTCTTATTTTTTTCTTCTCTCAACCTTCAATTGGGTTAGAAATTATATATGTTTTCAATTATTATATCTTGAATACTTTCAATCCATTGTAGAGAATAGAAAATAATTAAAAGATTATTTTTTTTAAATCTGAGTTTGTTTTTAGGGATTTTTCTGAATTATATGCTACCTTAGTTATTATTTGCTACTTCAAATTGAGTGCATTCAAATATTACTATATAAATATATCTTTTTCTTTTCTGCTTGTCCCAAACAGTTATTCAAATTTCATGTCTTTTTCCCCCTACTTCCTAGCATTTATACACCGTTGATTGGAATAAAGATAAGACCAAGATTCATGTGATGCCTGATACACCAGATATTTTACAAGCCAAGCAGAATCAAACAATGTATAGTCAGGTAAAGCTACATAAAAATTACTTTTAAGTTTTGTATTGAAACTTGTGGAACTTATAAAATAATGTAATAGTAAATACTGATATAATTGTTGACACAATGAAAATTTGGAAGTGATTAGCCCAGGATATTGCAAAAGAGAGTGGTTAAAGGCAAAGGCGTCAGCCACCACTGTATGCTTCATGGAGGAAGGTTCTGTGCCTGTTCATCTCTGTGCTCGTTGTGCTTGGTACCAAGTGGGAAATCAATATATAATTGTTGGAAAAAAATTACATCAAACAGCCAGGTGCAATGACATGCACCTGTAGTCCTAGCTACTTGCAAGCTGAGGCAGTAGGATCCCTTGAGCCCAGAAGTTTGAATCCAGTTGGGGCAACATTGAGAGACCCTGTCTCTTATTAATAGATACATAAATAAAATAAAAATTGCATCAAACCAACTTGGTATGAATTTTGGCTTTGCCATTTTTGAGTTGTATGATACTGGGTAATTCAATTACGTCTCTAAATCTCACTTTCCTCATCCCTAAAATTGGGACCGTAAAGGTGCCTATGACATTGGATTGCCATGAGGACTAAATGGGAAATTCTGTGTAAGACCCTCAACACAGTGCCTGGCCCATGGAAAGTATTGGATAACTAGGAGCTATTTTTATTATTAGCCAGTTTTAACACACATACATCCATTCGATCAGTAAAGTCAACTCAGAAAGATTACAACTAAATTATTGCAATTTATAAAAGGCATTTAACCATTTATTGTTTTTATCACTTAGCTAATTAAAATGTTGTGACCTGTTTTTCTTTTCATTAGCAATTATCTTAATATCTATTTACAAAATAGTAAGCCCAGGCTTTACTTAACAGCAGTGAGAAAGGTACCTAATATGCCTGATATGACCAAATTTTTTCTGAGCAGCAGAGGCTGTGATAAAATATATATCTCACCAGAATTCTCACAGCCAAAAAGATTAAAGTCAGGTCATATGATGCTGAGTCAGTGCTTTTTCAACTCCTTGAAACAGCTTGTTTTATTTTTATCCATATCTTTAAAGATAGGGTAGATGGCGTTTGATCTTATATTCACTCTGTAGGTAAACTTATCCCCTAATAATCTATTGGGATTCTTTATATAGACAGAATAATGCTGAAGAGTATCTTTAATTTTCAGAAACTCTATAAACTTGGATGGGAAGAAGCTTTGAAGAAAGGCTATGATCTCCCAGTTGATGCGATTTCTGTACAGCTAGCTAAAGCTTCAAGAGACATTGCTAGTGATGTGAGTACTATTTGACTTCTAGAAGGATATAATTTTTTCTGAATCAGGTAGCTTAATGTTGGTAACTATTTTTATGGATAGGCTTTACCTTTCAAAATATAATGCTTCCTTCATTTTCTCCTACCCTCTTTGTTTATCCAGAGTTCACTCTTCTTTTTTACGGTTCATATGACAAAAGGGGATTCCTGAATAGAGGTTGGGCCAGAAGACCTCTAAAATGTATTAGAATAAGATGTTCTACTTGGGGATATTACAAAGGACCCAGAGATTGCAGATTTTCCCTATTTTGCCTGAACATATAATAATTTTCCTGTTTTCTACTTGTCTATTTTAGACAAATTCAAAGTGCCAGATAATAAATTAACCTCAACAAACTGATGCTGATAGATTTTATATGCACATGTTTGAAAATAGGCTGTCAATTATTTCAATTTAGTCCATTTTGCACTTACATAATTGTAATAAATTACCTTGGGATATTAAAAAAATCCAAAAAGGTGCAGAAATTTAAGTTTAAGGTGCCAAGGGCTTACTTAACTCTTCTTTCTGCTGAAAATCTAGTCTAAATTTCATAGACTCACTCTCCCAAAGGTAAATTCCAGTTATGATTAGGATGGTAGCAAATCTCGTGAAAAACTAGATGTAGTCTCTATTGATTAATTTTTTACAAGCATTTTACTTAGATATTCTGCATATAGCTTGCATATCATTTTGTTAATCCCAAAACTTAACCACAAAAATTCAGAAGGTCTTAGTTATAGAAAATATCAGGATTTCATAGGGAAGCAGGACCTCTTAATCAAAATCCTTAAAAGAAAACAGTGATTTGGTTAATATGCAGATTGAAGTACAGAGTGGAGAAAGAAAACGCCTAAAGATGGAATCTGAGAATAAATTCTAAGAATATAAGGGAAGATTTTATTTAATTCAGTTAATTTCTGGCACTCCAGAAATGTTGGAAAATGAATTCAATGATATATTATTACCCACCTCCAGCTTGCAGGTCAATCATTTATTAAAATAAATCAACAAGGTGATAAACCTAAAGCAATAATTATGTGTAAACTCATTTTCATTTAATGCTATATGTGAAAGATAGTCTAGGAATTGAAGAAACAACGTGAATAATTTCCTAACAACTCAACGTTTGATAGTACCTCGTTTCTTTTTGTGTGAACCCGTTAGTTAGAACCTTTTGAAATCTGACTCTCAAATGAACTATAATCAAACTTTCTCACTGTTATAGAGATATATTTCCTCTCAATTTCAAATGTCCTCCTATTCATAAATATTCAGAAAATCAGAACTATATCAGTATTTAATGAATCAGAATCATAGAATTTAGAGTTGGAAAATAGCATAAAGGACATTTAATCTAATCTCACATTTAGCATCCTACCTTGTCTCCATCTCCAACAGTCTGTAGATACTTAAAAACATAAGAATTTTGGAGGCTGGGTGCAGTAGCCCCTTCCCATAATCTCAGCACTTTGGGAGGCCAAGGCAGGAAGATCACTTGAAGTCAACATAGTGAGATTCTTTCTTTACAAAAAATAAAAAGTTAGCCAGGCATGGTAGTATGTGCCTGGAGTCCCAGCTACTGGGAAGGCTGAGGTGGGAGAATCACCTGAGCTCAGAAGATTGAGGCTTTAGTGAGCTGTGATTACACCACTGCACTCCAGCCTGGGCAACACAGTAAGACGGTGTCTCAAAAATAAAAAAAAAATCTTTAAAGGAATTTTGGATTCCATCAGGGCAGATCATTTCTTTGTTAGATCATTTCCAATTGCCATTACATACTTTCTTATTTTTATCTAAGTATTTTATCGATAAGCTCTAGCTCTCCGTACTGTAACACCACAAAGTAGCCTATTTCCTCCTCCAGTTGCTATCTCTTCAAACATTTTCATATTTGCCCTTCTTTGGTTTCAGTTTTATGAATTCTTCAATCTTCTGATTATTCTATTTATAACTTACACTATTTTTTCAAAATCCTGTTGAAATAGAATCCCTCAAAATTTAGTGTTGTTTTCTTGATACAGTAGGTCAGGTCAGAGAGCTTATCTGTGCCCCATACAGAATCTATGGCACTACTTTTTAAAATGCAATTTTGTCAGATTGCTCATGTTGAAGTTATAGTCCACTTAAACTCCTGAATATTTTATATGTGTAGTAATGAAACTGGGTATCATATGAGGTATAACATGTGTTCAGCACCTAACATCAAGTAAATGCTGTTATAATACTCATTATTATCACTGTTGTTATTGCCATCTAGTACTAATGTGATTTTTCTCAACTGAATCTAAATACCAAATTTTACTTTTACTGTCTTACATTTATGTAATCATTTTGACCCATCCAGTATGCTGAGCTCTTGTGGAATTTTCTTTCTAATCTAACATATTTAGTTATTTTTAGCCTTCTGTACATGCAAGATACAGATCCCAAACAGGACAAGGTTATATGACATAACCACATGGCAAACCACAAAAAATCCTGCTATTGAAGAAATTAATCTGCACTATTAGGCATATTACTGAGTCATGTATCTTCCTAATTTTTCTGCCATTTCACCCATGAGGATGTCATTTCTATAAGAATATCACAAGAGCTTTATTAAACACAACCCCAAAGTCAGCATACACAATATCTAGCACAACCAAGCATATGTTTCTGCATCTAGTTAGAATTAATTTCTTCTCATAACCTCTTGATATTCAACTACATTAGATTTCTTCAGAAGCTTCCATGTAAACAAGGCTTAATTTAAGTAAGTAAACATTCCATACTAAGTTAGCATAGACAAACCTCTCATTTCAGTTTTGGAAAACAAACATTAAAACAAAACAAATTGAAGCTGGATGGGGTGGCATGTGCCCTTAATCTTAGCTACTAGGGAGGCTGAGGCTAGAAGATTGGGCCTGGGAGTTCAAGACCAGCCTGGGAAACATAGTGAGATCCCTGTCTCAAAATAATGAAAGAAGGAAAGAAAAGAAAGAAAAGCCAGTTGAGCTTACCTTGGCCTTTGTGTTACTGAAAGAACTGTGTTTTCTCTGATTTCAGTTTAAATACAAACAAGGCTACCGAAAGCAACTTGGCCACCATATTGGATTCCGGAATCTGCAAGATGATCCAAAACTTGTATTGTCCATGAATGTAGCCAAAATGCAGAGTGAAAGAGAATACAAGAAGGACTTTGAGAAGTGGAAAACTAAGTTCTCTAGCCCAGTGGACATGTTGGGAGTGGTACTGGCCAAGAAGTGTCAGGCCTTGGTTAGTGACGTGGACTACAGGAATTACTTACATCAGTGGACATGCCTGCCTGATCAGAATGACGTTACTCAAGCTAAGAAAGTTTATGAACTTCAAAGTGAGGTCAGTTTCTGTTAAATCCAATAGTTTATATATTAATTCATATTTTATATGAGTAGCTGTTTAGTCAAAGAAAAGCAGAAACTAAAAAGAGGAATTATGAAAATCTAAAATGAATCTGTTTGTAATGCATAGAATCACTTAAATCAAGAGTCCAGGTGAGAATGAGATTTTGATGGCTTGCTCTGTCTTTTCACAGAATCTGTATAAGTCTGACCTTGAGTGGCTGAGAGGCATAGGATGGAGTCCCTTGGGTTCTTTAGAGGCAGAAAAGAACAAGCGGGCTTCAGAAATCATCAGTGAGAAGAAATATCGTCAGCCTCCAGACAAAAACAAGTTCACCAGCATTCCTGATGCCATGGACATAGTTCTGGCAAAGACAAATGCCAAAAATAGGAGTGATGTGAGTAGTACTCTGGAAATAAATAAGATAGATTATAGTGCCTGCTACCTAGTATTTGCCAAATAGCACTTGCTTAATAAGTGAGAGCAGCAAAGCATTGTCTCATACCTCACCATATAATATTTTATATTGGGTCACTTTATTTGAATTAGCAACTGTCCTACACTGAATCATGTAAAAATGGGTCAGTATCAGTTTTTGTCACCCAAAGCTTATTTATTATTTAACCAAACTGTAATGGGTACATGATTGGACAAAATTTTTTCTTTGAAACTTGAGTGCATGAAACACCCAGATGTTTTTTACTGGGGTAGAGTATATGAGGGGGAAAGAGTCTGAGTACCTTACACAGGCACAATGGATATTACAAAGAGTATATTTCCTGCCAAATGAGTATAATGCTTTTAGTTTCGCTGAATAAAGATAAATAGATAATTCTGTCACTGTAAGTAAGTATATATTCTATCTTCAACTTACTTTCTTTGCCAGCTCTGACTCCAGTGTCTAGCATGTAATAAATATTCGTTGTCTAGCGTGTAATTAATATTCATTGAAAAAAAATAAATAAAAGATACCAGGGTGGAGTAGTTATATGCAAAGAAGGAAAATATTACTCAACACTGCTCAGCTAAATCCTAACCCTCAACATTATAGAATATTGAACTATGTACACTGAGATTCTGTAATTGGTAAGAACATTTAAATAGGTATATAATAACCATCTGTTATGTAGTATTACATTTAGATCCATTATTATAGTAAATATATAGTATATCTATTTAGATTCATTATTAGGAGGATCTAAATACATATACTATAGGTCTTAGGAGGATCTAAATATTTATACTATATGTAATATGCTACATACTTTACATATATCATATATATCAGAAGTTTTATGTAATATATAAACCCAGAATCAGCTTAGAGTGAGCATTGATAAATTGGAGTTCCTCTTTTCCCAACTAACCCCTCACAAGCTTTTTATAATGTCGATTTCCAGGACGTGTAGTAAATGCTGACCTGTTAGCTTCATTACGAATGTTTAAGCATTTACTTATTCTTTTACTGTTTTTATGATGATAATCAGAATCCAACAAACTGAGAAAGCAACAAATTTGTACAAAATATGCCGCTCTTCTTGGAATTCAAGTTTCTTTTCTCTTCATGAAACAGAAGAGAAAAAGCTCTGAATTAATAAGCTGACCAAGAGAGAAACCCTAGATCATGAAGTTTATCAGTATACATGTCCCGGGACAGGACTCCCCGGCAGTGTGCTCTGGTTTGGGGAATGCTGAAATATGGAGCTCTCAGGCGTCAGGACAGCCACACAAAACCCTGGACCAGCTGGGGTCCTTGAGCCTGCTGTCTCTCCTTCTGAATAGATCAATACATCCATCCCAGTGTAAATAATATTCGTGTTTTCTCTGCATTCCATGAGGCGAAAGTGGAACCTGCCATTGAAGAAGTAATCTAACTTAGTGACTCTCAACCAGAGGCAGCTTTGTCCCACAGGGGCATTTAGCAACATCTAGAAATATTTTTGGTTTTCACAACTGGGGAGTGACATGCTACTGGCATCTAGCAAGTAGAAGCCAAGGATGCTGCTAAGCACCCCACAATGCACCGGGCAGCCCCCACTACAAAGAATCATCCAGTACACAATATCAGTGTTATGAGGTAGAGAAGCTCTGCTGTTTGCTTGGTGGGTACAACGTGTGTTGCTCCAATGATGGATGTGCTGAAGGCCCTGACTTCACCACAGCGCAATTGCATTTGTGCCTCATGAATATAAAAAAACTTTTAGAGAGAAACTCTGGTGTTACTAAACCCCGAAAGGGTAGTGCAAAACTGGGATACACATATATGGAAATTAACAAGCCCTGCTTAGTTTTGGTACTAAGGGTCTTAATTGGCTTCTCTGGGTTATGTGTACCATAGTAAACATGCGCAGGAAAAAGAAAAGTATCACACACACATCTCATACTGTGTACCTGAAAGGGAAATGGGCAAGTTTAAGGAATCAATGAGACTAAAAAATTTTATGGTGAAATAATTTGAGGCATTCAGAAAAGTTGAAAAATTAGTACATGTAATTCACACATGTATATGTGTGTGTGCATATATATCTTCACACATATTCCCCAAATGTTAACATTTTACCATATTTGCTTTCTCTTTTTGTCTCTTTTTCTCCCTTTCTTTCTTGAGGATCTGTATCTTTATCTATATATTTATATGAGAAAGTAAATTGCTTCATAATGCCTAAATACTCTGTGTGTACTTCCCGAAAATAACATTCTTACATAATCACATTGTGGTGATTAAAATCACAAAATTAATTTGCACTAGTCTGCTAGTCTACAGAATTTATTCAGTTTTATCACTAATGTCCTTTATAGAAAAAAAAAATTTTCTGGCCCAGGTTTAATCCAAGACTACGGGTTACATTGTTTGTCATGTCTTTAGTCTCCTTTACTCTGGGCTGGTTCTTTGCCTTCCAAGTTTTTGACATTTGTGAAGAACATAGGCCAGTTACTTTGTAGAATCTTCCTCCATTTGAGCTTTCTGGTGGGTCCTTGTGATTAGACTCAGATTGTCGTCTTTTCTTTTCTTTTTTTTTTTTTTTTTTTTTTTGAGACGGAGTTTCGCTCTTGTTACGCAGGCTGGAGTGCAATGGCGCGATCTCGGCTCACCGCAACCTCCGCCTCCTGGGTTCAGGCAATTCTCCTGCCTCAGCCTCCTGAGTAGCTGGGATTACAGGCACGTGCCACCATGCCCAGCTAATTTTTTTGTATTTTTAGTAGGACGGGGTTTCACCATGTTGACCAGGATGATCTCGATCTCTTGACCTTGTGATCCACCCGCCTCGGCCTCCCAAAGTGCTGGGATTACAGGCTTGAGCCACCGCACTTGGCCCCAGATTGTCTTTTCAACAGAAGATCACACATTGTATCCTCCTCAGTACCTCATATCAGGAGGCACAGGATATTAATTTGTTCTATTACTAATAACTTAAACTTTGGTCACTTGGTTAAAGTGATATTGCCAGGTTGCTATACTGTCAAGTAACCATTTTATCCTTGGTAATGGATACGTTATCTGGCAGGGATATTTTCTGACTCTGTGTAAATATTCTGTTTTTCATCAAATTTTCCTAGTTTTAGCCAGGCGCAGTGGCTCATGCCTGTAATGCCAGCACTTTGGGAGGCCGAGGCAGGTGGATCACCTGAGGTCAGAAGTTTGAGACCAGCCTGGCCAACACGGTGAAACCCCATCCCTACTAAAAATAAAATATTAGCCAGGCATGGTGGTGGGTGCTGGTAACCCCAGCTACTTGGGAAGCTGAGGCAGGAGAATTGCTTGAACCTGGGAGGCAGGGATTGCAGTGAGCAGAGATGGTGCCATTGCACGCCAGCATGGGTGACAAGAGTGAAACTCTGTCTCAAAAAAAAATTTCTCATTTTAGTAAATCAGTGAATCTTTTGTTTGGATCTTTTTGTCTTCCATTAAACATAAGGATGGCTCTGGGACATACAAGTGATTTTGATAAATTCCTAAACAAAATCCTTTTGGGAATCCTAATCCTTCACAATGATTATGAGGTATAACTGTAAATAATAAGTCACATAGGGGCTGGACATGGTGGCTCACACCTCTAATCCCAACACTTTGGGAGGCCGAGGCAGGCAGATTACCTGAAGTAAGGAGTTCAAGACCAGCCTGGCCAACATGGCAAAACCCCATCTCTACTAAAAATACAAAAATTAGCTGGATATGGTGAACCAGCCACTTGAACTCAGGAGATGGAGGTTGCAGTAAACCATGATTGTGCCATTGCACTCCAGCCTGGGCAACAGAGTGAGACTCAGTCTCAAAATAATAATGGTAATAATAATAATAAACCACATAGGAAATAAAACTCCCTGATTTCTAGGCACACTTTGAATAAGTCATCTTTTGAAAAGGTGAGGGCTGCCTCTCAAACACTGAGATAAACCCAAAAGATGAAGTACCCTGTTTTATTTTACAATATTGATGAAGCCTGTAATTACCTAGATTGATTTCTTGTAGGCAGGATTATCTGTAACTTTGAAAATGTGACCTATAATCTCTGTTTTGAAAGGCAGTTATGTCCCGGATAAGTCAAGAAATAATGCATCTGTTTTCTGCTTATGTTGTCTGCTTATGATGTCAATTCTGTATAATGTTTAATTCAGATAAATTCAGCAATTCTGTTTGAAGGCAACTATGTTATTCACTCATTTAACAACACCACTGAAAAATTCTTATTTTTTATTTTAGAGACTTTACAGAGAAGCTTGGGACAAGGACAAGACTCAGATCCACATCATGCCTGATACACCTGACATTGTTCTGGCTAAAGCAAACTTAATCAACACCAGTGACGTAAGTTTTCAAATTCGGCATGTGTTTTCAGAAAGCTCATTTTGTCTCTAAATCAGTGAAGTTGTCTGAATTAATAAACTACATATGACAGATTTCTTATTTAGTGGATTTAGATTGAACATTGAAATGTCAGTACTTGCTGTGTCAGGCAGAATGAGGAGTTGTATTCTCTGTTCTTTGCAGTCCATTCTCATACATATCCTCCTAATGTGATGCCTTATATTGCTTTCCCCAGTGTGGACAGGAACTGTTTGAAGGCAAAGTCAATTCTTATTGAATATGCAGTGCTTATCTAGAACCATGCCTGACACATAGTAGATACTCAGTAAAATTTTGGATCAGTGAGCATCCAAAACCCATGCAGGAGAATTGTATTTTTATTGTTATTGTCATTGCAGCATAATCTCCTGAAATTTATACATGTAAAAATTAAATATTTTAAAAACAAACTCTACATTCTAATACAGTGACTTGAACATTAAAGAGTGTATTAAAGTACTGCCATGAAGGACTAACAGATAAACACAAGTCCAAGATCGATAGGCACTTTCAATAATCTGGTTTCTGGATAAAAGTCCATTTAAATTATATTCTAAATTTTTAAATTATGTTACAGATCTGAAAGAACACATTCTTTCCCTTAGGCTTTTAAAATTTATTATTTAAACTTTCTTCAAAACATCTTAAGTTTTAGAAATTATGGTGGACTCATCTCTTACCTGTAGATGTGGATCCTATTTTGGATGGTCCCATATTGGGAGACAGACTATTTCATGTTATATTGGCTACATGGAAGAGACAGCCCCTTAGGCATTTTTCCCCATTAGAAGAATTGTTGAAAAGCCATAGCTCTTATCTAACAAAAACTTCTAATGAAACAGTCAATGTTAATTGACCAACAGCACCTAAATAATAATCCATTTCATTTCTCTATTGTTTACTTCTGTCAGATTCTTGCAAGTATAGACATGCACTGTATAACAACAGTTTAGCTAACAATGGCACACATATAGGACAGTGGTCCCGTAACATAATCATATTGTATTTTTGCTGTACCTTTTCCATGTTTAGCTATGTTTAAATATGCAAATATTAATACTTCCCATTGTGTTACAGTTGCCTACACTAGCATGCTCTATAGATTTGTAGCCTAGGAAGAATAGGCTGTACCATATAGCCTAGGTATGTAGTAGGCTGTACCACCTAGGTTTACATAAGTACACTCTGTGATGTTCCCACAAGAACAAAATCAACTAATAATACATTTCTCAGGATATATCTTTGTCATTAACCAATGCATGACTGTATTTGAGAAAAGCTGACAATTTTGCTGATCTAGGCAATATCCAAGAGCTTTAAAGTTTAAAACAGGATCATTAGCAATCAATGGGCATAATTTCTGATTACATTTGAGTATTCTAGGGCACAGATGCTATTCTCATGGACTCAAAATATTTAGCACATTTGATCATTATGCTATATTTCTCTATGGGGAACAGTATTTCCCAAAGTGATCATTTCTTAACAGAAACTCTACCGAATGGGTTATGAGGAGCTGAAGAGAAAAGGTTACGATCTTCCTGTTGATGCCATACCAATCAAAGCAGCAAAAGCCTCCCGGGAGATTGCCAGCGAAGTAAGACTTTATCCTCTGTTGATATTGATTTGATTGCAATTTATCACTTCAAAGCAGTCTCAATTTAATTTTAAATTGAACACAATCTAAGGGGTAACAAATTACAATGGAATAAAATGATCCCATGCAGTGTGGGATGAGGATAAGATCAAGGATGCATTTATTATGTATGGAATTTCATAGCTGAATTTAGCCTTTAATCTTCTTATCAAAAGACTGAAATCTTTGGCTCTCTAGGCTTAGTAAAATATTTAGAGTTAATGCGCTTTGTAATTTGCCACAAAGATGGCAACAGAAGTTAATTTTGAAAGGAATGAGACACAATTTTTTTTCTTTAGTACAAGTACAAAGAAGGCTTTCGAAAGCAGCTCGGCCACCACATCGGAGCCCGGAACATTAAAGATGATCCCAAGATGATGTGGTCCATGCACGTGGCCAAGATCCAGAGTGACAGGGAGTACAAGAAGGACTTTGAGAAGTGGAAGACCAAGTTCAGCAGCCCAGTGGACATGCTGGGGGTGGTGCTGGCCAAGAAGTGCCAGACCTTAGTCAGCGACGTGGACTACAAGAACTACCTGCACCAGTGGACATGCCTGCCCGACCAGAGCGATGTCATCCACGCCCGGCAGGCCTACGACCTACAGAGTGATGTGAGTCTAAGGATTTTCTTTGGCCAACAAAACATTACATCTGCTTTTTAAAGAACCAGAGTCCCATAGTAAGGGGAATTGAGTTTACACAATTGAGTTCCACTTGCCTGAACTAATTCCCAACCCCATCTAGTCACCCAAGCATCTGAAGGCACCATTAATCCACAGAGAAAGAGCAAAGCTCCACTGCTTTGGAGGAAGCCTCTAGATTGTCGAGCTAGACAATCAAAGGATTGAGTCATTCTCTATGTGCTTCTGTTTAAAATATTTTTCAAAATATGCTTGAATATTTTGATTTGTAATTCATAACAAAAATTTAGAATTTCCTAAGAATTCAAGCATTAAAAATATAATACAAACTTTTATTTCTTTAGGGACAAATGATTTAACTATGACAACTTATGACAAATCATGATAAATGATTTAATTATGACAAATCATTTAATGCTTTTTCACTTACACTTTCAGAATTTGTACAAGTCAGACCTTCAGTGGCTAAAGGGCATCGGCTGGATGCCTGCTGGTTCTCTCGAGGATGAGAAAAACAAGCGAGCCACCCAGATTTTGAGTGATCATGTTTACCGTCAGCACCCAGATAAATTCAAGTTTTCCAGCCTTATGGATTCCATACCAATGGTTTTGGCAAAAAACAATGCTATTACCATGAATCATGTAAGTCTTATCTTTGTTTGAGGAGATTATTAAGTTTTTGTTTATGGAAACACTTAAATCTCTTTCTATAAAAGAAAACTTATTTTTGATTCCTTTGCTTGATGCTAATATGGTTTTAAAGTATTGTGCTTTTTATCAACACAAGACATCTAGACCTGAAAATGTCACAAAATACCAATTCACTGAGCTGAATTTCTTTATTCTCATTAAAAATCAGACTGTTTGCATGTGTCTATTCATTACTGGCCTGTACCAGTCATGTCTTTCTGTTTCTTTTAGCGCCTCTATACAGAAGCTTGGGATAAAGATAAAACCACTGTCCACATTATGCCAGATACCCCTGAAGTTTTATTAGCTAAACAAAACAAAGTAAATTACAGTGAGGTAAGCAATATATTCATAGTGCATGATACATTTTCCTTACGATGTACTTTATAAATCCAACTTAGTATTTATGTCTATTTTAGAAATTATATAAGCTTGGTCTAGAAGAAGCCAAGAGGAAAGGTTATGATATGCGAGTAGATGCCATTCCTATCAAGGCAGCCAAGGCCTCCAGAGACATTGCAAGCGAAGTAAGTATACTTGGAAAGTTCTTTGCCTTAGCTTTGGCTCAAAGATTTATTTCTCGCTGCTGGATTTAAAGTGGCACAAATAAGCCATGAGGTTAAAGCTGTTGTTAAGTTTCTCGTTTCAATGAGTGGTTTAAAATAATGATAATAGAGTTATGAACACAAAGGCTAAATTCCAGTTGTGGTTGAGCCCATAGCAACATGCATTTCAAAACATGTCCACTTCCTGCTGAACAAAAGTATTGTATACTTGACTGTAGTTCAGATAATTTTCTTGGCTTTTCCAATGATGTATTTCTCATATAGAGTTGAACTTACTGTAGGATTCCTTAAGAAACCAGCCTATGCTGCATGAACTAATGAATCTACAAGGGCTGAATTATAGGACATATTATTCAAAGTTCAACAATTCATATTTGTTTCTACATCCAGCGATGAGCTACAAATATTTGCTTTCTTTAAAAGATGGATTTGCTCACATTTCTAAAAACTTTTATCTTTCCATTTCTTTTGTCTATGAAGTAAAAAAAAAAAAAAAAAACAACTCTAGATTTTTTTCTTTATCTCCAAAATATGGGAAGTAATAATATTTTAAGAATAAATGTTCAACAATCACAGAAGAGTTAAATACCATATAATGAAATACCTGCTGTCATTAAAAATCATGTGTATAAGTCAGGCACCGTGGCTCACACCTGTAATCCCAGTGCTTTGGGAAGCCAAGGTGGGAGGATCACTTGAGGCCAGGAGTTCAAGACCAGCCTGGTCAACTTAGCAAGACACTATCTCTACAAAAAACTTAAAAGTTAGCCAGGTGTGGTGGCACATGCCTGTAGTCCTAGCTACTGAGAGGCTGAGGCAGGGGGATCACTTCAGCCCAAGAGTTGGAGGTTGCAGTGAGACAAGATTGTACCACTGCATTTCAACCTGGGCAATAGAGAGAGATGCTTTCTGAAAAAAATAATTAATTATGGAAAGCCTATTTAATGACCATAGAAATGCTTATATAATAACTGAAAAAAGCAGGCACAAACCCATATACAGTATGAGTTTTAATTATATTCTCACACATGAATCATAAAAAATTATTTCTTAATTGTAGCATTATATCTTAATTTTTCTTTTTTTCTGCATATATGAATATATATATCATCTACATGATATATATTTTATATGAGATATGTTTTATATAAGATATCTATTTCATATGTGATATATGACATATATTTCATTTTCTAAATGGTTTACAAGATACATGTATCATATATAATTTATATATTCAGCAAAAATTTTTCTATAAATAAATAGAAAAGTTTAGGCTTAGTAATTGCATTTTACTAAAAGTTAAAACAGATGACTCTCTGTCTTTTTCTTCTTCTAGTTCAAGTACAAAGAAGGCTATCGTAAGCAGCTCGGCCACCACATTGGTGCCCGAGCTATACATGATGACCCCAAGATGATGTGGTCCATGCACGTGGCCAAGATCCAGAGTGACAGGGAGTACAAGAAGGACTTTGAGAAGTGGAAGACCAAGTTCAGCAGCCCAGTGGACATGCTGGGGGTGGTGCTGGCCAAGAAGTGCCAGACCTTAGTCAGCGACGTGGACTACAAGAACTACCTGCACCAGTGGACCTGCCTGCCCGACCAGAGCGACGTCATCCACGCTCGGCAGGCCTATGACCTCCAGAGCGACGTGAGTACTGAGAGTCATAACAACGGGCAGAGGTGGGAAATTAGTTAACACCCCTTGGAGAAAATGGCAATATATGGCACAAGCTTGCCAGTTCCCCCTACAGGAGGCAAACAGCATGCCTTTATCCTTAGGAATTTTAATCCTTTAACCCTTAAGACCAAAATGGAATATTGTGTGATACCTGGCTTGTCCACCAAACTATATTTTGGGAGTGATTTTACTTGATCGCTTATCCTTTAGATGAAAATGCATTGCTGATACAGAGATAAATATTTATTGACTATTTGTGTCAACAGAATATGTACAAGTCTGATCTTCAGTGGTTGCGAGGCATCGGCTGGGTGCCCATTGGCTCTTTGGATGTGGAAAAATGCAAAAGGGCCACAGAAATTTTGAGTGATAAAATCTATCGCCAGCCTCCAGACAGATTCAAATTTACCAGTGTGACTGATTCTCTGGAACAAGTGTTGGCCAAAAATAATGCCATCACTATGAACAAGGTGAGACTTCAAAATTAGGAACCGAAGTGGGGTTCATAAAGCTGAATCTACAAAAATGAAGCATTAATGAAGAAAGAGAAGATGGAGCAACAAAAGGCATTTATCTATATGTCTGTCTATCGGCCTGTCATCTATCCATTAACAACTGATATCTAGCATGTATATTCTTATATTTACTTTAGTTATCGTTCAATGGTTTTGAAAAAGTGGCATATTTTATGAAAAAAATAGTCTTTGCATAAAATATGCTTATTGTCATTTTTCTTTTAATTGTTAACATACATTTCAGATTATTAGAATGCATTTATAAATACATGTTCCACTATGAACTGACTACTTGGAGGTGTGCATAAAACACTTCCAAGTAGTAAGTTCTGTAGAAGACCCATAACCTTTTATTTCTTTTGTTTATAGAGTTTCTGTGGTCCTAAAATTCATGTTAACTATACACAAAACTTTTTTCCTGATGAATGTGTCTATTTTTTTTGATAGCGTTTATACACAGAAGCCTGGGACAAAGACAAGACTCAGATCCACATAATGCCAGACACACCAGAAATTATGTTGGCAAGAATGAACAAAATCAACTACAGTGAGGTGAGAGCAGATTCTTTGACATTTGCACATTGCTGCTTATTTCAATTGATCTACTCTATGGTGATGTAATGCCACATGACAGCTTTATAAAGAATCTTTTTTGTGCTTCGTGTGAGTAACAACTCTTGCATTTCTCAATCACCAGCATAAATGTCAAACTTTATGCAAATGAATCAACATTTAGGAAATACAAATAACAAGAACAAATTAAGTTGTAACCATGAGATTATGTAGACCATATTCTTTTATTAACTTTTGAAGTTAGGAAATAAGCAATTAACATAAACATGTATCTCCCATTTATGCTAAAGCATAACTGGAGTAAACATATTTTCCATATGTTGTTCCTAAATTGTGGTGTAGGATCCAAATTTAAGATTTTTAGTGTATAAGATTAAAGGCAGGAACTAAAATCCACAATACCACCAGGTAACGCATATTCACACACACAAAAACACACATATATGCACAGAGAAAGAGAAAGAGAGAGAAATATCTGTCAATGTATATATTAGCAAGCCCATTTCCTTTTCACTTTCAGTAATCACAGGGCCACGTGCCACCATTCCAGAATCACAGATACTTAGGCAGAGAGCCAAGCGTCCACACCAGTGCAAAGGTGTCCCCCTCCCCCCACTCCAAATAGGTTGTTGACCTGCCTTTGGTTAAGGGTTCCCAATGGCAAGAAAGTAATCTCATAAATCAGTCCATTTGTTATAGAAAATATATGAGAAAGTGCTTCTGATGTGTTCAGCCACAACATTTCCCTCTGAAAACTCCCGTAGTCCTCTGAAGCTGCACAGAACAAATCTGTGCCAACCCTCAGAGATGGAGAGCAGCACCAGAGTGCCTCCCCTGCCACCTTCACCCCAGGTTCACTTTCAAATCCAAATATCCCAAGTTCCTGAGCATTCCTCACATGATATCATAAAGTGGGACTCTCAGAGCTGAGCAAAATATTATGAGTGAGGAATGACTGGCATTGAATACGCTTAACTATTGTGTTTCCTCTTCTGGACATTTGACCTCTATTCTGCATCCTGTGCTCCCAGGGCACATCAGCAGCCATCACCACTGGTGCACACAGAACTTGAAATCAACTTAAACTCTAAGACAACTTATGTGGGCCAAAGCTAGGTTTCTTCCATCCTGCATTTATGCATTTGGTAATTTATCTCTGTTCAAAGATTGGCATTTATCTCTGCAATTTCTTCTTATACTGAATTTGTGGGTATAAGCCTGTGGAGATTTTTGTGAATCTCAGATTCTGGCAGCTGATGTGTTAGTTATTTCACCTGGCTTTGTGCCACTAGCAAGGAAAATATTGTTTGGCAGCATAAATCAACAATATATTACTCTTCTGAAGAGCGCAATTCAGAGAATTGAGGTGGAACTGCCACCATCTTAAGTAATTTTATTTTGGAAATAAAACTGTAATTTTAGTGCTTGTGTAGCTAGCTCTTGTCACCAAAAACTAAAAACATCAAGTCTTACTCCCCGGTCCGAAAGCTTTGAATTTTTAGCTAAACCTATATGATAGGTCTTGTTACAGGAAAGCATGCATTATATGTGCAGGAATTTCAGGAAGCAAAGGGCGTCCCTGTAATCTAACCACTCAGCATTTCTGGAATTCTCAACTCTGTCTTTGCTGAAAAAGCTCATAGATGTGTTCTTGCAGCTGCTGGGCTGCCGGTTCGAGGAGGCCCACGTGCCCTTCCTCCTTTTGCCTGTGATCCCCTATTCCACCTGCCCAGCCTGGGACACTGCCATGGGCACTCCCCTCTGGTGTTAAAAAGAAGATAACTTTTTGGCTGCTTTCCTATTTTCTGTAGAATTAAACACCAACTTAGAATCAGGCATTCACAGTCCGACTCCAGGCTCTTCTCAGCCCTCTCCAGCCACTTCTCCCTGGGACCTCACCCACCTTCTTTAACACCCCTCTGCTTCCCCTCCGCAGTGGTACCTTGATTCACATGATTTCCTCTGCCGTTCATGCTACCCGAGTCTACTGAAACTCTGCTCAAAGTCCAACTCAAAAGTCACCCCATCTGCAAGAAATTCCCTGACTCTGAATTCAGAATAAATGATTCCTTTGTGGAGCTCTTCGTTATTAACGTGGTTGGACTTTTCAGCAGTTGGACTCAGGTTATCAGTCTCTCCCTCAGTTCTGTCAGGAAACTTTAGGTCGAGAGGGGCCTCAACCTCATCTTTGATTCCCAAGTACCCACCACAGTCAGAAGCACAGGGTCAGGGCAGAATAAACGTGAGTTGAGTTGATTGCCATGATCAACAGTTAAGTCTTTTCCTCCTACCCACATTTTACCATGATAGACCTATGAGTTTCAGCTTAATTTTTCCCATATTTTTTAAACTGGATTTATTGTTTTAATTAAAAAGTTTTAAAACAACCTATAATATGTATATATACTTAATTCAACATAGTTTTTAAAGTAAAAAAAAAAAGGTGCATTGGTCTTGATGGATATCTTTTTTTTTTTTTTTTTTGAGTTGGAGTTTCGCTCTTGTTGCCCATGCTGGAGTGCAATGGCACAATCTCAGCTAACTGCAACCTCCGCCTCCTGAGTTCAAACAATTCTCCTCCCTCAGCCTCCCTGGTAACTGGGATTACAGACATGTACCACCATACTCGACTAACTTTTTTTTTTTTTTTTTTTTTTTTTTTTAGCAGAGACAGGGTTTCACCATGTTGGTCAGGCTGCTCTCAAACTCCTGACCTCAGATGATCCACCTACCTCAGCCTCCCAAAGTGCTGGCATCACAGGCGTGAGCCACCATACCCACCCTTATTTTTGAGTCTTCACTTCAGCAAACATGCAGAAGGCTTAGAACTCTAAGAAGTAAGATAATTATAGGCACTGTCTGTGGAGAACTTAGTGAAATTGTCATAGTCCTCTGTCAATTTTTAGATATAAATGTCAGCATCTAGCTGACTATTATTATTATTTGCCCAAATTTAGAGTCTGTACAAACTTGCTAATGAAGAAGCAAAGAAGAAAGGCTACGACTTGCGAAGCGATGCCATCCCCATCGTGGCGGCCAAGGCCTCCAGGGACATCATCAGTGACGTGAGTTGTCAATTCCATTCCGAGTATGTGGTCAAGCCAATGTGGCATTTTCACTGAACTAAATCTTGAAAAAGAACCTTTCCTGGACCTTTGAAAATACATCCTGATGTATTTGTGTGGAATTTTTCAGAACCTCATTTTTAAGGGAAATGAAAATGTTGATGTTTACAAAAGGGGTTTGTAACCTGTAGGACACAGCGTCTTCCATGAAAACTGGTCAACCAAGAACAGAGAAAGATTCACTCATGTGTACACAGTTAAAGTGAAGCTGCAGGCTTGGAGATGCTTATGTAAGAATTATCACCAGGCTTATAAAAAGCTTCTAAGTTCTGCTAGTGCGATTCAGGGCCTGGCTTTATGTAACGTTTTAATATATAGTATTTTAAAACACGTATGGTACTTGCTATTGCAATTCACCCTATGAAAAGAAAGCAGTTGATCAGTACCAGAGGTGGCTACTGACCTAAGGTTAACACTTTTTTGAGACGGAGTTTTGCTCTTATTGCCCAGGCTGGAGTGCAGTGGCGCGATCTCGGCTCACTGCAACCTCCACTGCCCAGGTTCAAGCAATTCTCCTGCCTCAGCCTCCTGAGTAGCTGGGATTACAGGTGCCCGCCTCCACACCTGGCTAATCTTTGGATTTTTAGTAGCATCAGTGTTTCACCATGTTGGCCAGGCTGGTCTCGAATTCCTGACCTCAGGTGATCCACCCGCCTCAGCCTCCTCCAGTGCTGGGGTGACAAGCGTAAGCCACCATGCCCAGCCAAGGTCACGCTCTTAACAATACCTCCTAGTCTTGTAGTGTGTCTCCCAGAGTAAAACTGACATTCTTTCCTGGGGATTCTTGAGGAACAAACGACTGTTCTAAAAATCAAGGCCCACTTGCTGTCCTTTATATTGGAATCTTTTTTTTTTTTTTTTTTGAGATGGAGTCTGTCTTGCTCTTCTTACCCAGGCTGGAGTGCAATGGCACGATCTCAGCTCACCGCAACCTCCGCCTCCTGGGTTCGGGCAATTCTCCTGCCTCAGCCTCCTGAGTAGCTGGGATTACAGGCACACACCACCGTGCCCAGCTAATTTTTTGTATTTTTAGTAGAGACGGGGTTTCACCATGTTGACCAGGATGGTCTCGATCTCTTGACCTCGTGATCCACCCGCCTCGGCCTCCAAAGTGCTGGGATTACAGGCATGAGCCACCGCGCTCGGCTTATATTGGAATTTTATGTTAATGATTCAGCTTTATGTATGTGGGACCCTCTCAGCAAATGGACTCATACAATAATAATAAATAATGAAATACTCATAACCAGTTGAGAACTCTTTGCTAAGTGCTTCACATGCATTGTCTCATTTATTCTTCATAATTGCCCTAGAATGTAGATATCCTCATTATCCCCATTTTGTGGATTGTTTAAGCAACTTGCCTAAAATCAAACTCCTAGTGAGTGGTAGAGTGTCAACTCCAGACAATCTCATTCCTTTCCATTGTACCATATTGCCTCTTGCTGACTTACCTACACTTAGTCAGCTGTCTGTGAGACTAAAAGCATGTATTTTGGATAATTGGCTTAGATTTCAGAATGATCTCATTGGACATAAATAATAAAAACATTGTTGGCCCATGCGAGGCTAGAACCCATGACCTAGGAGCATGATCTAACCGGTTGGGTTGCTATGTCAGTTTCACAAGTACAATCTGTTTTCAAAATGATGCCAAAAGCTTGCCACTGCCATTGAATGCAAGAATCCAGTAAATAATAATAATAATAAATTCTCCTCTGTTGCTACAACAGGGGGTTCTTGCAGGAATCAGTCATTCATTTTACTGTTTATTAAAGACACCATTCCACCAAGTGCACCCTTTTCCTGACATGCTTTTAGTGTTTAGAATCCAGTTCTCTGGGTTACCTGATTCAAATATTCTCTCCCTAACTTCCACAGGTGACCTTTCCCCACATATGCACTTCCTGTTTTCAGAGATACTCCTTAGTACCAGGCTGTAGGTGATGTGGGGTATACACTACAATTACATGAATTCCATCTATTTTTCTACCTCTGTAAAGGCTTCCAGGATGAAGGCAGGATACTGACTTGAGTTAGTGCTTCTTAACAAAAGTCAGTTGAACTATAATGTAAACAAGTTGATTTTGTACAGACCTGTGGCCTCTAAGGGAGTCACAATAAAAACCTGATTTGTGCACTTTCATTTTAGTACAAATATAAAGATGGTTACCGCAAGCAGCTCGGCCACCACATTGGAGCACGTGACATTAAAGATGACCCCAAGATGATGTGGTCCATGCACGTGGCCAAGATCCAGAGTGACAGAGAGTACAAGAAGGACTTTGAGAAGTGGAAGACCAAGTTCAGCAGCCCAGTGGACATGCTGGGGGTGGTGCTGGCCAAGAAGTGCCAGACCTTAGTCAGCGATGTGGACTACAAGAACTACCTGCACCAGTGGACCTGCCTGCCCGACCAGAATGACGTCATCCATGCCCGGCAGGCCTATGACCTCCAGAGCGACGTGAGTACAGCATTTATAAATGGAGCTGTTCATAGAAGTAATTTAAACTATGTGAAAATTATCCTTTATATACAATCCATTGACCTACTCAAGTTAAGGTTGATTGGTCTATGAATAAGATTTAAATCAGAATACAATTTTATTGCTTTATCACGAATACGTTACAAGACTTCATAAGAAAGTAAAATTTACAAAGTGGACTTGGTCTTGGAAAAACAAAATTGGAATTAAGTAACGTTGGAATTCAGGGTCCACTAGAGGGAGACATTTTATTTTATTCTTTTAAGGAGGGAAGAAATGTTTTTATTTTAAAAAGAAATTACTTTGGAATTTGTTTTTGGCTTCTTTGCAAAACAAATTATTGAATTCTGCCTACTGCAGTGCTAAATATTATGCTTATGAAATAAAAGAAGTCTCTGTGTCTGTACACTACTGGACTGTTTGACAAAAACTTCCTCCTAGCATGGCTCTCTATGGAGGAGCCACATGGTAATGGCAGAACCTACTACCTACCGGAAGCAGATGCACTATCTCAAATCTGGATGTGAGAGGCACATTTCCTGCACTCTGAACTTTATAAACTTTGAAGGAATTAAAGCACTAGCAAGTTTTGGTGACTAAAACTAGTTAGTAATAATTATACATTAATTGGTTGTTCCTAAAACCTTACAGCCTACCTGAGAAAACTCCCACGTCTGTTCTGTAGCTTTTGACATACAGAACCCTGTGTTTAGCAATTATTTCCAAAAAGAAAGGCTTTGCCTGCATGTAAAAGATAGTTTAAGAGGGTTGATGTCACCCATACAATGACAACATTGACAGATTGCTTGCCATCTGTCTATTTGCTGAGTACCTTCTCTAGATTGCTTTCCTCACCCTTCAATATGAACTTCATACTGTGGGAAGTATTTGGAAGTTAAAAAGCATTCCAGAGGTATAAAGTGTTATTGTTTTTATTTTATTTTATTTTATTTTGAGACGGAGTTTCACTCTTGTTACCCAGGCTGGAGTGCAATGGCACGATCTCAGCTCACTGCAACCTCTGCCTCCTGGGTTCAGGCAATTCTCCTGCCTCAGCCTCCTGAGTAGCTGGGATCACAGGCACACGCCACCATGCCCAGCTGATTTTTTGTATTTTTAGTAGAGATGGGGTTTCACCATGTTGACCAGGATGGTCTCGATCTCTTGACCTCGTGATCCACCCGCCTCAGTCTCCCAAAGTGCTGGGATTACAGGCGTGAGCCACCGCTCCCGGCCTTGTTTTTATTTTTATTTATTTATTTGAGACAGAGTCTCGCTCCGTTGCCTAGGCTGGAGTGCAATGGCGTGATCTCTGCTCACTGAAACCTCCGCCTCCTGGGTTCAAGTGATTCTCATGCCTCAGCTTTTCTGTAGCTGGAATTACAGACCGCCAGCACCATGTCCCACTAATTTTTTGTATTTTTAGTGGAGATGGGGGTTTCGCTATGTTGGCCAGGCTGGTCTCAAACTCCTAACCTCAGGTGATCCGCTCACCTCAGCATCCCAGAATGCTAGAATTACAGGCATGGGCCACCGTACCCGTCCTGTTTTCACTCTTGCTATTTTTATTTATCGGGCAATAACTAGTTAGCACAGGCCAATTCCAATAGGTTTTTTTTTTTTTATCTAGACTACAAAATAGGAGTTTTTTATTTTCTACTTAGTTGCTGTGACAGGGGAAATCTTTCTAATGAGCCAAGCAAAGATCCAGTACTATGACTGTGATGTAGTTATGAGTACTTAATGGGTACATAAAAATCTTTAGCAAAAAAATGTTTTAAAATAAAATGAGAACTAAAAATATGGCAACTTGATTCTATATAGGTGACTGTGCTTCCATCCTGAGGACTTGGTTAGGAAAAGACAGGGACCCTCCGTAATGAAACTGTTCATTTAATAGATGAACAATTAAATATGTATTTATTGCCCTGAATCTTGGACAGAGTTACAGCTGTTGAAGATCTGCCTCAGGGTTTCAGTGGTTCTACATCACTGTTATATTTTAACTGTGCTTTTAAAGGCATTACGGGTATTTTGAAATATACAGAAGAATACATCAAAGGGAATAATAATCCAACACAATCCAAACACTAGAAAACCCCACTCTTATTGGTGTAATTTATCTACTGACACTGTTTTATGTGCTACTTTAAAATTTCATATTGTATTAATGACATTTCTACATGTCATCAATATTCTTAAACAGTGAAGCTTTTAATGGCTTTGGAGTGTTTTCATTTAGCTAGGTGTAAAATTGATTCACTAAGAGCCTGTTGTTGGATGTGTGTGTGGTTTCTGTCAGTCTGGGTTGGTATTCTTCCCTGCATAGACACGTTACAATTATGATAACATTCACTGAACCAACTGACAGAAGATATTACTTGAGATCACTCCTCTCCTAATAACCTGAGACATTTGATAAGTTTTTATTACAGCTAGAAGATATTTCTGGGTCATTTATGAGCATAATTCTTCTAGAATTGTGTTTTCTAAATAGAAAACAGAATTGCACTTTATTACTGATTCTGTTTGCATATTTACCCAAAATATTTTGATCTTGATGAAGAGTTTTTGACTTTTTTTCCTCTTCTCAGAATATTTACAAGTCAGATCTCCAGTGGCTGAAAGGCATTGGCTGGGTCCCCATTGGGTCTCTGGATGTGGTCAAGTGCAAGAGAGCTGCAGAAATACTGAGTGATAACATCTACCGCCAACCTCCAGACAAGCTGAAATTCACCAGCGTGACTGATTCTCTGGAGCAGGTGCTGGCCAAGAACAATGCCCTCAACATGAACAAGGTGAGCCCCAGCTGCCTCAAGCTTCTGCAAGATGCCAGAAGATGTTATTAAACTTTAATGACTAATGGAGTGAAATTATCTATGAAGCCATGGGGTTGAATTTGCTTTTTAAATTACATGCTTGAAATCCTCTAAATAACTTCAATTATTCCCAGTTTCAATCTTGATAACTAGTAATAAGACTCATGCTTCCAGTGGAATACTTTCTGTTCAAGTCTGGCTTATTTTTCCTCATTAGGTCCTTAATAACAGTTTTACATGAACTTTTTGTCATTTCTATTTCAAATGATTTTAATCAACATCTTATCTTCTTTTATAGCGTTTATATACAGAGGCCTGGGACAAAGACAAGACTCAAATTCACATAATGCCAGATACACCAGAGATTATGTTGGCAAGGCAGAACAAAATCAACTACAGTGAGGTGGGGCCAAAATCCATGGTGCTACATTGTAGTGTTGTGGTTGTTTGTCTATATTAGTTTTATGGAGATTCTTGGGCCTCAGCTATCACCATGCATGTGGGTCTTTCACTTAATACTCTGCCCATCCAACCTTTCATCTCTGGGTTGAATATTATATGAGATTCTACTGGCAAATTGAAGTCGCATTGTCTTTTCTGTTCATGGCGATTTCCAATGTGAGTCAGTGGGACTAAGTAGTATTTTAGACATTTCTTAGGATTGTCAGATAAAATACTGGCCCATTATTTCCACCAAAACATTATTTGTTGTTTATCTGAAAATCAAGTTCTACTGGGTGTGCTATATGTTTATTTACTAAATGTGCCACCCCTCCCAAGGAGGCCTCTAATAACACACATCTCTTCCCTACCTGGGCCCTGAGTAAAATTAATAAATAAAAGGAGTAGAAATAGAAGTCAAAATCTCACTTTTTAAAAAACTACTAACATGGCTGGGCATGGTGGCTCACGCCTGTAATCCCAACACTTTGGGAGGCCAAGGCAGGCAGATCATCTGAGGTTGGGAGTTCGAGACTAGCCTGACCAACATGGAGAAACCCCTTCTCTACTAAAAATACAAAGATTAGCTGGGTTTGGTGGTGCATGCCTGTAATCCCAGCCACTCAGGAGAATCACTTGAACCCATGAGGCAGAGGTTGCAGTGAGCTGAGATTATACCATTGTACTCCAGCCTGGGCAACAAGAGTAAAACTCCCTCTCAAAAAAACAAAAACAAAACAAAACAAAACAAAAAAACTACTAAAGTTAGGCTAAAGGGTCCATTTGTGTGAGAGCCCAATAAGCATGCTAACTGAACATCAGAATTAGGTTTCCTACCAGGCACAGGCTGTTCTGGAGCAGACGATCTGCCCTGATTCTCCCCACTTAGAGGTGAGGCTCTGCTTAGAAAACAGAAACAGAGGAGGATACCAGGCTCCTTCCTAGAGGGAGAAGGGCAGGGCTGAGCCAAGCATGCCCACTAATTCCATCCCTACCAATCAGATACATCAGTAAATCACTGCACCTCTCCAAGGCAGAGAAAGTAAAGGGACAGAAAAGGCCACAGTTAAAATAATTGAGCTTTGCCTATAGAAAGAAAACCTTAGGCATGAGGAAGAACTGTTCTCTATCAACAGTATTGATGATTGACTTTTTTTAAAGTAAAATGCAATTTTATAGACACTTGGTTTACTAATATGATATAAACAAAATTTAGAAAGTTGTGATTGTGGTTATTAACTATATTTTTTAGATTTTAATTTGTCTTGTCTTTTAAACATTATAAAATATTACATGATTGTCATACAAATTGTAGGTCATAAAAAAGAAATAAAAATATATCTATACACATAAATGGATAATATTAAACATTGTTCTGCCATTTTTTTCCACTTAGTGGTATAGATGGATTGCTGCTTTGCTCATCAATCTGTATTACTAGATTATATTAATCGATGCTGATATATGTATAATATTTATGCATAACATATTTATAATATAAAATAAATTAATGTATCAATACATATTAATGTTCATTGATATGTCCTGTTTATTTCTAATGCTATATAGTATTTTTGGTAGAATATAATTGATTTCCTTTATATATTGCCAGAAACTTGGATTGTTTCCAATTCCTATTCTTTTTAAAATTGTATTATATAAGTCACTTAATAATCTCTGAATTGTTGATGTCAAACCTTTTGCTTGAACTTTTTGGCTTGCTTTCTTTAGAGTCTATACAAACTTGCCAATGAAGAAGCGAAAAAGAAAGGCTACGACTTGCGAAGTGACGCCATCCCCATCGTGGCTGCCAAGGCCTCCAGGGACATCATCAGTGACGTAAGTAGCAACACCCTTGATATTTACCTGGATGGATGAAGTGAAGAGGGAGAATCATTACTATTATAACATTTGGGGGCCAGTTTAAGCACATTTATGGACTTATTTTTCTAAATCAAATAAATGTTTTTCATCTGAAAAAACGTAGATTTTAAGCTTCATAAGACTTCATAAGTATCTGAGTCTCAGGGAGGAAGAGGGTGACCTAAACCAGTATACTTCAATTCAGTATAAAAGTGGATGTGATTCTACATTTTTTCATATCTGTGAGAAATTCATCTCCATATTTTGAGCATGGAGCATTATAGAAAATCGAAAATGGCAGAAGAGGTGTTAAAAAATAACTTAGTTACATGTATTGGTTCAACCTCAAAAAAGAGCTGATAGAACCAAGTGTAGGAAAATCCACCTTTCCCCAAATTTGCTGTGTTTTTGCCAGCTCATTTTTTTTTTTTTTTTGGAAAATTATCTTAAGTGCTTTGTTTTGAGTTCTTTTAAAATGAAAACAGAAAGACAAAGATGAGGAAAACAACAAAATAGTGAACATCATTTCTCTTCCTGCCATCTCTGAAAAAGGTGGGTTATTCGGTGGAGAATTCAGACTTTTTTTTTTTAAGATGGAGTCTCAGAGACTCGCTCTTGTCACCCAAGCTGGAGTGTAATGGCATGATCTTGGTTCACTACAACCTCTGCCTCCCTGCTTCAAGTGATTCTCCTGCCTCAGCTTCCTGCGTAGCTAGGATTACAGGCACCTGCCACCATACTTGGCAAATTTTTGTATTTTTGGTAGAGACAGGGTTTCACCATTCTGGCCAGCTGGTCTCGAACTCCTGACCTCAGGTGATCTGCCTGCCTTGGTCTCCCAAAGTGCTGGGATTACAGGCATGAGCCACTGTGCCCAGCTGAAAATTCAGACTTCTGTAAATATTTGTGTGGTGTGGTATCTGAAATACAAAATATCCAGTTACCCCTTACCACCACCAACAACAAAATGGTTTTTTTTGTAGACATACATTCCATTTGTAGACATACATTCCATTTTCTCACTTGAGGAATCCCAGACAAACCTCAGTCAAATTTGATCTCCAACAGAGCAGGGCTTGTAGGATGGAAATGTAATCCAGTCCACTTCAGAGAGTCAGTGCCCCAGTGAAAGTCAGCAAAGTCAGATTTGGGAAGGAGTGTGGGTATGTTGGATAGTGGTGGAGGGTTAAATTACTATCTGTGAACTCAGGAATAGCAGTCTCAAAATCATATATAAGAGTTTTGGGTTAGTAACTTCATGGGCCCAAGATGACGAAACGGCAGTACACAGTACCAAATGATCTTCTGGAAAGTGTATCTTCCTTTATTTTCAAGGACTTAACGTCTACCAGCCAAAAGACCATGTAGTTTGGCTTACCTTCCCACTGGACTATTCCTATTAGACTGTTGCTGTTAGGCTATTTATGAGACTTCCATTAGATTACTGCCCATTAGATTACTGCTGTAAAGTCTAATCAGAATTTAGAAGGGGGAGATAAACTGATCATCAGATTCTTTCATTTCTGTGCAAGAATTAGCAATTTTAAAATAATAAAGTTTTAAATTAATGAGACTTCTAAGCCTTTCTAGTCATTTTTATTTTTGAAATGACCACCTTTATTTTAGTACAAATATAAAGATGGTTACCGCAAGCAACTTGGCCACCACATCGGAGCCCGGAACATTAAAGATGACCCCAAGATGATGTGGTCCATGCACGTGGCCAAGATCCAGAGTGACAGAGAGTACAAGAAGGACTTTGAGAAGTGGAAGACCAAGTTCAGCAGCCCAGTGGACATGCTGGGAGTGGTGCTGGCCAAGAAGTGCCAGACCTTAGTCAGCGACGTGGACTACAAGAACTACCTGCACCAGTGGACCTGCCTGCCCGACCAGAATGATGTCATCCATGCCCGGCAGGCCTATGACCTCCAGAGTGACGTGAGTACTTAAGATCCATGGTAACTGTGTTCATGATAGTAATTCGTAGAAATACTAAGACAGTGGTCTAGGATTAGACAGAACTCTCATAAGGGATGACAGTCTTCTCTCTGCTCATTTTTTAGGCCCCTCTTCCTACATTTTTTTGGAGAGAAAGAAATGCCATGAGACTATATTCAATTCAGCCTTCTTGTATTGAAAAACATCTACATGAAATTTGACTACCTAAACTTTTCTAGTGTTAATTTTTCATTTTTGAAATTATGTTAAAACAACTTTAGTAATACTGCTTTTGTGTTTAATCTCTCCAGAACATTTACAAATCTGATCTCCAGTGGCTGAAAGGCATTGGCTGGGTCCCCATTGGGTCTGTGGACGTAGTCAAGTGCAAGAGAGCTGCAGAAATACTGAGTGATCACATCTACCGCCAGCCTCCGGACAAGCTGAAATTTACCAGCATCACTGATTCTCTGGAGCAGGTGTTGGCCAAGAACAATGCTCTCAACATGAATAAGGTGAGCCCCCAGTTTGTGGGAAAATAAGTCAGGGCTGTGTGTCATTTAAGATACCTATTGTTAATTAAGTTAGTCTTTTTTGTTTAATCCAGTTGAATTGCTATCCAATGTAGAGTGATTCGGTTGAGTTCTCTATTCTGTCAGATAACAATACATGGGAGCATTTCTGCTTTGACATCTCTTGTGAAATAGAGTTAAGAATAGGACAGCTATTTTGGGTTCAAATTGTTTGAAGTCTGTAAGAGTTAATGGTTTGGTATGAAGGTTTCTTTCTTGTTGACTACATATGTAGGTGATCACAGAACAAACAAGAAAGATGCAAGCCAGCCATGGCGGCTCTCACCTGTAATCTCAACACTTTTGGGAGGCTGAGGTGGCAGATCACTTGAGCTCAGGAGTTGGAGATTAGCCTGGGCAGCATGTCAAACCCTGTCTCTTCAAAAAATATAAAAATTAGCTGAGTGTGGTGATGTGCACCTGTATCCTAGTTACTTGGGAGGCTGAGGTGGGAGGATCACCTGTGCCTGGAGAGGCTGAGGCTGAAGTGAGCCATGGTTCTGCTACTGCATTCCAGCCTGGGCAACAGAGTGAATGAAACTCTGTCTCATTTAAAAAAAGAAAAAAGAAAAAAAAGAAAGATGCAAATCTTCATAATATTTATCAAAAAGAAATCTAGAGATAGCGTCTCTAGGTATATTTGCAGTTAATTAACCAACAAAAAACAGCATCAAAGAAATAAAATTGTGGGAAGGCTTTGTTAATATAGCCATGGTACAAACATGGATGTGAATATATGCTTGGAAAATACTTGGTTTTAATTTAATTGGGGTGGGGGGGGGTTACCAAACACACGTGTGTTTGATTTTATATATATATGCCACATGTATATTTTCCTTTTCATATCTTAGTAGACATTTATATTTTGATACAATAAGTATATTGTAAAATCAAAGAGGTTGAAAAGAATGTTAACATACAGCACATGCACAGACAGCAGGAAAGCTGCCTCTCAATTTTGTCATGATTTCTCAACTGAAAACTCATGTTTACAACAAACTGTTTTTCTAATTCATTAACCTTTTTATCCTTCACAGCGCTTATACACAGAAGCCTGGGACAAAGACAAGACACAAGTCCATATTATGCCTGATACACCTGAAATCATGTTGGCAAGACAAAATAAAATAAATTATAGTGAGGTAAGATTGTTTTATTTCTTTGGTCTGGCCACATTGATTTTTGCTGATGTAAAAATGTCAGAATTATGGATTTAATCCTCATGTAAGCCAGTTAGCTGAGTTGGCTTTTTATGCCGTTTACCCTATCTCGAATATACATATCATTGTATTAAAAAATAGGTAGATAGAAAGGTAGATCAGAGAGAGAGAGAGAGAGAGAGATAGACAGACACAAAAGTATCTTCATTTTAGGAGGGGAAAATATCTTAAGTCAACTATTAATGACTAAAACATAATTGTAATTAAAAATAATTCTTGCTATTAATCAATGTAGTACTTGCTTCAAAATTTGTTTGGCAAGTTTCTTTTCTTCAGTTACCTCATCTGTAAAGTAGGATTAAAATGCCTATCCTAAAGAATTTTTAAAGAATGACTAAACGAGGTAAAATATTTAACATGTCCAGTGTGGAACCGGGTGCAAAATATTTGTTTAATAAACTTTAACATCTTTCCTTTACACTCAACTCACCATGAAAATTAGGTGTATTTAATATGCTCAAAATAACTTGAGTTTTATTTACAAGAACTGAAATGAGAATGCTTAAATTCACTCATTTCACACGGCCTGAGAACAATAAAATACATTCTTTTATGAACTATCTCCAGCCTTGCTAAACTTGTCATTGCATATCTTTGCAGTCCAGAAATACTGCTGCATAAATAGTGTTTTGCTCAATTGTTCTTGCCAAAGTCAAGAATTTATATGGTTGATTCAAGAAGACTATTAATTTTTTAAACATGTTTATGTGTCTTCATTTTCTTTTAGAAAGAAATGCAGAGTTTTCTTCAGTTTGACAGCACTAGAAAATTTACTGATTTTAAAGATGACCAAATTTATTATTTTACCCATATTAATTACTTTTGCTTATAATAATGAAGCCTTCAAGAGGAGGCATGCTTAGATCAAATAATCATGACCAGTAAAATAAAGAGGGTATGATTTCGTTTTCTCCAGCATTATAAAACAGACCAACTGACAAGCTTGATTATAAATATTTGATTGGCCTTGGCTTCAGTCACTTTTGAGTGAGCCATTTTCTCTTGGCCACAGAGCTTTTCAACTGGGTTATCTTCTCGGCAGACGAAGTTAATTTCTATTCCAGATTGTTAAGAAGCTCTTAAGCCTCTCTCATTTGTTTACATTAGGGGAATTGAGGTAGATTTTTTTTTTCAGACTGCTGCAAGGAAATTGGGCTAGTTTTTAATTCTAAAATTTTCAGCTGGATTTACTTTCTGTAAAATTGCATGATTGTGCATTGAAGGCTCTGACTTCACCACAGTGCAATGTATTAATGTAGCAAAATCACACTCATGTCCCATGAATACACACAAATAAATAAAAATAAAATTGAATGATCATATTGATTCCTTGAGGAATCTAAGATTAGATTTCAGAATGGCCCTCCTGAATTTCTTCTCAACCCATTGCCTATGTTACCTTCATTCCATAAATGTAAAAGTAAGCAAATCCATCTACTTTTTCCTCTTAAGTTCTCATTTACCTATTCTAGTTTTCTTAACAAGCTTTAAAATATATCCTTGATGATAGCTAAAAGTGTGCTCTCCTTCAAAACACTGCATCTTTTTTAAATGTTGAAAGAATTAAAGAACTCTATTTTTTGGCCTGAAGCCATGAGATGATTGAAGCACATTTTTCCCCACTTCTACCATTTTTAAAACAAGGGCATTTATTCTTAAAGAAAAAAACATAATTGAAATATTTAACCTTCTACTTTCAAAAGAAACATTCCTAGAAATTTTGAAGAAAAACAATTCCCTCTGGAATTTATCTCAGAGATATTACATTGATTCTTATTTTTACTTTAGCCTTTTCTTGTAAAATCTCATCTTGAAAAGACTATAAACTGGCACATCTTAATAACCTACTTATTAAACACAATAATGACCTGGTAAGCGTCTTAAGTCATAAAAATATTTTTTTTAATTAAACGCCTCTGTAACATATTCAAAATCCAGATACTAGTCCAGTATTCTTAATTCAATCTAATTTGAGAATGGGCATAAAAATAAAGTTTTTATTATTTGTAACACACTTTTTAGGGATTTTCCTTACGTTTAAGATTTTGTCTTTACACAGCCTCGGCAGTGAAACATACACTGAACAGTAGAGGGATGATAAAGCCTTGTAGAACCATAGATCATTGTGGTTTTTCCCTTAAAAGCATACATCGTTTCTAAGCTTTTTCCAGAACTGTCTACTGGTACTGCGTCTGCTTTATCTAACTCAATAAACCTCGTAAAAGGAAAGGGAGAAAGCGAAATTAAAGACTATTCGATTGTAGATTGATCTCAAGGCTGTATTTGGATATAGATGAGCTGCTTTCAAACCTCAGCTACCACCCTTGAGGTTACACAGAGGCCTTCCAAGGGGTAATCTGGCATGGGTCGTTTTACACAAATCAGTTAACATAGCTTCAACTTCCATACACACACTCTTCTAAATTACCTGCCCAAGAATGCCCCTACAGTTTGAGTGGCATCCCACTTGTTTCACAGTCACTCTCATCTATGTTAAAACAAAAAAGGCATGGTTTGAACGTGAAGAAAGAAACTAGAGAACTAAATGCTACTCATTCTCTTGAATTGAATTTTGGATAGGAAAACAACATTGCTATAAAGGAAATTATTGGGACCACTGATGAAATTTGAATATTGACTGTATATTTGATAATAAAAGAGAATAGAACTAGACAATAATACTGTATCCATGTTAAATTTCCTGAGTCATGATACATATATTGTGGTTACATAAAATGTCTTTATTCTTAGGAGATACATGATAAAGTATTCAAGGATGAAGGCCATGTTGTATACAGTTTTCTCTTAATTAGTTCAACAATTGAAAATAATAAGTAAAATGAAGAAATACATCACACATAAAGAGAAAGAGATAGAGGAGGCAAATATGGCAAAAATGTTAATAAGTTGGATAGTTGGAACTTGCAACCTTTCCGTAGGTTTGAAGTTTTGCAAAAAGTGGAAAGAATACGTTTTAAAATATGAAGATGTACATTAAAATATTTAAGTATAATAATATAAAGATTTCATTTTTATATATATAAAAGAAAAAAGTTATACTTATCCTAGTAGTTACTGTGATGCATGTGTGAAAGTATTCAAACTCTACCAAACATGGCTGGGTGCAGTGGCTCATGCCTGAAATCCCAGCAATTTGGAAGGCTGAGGCAGAAGGATCTCTTGAGTTCAGGAGTTTGGGATCAGCCTGGCCAACATGGCAACACTCATCTCTACTAAAAATACAAAAATTAGCTGGGTGTGGTGGCATGCACCTGTAATCCCAGCTACTTGGGTGGCTGAGGCATGAGAATCACTTGAATCTGAGAGGCAGTGAGCCAAGATTGTGCCACTGCACTCTACCCTGGGCAACAGAGTGAGACTCTCTCAAAAAACAAACAAAATAACAACAGAAAGCCCACAAAACTTTACCAGGAAACTTAATTCATTATTGCCCAACAAAACTTTTTCAATCAAGCCACCATGAGCTCCTACAAGTCATGTCTCATTAAGAGAGCAAATAAATTTTTATTTTTTATGTTTAAAAATTGTTATCAAACTGTATATTTATCTTGTTTTGATTTATTGAATACCGACATTTGCAGTTATTTAACATTTTTGTTAAGAGGATACAGAATCAGTCAAAATTTTCATCACTGGTTCACAAACAAAAAGAGCTGAAAACCATTGGTATAGATGATTTGGTTCTCAAATGACATTCCCATGTAACATTTGTGTTTTGTCTTCTATGTACATCTGTCCTGCCACAGAAATTGAACAGTGGCAGTGCTTTGTCAATTCACAGAAGAAGTTAATTAATAGATTTTTATCTGTTTTACAGTTTTGACTCCTAAATCTTTGATACCTGCTACCCTCATGTCTGCTAACAACTTCCAGCCGTTGATGAAATAATAAAGAGGGAGCAAATCAACATTAACAGAGTGATACATCCTTAGTTCAGCACTAAATTTTATTATGGACACATCCTCCTAGTGGTAGTATTATTATATATTATTATATGATACTATTCTCTGCTAGTAAAAATGTTCCCAGTTCAAATTTGGAGTTAAATAAATCAACATTTCTTCGTTGTTGCATGCAAAGAGCAAGTAGTGAACAATTTAAACACACTAAGAACTGTTCATTTAATGTATGAAATTTACAAGATTTGTGCAAAGAGAGATTGTGATGTCAAAACTTGCTGAATATGAAATTTTAATTTAAATAAATATCCAAGGATAAACAGAAAGCAAGAGTTCTTTTTCTGATTTAAGGCTGAATATACTAGTGTAGTTTTGCATCCAAAAGTGGTCTGTCTTCCTTTGACAAAAATGTATTTCTCGAATGAATGTGAATTCTATATTTAAAAGCTACTTCTTCTTTCCTCAGAGCCTCTATCGTCAGGCCATGGAAGAAGCCAAGAAAGAAGGCTATGACTTGAGAAGTGATGCCATTCCCATTGTGGCTGCCAAGGCCTCTCGGGATATTGCCAGTGATGTAAGAGTTGATCAAGTCCTAACATTTCTTGCCATCAGGCCAGCCACACAGGGAATACAGCTGGACATCTCTTTGGTCATCATCCACCTTAAGTCCCTTCAGTGCATAGGCAAATATATTGAGGCTTGAGATACAGATAATATGCCTAAGATCACAATCACCACAGAAGCATAGTCTAGACTGGAATGTGGCTCATTTGACTCTGTATTTTTGATCTTTGCTCAATAGGAGTGAGTGCCTCAATTAAAGTTAGATGTATGTATGCTGAACTACTCACAGAATCTCAGAAGGTCTCCTTGGAACATACCCAAGGCAAAAATGCCGGAAAAGAAGGAGGTTTAACTGAGTTTGCTCCATCACTTGAAAAAGAACATAGGATAGCAAAAAAAATTAAAAGATTTCTTGCCATGGGGTGCACAGAGTCAGTATTTCTTTACCCTAAAAATGAAAACATATGCCTGGACATCCTAAAAATTAATCCAAGAGTAATAAAATTGTCCATTTTTATAGGTTTTTAAAATTTTAAATTCTGATTAAATATATAATATAAAATTTACCATCTTAATCATTTTTAAGTATACTGTTTGGTAGGGTTCATTGTATTCATATTGTTGTACAATGGATTTCCAGGATTTTCATTTTGTAAAACTGAAACTCTCCGTCTATTAAATAACAGAATTTTTTTTATTTTTAAACTAACTCTCCCAAATCAGCTGTGAAGAGGAAACTATTTCTCAGACTACAGTAGAACATTTTAATGATCCATGTAAACACACAGCCCAGGTATGTTCTTAAATAGGCTCACTCACATGATGGATTTCTGAGACACTGTCATGGTTTATTACTGTAATTGGGTTCTTCATTTCAGTATTCATTTTGTATCACTTTTTGCCAACATATAATTCTCTAGCATATATAAAACAACCATTGTGAAGTTACTCTGTGGGGATGTGCCCATGAACACAACAGTCCAATATGCAGTATCACAGCAGCATGATCAGTGAAACTGCTGTTGCCTTAAAGATTTCCTAGAAAGCACCACCACAGAAAGAACAACAGGGAACGGCCTTTTGTGCCTCCTTCTTATTTACTGGATTCTCTCTTTCAGTACAAATACAAAGAAGCATATCGTAAACAGTTGGGTCACCACATTGGTGCCCGAGCAGTACATGATGACCCCAAGATAATGTGGTCCCTCCACATTGCCAAAGTGCAGAGTGACCGTGAGTACAAGAAAGAATTTGAGAAATACAAGACAAGGTACAGCAGCCCAGTGGACATGCTTGGTATCGTTTTGGCCAAGAAGTGTCAGACCTTGGTCAGCGACGTGGACTATAAACATCCTCTTCATGAATGGATCTGCCTGCCTGACCAGAATGACATCATTCATGCACGGAAAGCCTATGACCTACAGAGTGACGTGAGTTTTCTTGATATTAGCTCTGAGTGTTTAAAGCGGGTCTGAAACGTGTCTGCGGGTTCTGGCTAGTGCCAGTGAAGTGCAATTTGTTTGTATATTTCAAACAATTTACAATTAAGTGTCAGAAAGGACTTTTCCCCTGGAGGACCTACAATTTGTTTTCTTCTCCAAAAGTCGTCTGTAGGAGAGGAAATAAGGTAAATATTATCAGTTCTATACAGGTATAAGTCTTCGTAGGGATTCAGGCTTCCTTTGTCTGAATCGGATGAAATTTAACCCTTAAAGATACATCACTGCAAACTTTTGGCAAAGGAGGTAAAAAGTGTGTGTGTGTGTTGGCAGAGGGTAGTATGGAGACAGTAAGAGGGAAAGCATATTATGCTGTTATTTTAATTTACATTTTACACTTACTAATGGGAAAATTCTGTCATTCCCATGTTTTTCAAAATCAGTCCAGTCATCTAATCCTTATTCATCATGTCCTATTGAGAGTAAAATAAAATGAACAATTAGGTAAATACCAAACATATCTCTGCAACATCACATTTCCTTTATACATTTGAAATTTTGTGATTTTTGAAGATGGAAATAACAGTGAGAATTTTTTGATTGCAGTACTCACACATCATCAGTCTGAGTACGTGGTTTTATTTGGAGCTATTAGAATACATTTTTCAAGGTTAAGAAAGCATGCTCCTGTGTAAAAATCTTGTATTGCTCTCATAGGCAGCACCATGTCTTTTACTTTAAAAAAAACCATTCTTGGTGTACTCCTCTGTACCCAAAAAATGCTCAGGAAAAAAAAATACGCTTAGTATTCAATAATGTTTGTAGTGTTAGGATTCAATAATGTGTGTAGACCGGGCGTGGTGGCTCAAGCCTGTAATCCCAGCACTTTGGGAGGCCTGAGGCGGGTGGATCACGAGGTCAAAAGATCGAGACCATCCTGGTCAACGTAGTGAAACCCCGTCTCTACTAAAAATACAAAAAATTAGCTGGGCATGGTGGCGCATGCCTGTAATCCCAGCTACTCAGGAGGCTGAGGCAGGAGAATTGCCTGAACCCAGGAGGCAGAGGTTGCAGTGAGCCGAGATCGCGCCATTGCACTCCAGCCTGGGTAACAAGAGCAAAACTCCGTCTCAAAAAAAAAAAAAAAAAAAAAAAAATGTGTGTAGTGAGTGACTGACTATGCTGGGAATCGTATCTATTCAGTACTTTTGTATTTCTCTAGGATAACCCATTTTGTAACTATGAATTTGAAATGCTAATTAATAAATGTGTTTCTTATCTGTTCATCTGCAGAATTTGTATAAGTCAGACCTTGAATGGATGAAAGGCATTGGCTGGGTTCCGATTGGTTCCTTGGAAGTTGTTAGGGCCAAGAGAGCTGCAGAAATACTTAGTGATAATATCTATCGTCAGCATCCAGACACACTGAAATTTACCAGTATAACGGACACTCCAGAGCAGGTGCTGGCAAAAAGCAATGCTATAAACATGAATAAGGTGAGTCTTCGATCCTCACTGTTAGATACCGAAAGTTACCATAGAACATTGTAAAAATACTGATGCATTATTGCAGTTTAAAGATTATGATAAGAATCATGATACCTTTTAAAATGATTTTTCCCACTATAATGCCATAGTTACTTAGTGATATCTCAAAATATTAAACCAATGTTAAAAGTACTGTGTGCTTCTGATTGGAATAGTAAGTTGTTAAAAAAATAATGTGTGCTATAACTCTTTCTTAGAAATTATTTTAAATACTTCAATCCTATTATACTTTTCATAACTGACAAGTCCTTTAACGGTTAAAGTATTAGATTCTTGAAAGAATTTTAATAAGAAACAAAGGTAAGGAATTCATGTAGTTTTAATAATTTTATTTCTACCTTGAATACAAGAAAGACGACTGGCACATAATCAAAAGAATAAAGTCTGTGAACACCAAAATATTTTTTCTTATTTTTCTATGTAGCGCTTATATACTGAAGCCTGGGACAATGACAAGAAAACTATTCATGTCATGCCTGATACACCAGAAATTATGTTAGCCAAACTCAACCGAATAAACTACAGTGACGTAAGTAAACTGTTATCTTGGAATGAACAGAAAGGAGAAAATGAACTATTATAGCTGTTTTCTTAGGAAAATGTTTTGACTAATTTATTACACATACTCCAAACTACCCTTTTCAGTAGAAGAAATAGTTCTCGCTTGATTCAATTTTAAGCTTTGTGGTGGGTCCACAGAGGAGGCTACCACTTTATTAACAGGTTCTCAGGAACCGCATGATTATGAATAAATATTCCCGTAGGAATTATACTTTTAAAGCCTCCCCTTACAGGTCAGTGTGGATAGCAAGTCATTCTTTTTTTCAGCTGCTAGTGAGTAGGCAAGGAGTGGGTTGGGATCTGGTGAGTTAGTAAGCCACATATTATTTTGCTGCTTCAATAGGCTCTGATAATCATTTGACGTTAACCTGCAAACATTTTTCCAGGCATTTCTGCCCAAACTAACATTTTCATAAGGGGAATGATCCTGAAATCCCAGTCCACAAATGGATCATTGTCTAATAGTCCACAGCAAAATAAGAAAAAATAAGCACAAGGCATTGTTTTTCATAAAACTAAATTATATTTTAAAATATTGTCCTTCTTTAGTATTATGATGGCCTGTCTTTTATATTATGATGACAATAATAAATAGTGTTTTGCTTTGTTCTGTTTTTTTGTTTTGTTTAAGACATAGTTTCACTCTGTCACCCAGACTAGAGTATAGTGGCACAATTTTGGCTCACTGCAACCTCTGCCTCCTAGGTTCAAGCAATTCTCCTGCCTCAGCCTCCTGAGTAGCTGGGATTACAGGTGCATACCACCATGCCCAGCTAATTGTTGTATTTTTAGTGGAGACAGGGTTTCACCATGTTAGCCAGGCTAGTCTCTTCTCAAACTCATGACCTCAAATGATCTCCCCACCTCGACCTCCCAAAGGGCTGGGATTACAAGTGTGAACCACCATGCCTGGCCAATAAATAATTTTTTTTACATCTGTTTGTTTGGCAAATAAAATTTTGTCAACCAAATGTTGATTTTTTCCCCACATTTTATGTTGAAATTCACAAGTCAATAAAAATCCCGAAGTTTGGAACATGTGCCTTAAAAATCCTTAAGCACCCATGAGACAAAGCTATCTATAAATCCACCCTAATGCTTGACTTTGTGGATTATGTCTGTAGTTTAAACGAGGACAGAGAAAATATAATAAACAGATTCCTTTTTTATGGAAGGAGTAATGAATAATTACTTTCTTTTTTACAGAAACTCTATAAACTTGCTTTGGAGGAGTCCAGAAAGGAAGGCTATGACTTGCGTCTGGATGCCATTCCAATCCAAGCAGCCAAGGCTTCAAGAGATATTGCTAGTGATGTAAGTGGATGTTTTTGGAAAAGACATCTCTTACTCAAAGATGTCGACAAACAAAAGCTTTTAGAGTTTTTCTTGCCAGAAATTTAGTTACCCCTACAAGTCTCAATTCCCTTTAGTGATTTTCCCATTTACAGAATTGTAAATGGAAAAAAGAAAAGCACGAAATTCTAGACCCGATATACCTGTCAGTCAATCAAAAATAGAGACATGCTATTTTTAAAAGAGTTTTTTATGGACACCAAAAATGGGTTCATATTTTTGAGCCTCAGAAGTTGGATACTCTGTCTCCAAAAAGAAAAAAAAAAATAGGAAATTGAGCAGCAGTTGACCTAGATGTTTGTGAAGTTAAAGGGATTAATTTAATCCCTTTAAATAACATGTGGGAAACAGCCAATATACATGTAAATTCTTTCTTACTACTTCTGTCTATTCTGGCATTAAAAGAAAACTAGATGGGCATGTTTTAGAGATTTGTTTTGTCCTTCGTAACTCCTAATTAGTGAGATGTCCCTCACTGGACACAACAGATGGTGAAGTAAGCAAGGCTTTTTCTCAGCACCCACTTGCCTCTTCTCTACTTTTTTCTTCACATGCGAAACACCTCCTAAGGGTGCCTAGTGTCCTTCATTCTACAACAAGCCTACTTAGGACTCAAATCCAGACATTCCGTCCTCTGGAAGGGCCTCATGCCTTACACATATGCTTCATTCCTTCTGTAAACCAAAAACTATCTGAGACAGATCTCGAATCAATTTAGAAGTTCATTTTGCCATCGTTAAGGATAGACACCCTATTATCAAAAGTTTTCTTGCTGTTAACCAGGAGAAGCCCACACCATGATCGTTTCAGGGTGAAATGGACTATAATGTGTTATTCTTGAATCTTAAAGGATAGATAAACTGACTCACAGTGAAAGCTACAGTGATGTTGACAGGCTAATAAGGGGGCCATTTCCTGGCGACACATAAACTCCATCTAAATGTAACACATATCCTTGACTGAGATGTCTATTATAAGTTCTAATAAGGGAAATATTCTAAAATATTATTAATGTCAAACAGTTTTGGGAAAACAACCATGTCTTTAAGTAGATGCTCCATTAGATTGTGTAATATATTTACCTCTACTTGTTAAGGAATCAAATGTAAACTAAGTAATGTAGTATAATGAGGAGGAAAAATATTAAGAACGAGAAGCTCTTCATTCCAGGCTCATGCTGCCACCTGCTTGTGGTGTGACTGTACATATCACTAAACCTCTGCTAGGTTTAGATTTTGACTTTTAAAAATAGGGTTGATGGTATTCACCTTTCCCCTTTGTGATAGTGATGGGGAAAAGAAAAAGAAACAATGTGTGTGTGAACCTATGAAACCTAAGTATATAAGATGTTCTTGTCATTAGACTCATATCTCTTTTCTTTTTTTAGTACAAGTACAAGGAAGGCTACCGCAAACAGCTCGGCCACCACATTGGGGCCCGGAACATTAAGGATGATCCCAAGATGATGTGGTCCATCCATGCAGCCAAGATCCAGAGTGACAGGGAGTACAAGAAGGACTTTGAGAAGTGGAAGACCAAGTTCAGCAGCCCAGTGGATATGCTGGGGGTGGTGCTGGCCAAGAAGTGCCAGATCCTCGTAAGCGACATAGACTACAAGCACCCCCTGCATGAATGGACCTGCCTGCCTGATCAGAACGACGTCATTCAAGCTCGGAAGGCCTATGACCTGCAGAGTGATGTGAGTGGCTCTAACAATCTTTAGTCAAGGTTTAGAAAAGCATTTCAACTCTTTTGTGCCATAGAATCTTTCCAGTCTGGTGAAACCTACAGACAACTCTTTAGGATAATGTTCTCAAATGCACAAAATAAAATATGTTTTTAGTTTCAAACAAAACCAATCATATTGAAATATCATTATCAAAGTATTAAACCAAACCTGTAATGTGCTTTTTATTAATACATTAAGTAAAAAGTTCTAGCAGTGACTGTAACAACTAATTTCAAAGAAGTGATGAGCATAAATATTTCAAGACATCAGCAACAATTCTTTATTAGTTGGTTCTCACATTGCTGTAAAGAACTATGTGAGACTGGGTAATTTATGAAGAAAAGAGGTTTAATTGCCGCACAGTTCCATGGGATGTTCCAGAAGCATGGCTGGGGAGGCCTCAGGAAACGTACAATCATGGCGGAAGGCGAAGGGGAAGCAGGCACATCTTTACATGGCTGAGCAGGAGAGAGAGAGCAAAGGGGGATGTGCTACACAATTTTAAACACCCTGATCTCATGAGAACTCACTATCACAAGAACGGCAAGGGAAAAATCAACCCCCATGATCCAGTCACCTCCCACCAGGCCCCTCATCCAACATTGAGGTTTACAATTCAACTTGAGATCTGGATGAAGATGCAGAACCAAACTGTATTAAACTATAATAGGACATAAAAAGATTTGAGATTTCTATAGGTGACAAAGTCAGCTGTAGTAGCAATACTACTGTAATCTATTGTTTATACTTATAATGATTGAAATGCTTTATTTCAGTTACAGGTTAATGAAAATGAGGATGTTATATATTTTTCCTATCCAAGTTCACTGATGCCAAGTTAAGAATTCCTGTTTTAAACAACCTAATTTTCCAAATGAATTGATTGCATTATAATTATGTGTCTTTTTAATTCATAGGATATATCTATTATAACTTTTGAATGGAAATTTAAAACTGAATTATACATATTGAGACATTTTTTCTAAGAAACTTGAAAACAGTAACTCTATAAATATTTAACATTATTTCATCTTCAGGCTATTTACAAATCTGATCTTGAGTGGCTGAGAGGCATTGGATGGGTTCCCATTGGCTCTGTAGAAGTCGAGAAGGTGAAGAGGGCTGGAGAAATTCTGAGTGAAAGGAAGTACCGCCAGCCTGCAGACCAGCTCAAATTCACATGCATTACAGACACTCCAGAAATTGTCCTCGCAAAGAATAATGCCCTGACCATGAGCAAGGTGAGTCTCCAGCTGTTTCCTGTTGCCAGAAACATACCTTCCACAGATTTGGTTCATAAAGTAGGAAATTCTCTAAGGGTCCCCTGAGAAAGGAGATGTCTTAGGCCTAATTCTCATGTAGACCTTTAACAGAGAATCTGCTTGAATTCAAGGTGACCCTGTGTGCTCTTCTCAACACACTGCCCCCTAATTCTCTATGTGCATGTGGGAACAGAGCCTGGGATGATTTCCCTGGAGTGATGCACCCACCCTTCTGAGCAGTGACCTGGAGACATCACAAATACATTACCTTACCTTGCACATTCTCCTAGGCAGAACAGACTCAGGCCACTGATGTGTCTTTAGCCATCTGGTAAGGAATATAAGCCATTTACATTTCATTCTGAGTGCTGTGAAACACATACTGTTTCATAGCAGTGCTGGTATACATTAAAATTGGTTGCTGGGTTTGCGCCTCCACATTAGGTTATGGAAATACACTTTTGAAAGCTAGCTGCTATTTCTGCTTTATTTTATTACACAAGATAGATGATCATTTGTTTCATCCAAAGTTCTATCGGTCTCTTTATTTTTATCCAATGAGTCAGCCCTTAGTATGCATATTTTAGATTGACTTGAACTTGAATTCTCCCACACCTGCCTGGAAGCCTTCCAGTCATTAGGCTAGTATAACTGAGTGCTCAGTGCAGAATATGAAAGTGGCTTCAGACAGCAAACTCCAGAGTTTTGGTATACGACTCTAGAAACTCTTTTATACTACATACATCAACAGCAACCACAGTGATAACAGCAATAGGAATCACCATAAAAATCGCTGAGTATCTGCTATGACTTGGCCATTTTATATATGTTATGGGTCATCTTCAAAAAATACTCAATAAAAAAGAATGATTATCCTCCTCTCAGAAAGGAGGAATATGAGGAGTATCTCTGATACCTTTCTCAGGATCATACAGCTTGGAAATAGTAGAGTTGGGTTTGCACTTGGGATGGACTCTGAAGTCTAGGGATTTCTTGTCTCATGGTTCTATAACTGAGCTCCATCTCTGGATGTCTGAATACGCTTGTGATTCACTGGATGAAAAGAATTAACAGCCACCATTATATTGCTTCATATTAATTATGAAACCATTATACAGCTATTTAAATTTTGTTATGTTTTATTTTTCCCATGACCTTTTTGCTTCCCTCACCTCCCAAAAGCATTAGAAGGGGTTATTTTATAGTTAAATGTGAGTTAAATTTGTTAATCACTGTAATGATGTGATTGGCTTTAACAAAAACTCTTACTCTCCCTCTCCCCCACCCCATCCCACCCCACCCTGCCCTGTAGCATTTATACACAGAAGCTTGGGATGCTGACAAAGCCTCCATCCACGTGATGCCAGACACCCCAGAAATCCTGCTGGCCAAGAGCAATTCTGCCAATATCAGCCAAGTAAGGGATTTCCTAATCGTTGCTTAAACATTTCTAAGAATAATTAAAATGCTTTTTCCACCTTAACAATTTCATTTCTGGAATTGGCCTATTACCTTTCTCAAACACTTTTATTTTCTGTCATCTATTATCTCTTCCCTAGAAACTTTACACCAAGGGATGGGATGAATCAAAGATGAAGGACTATGATCTGAGAGCGGATGCTATTTCCATCAAAAGTGCCAAGGCCTCCAGGGACATTGCCAGTGACGTGAGTACTTCCATCTAACTCTCTCTGTGGTCTCCACCAAGGTGAACAACCCAGAGGGTTGCTGGAAGACCACGCTCTATAGTTACTGCCACACGTACCTTCCAGTCCTACCTTCTACCTCCCAAGACCTTTCCCTTTGTTGTTAAAAGAGAATAAAAATACGTTTTGGCATTATAGTTAGAGTTACTGCAGGGAAAGTTTCCACCAATGAAGATATATGATTACATTATAATTATTTTTATAATGATATAAAACATCACTTTTAAAAATAATAATTCAGAGATGCCAAAATGTTTGTAATATAAAATTCTTGTCCATATCATGTTATCTGCAATTGTCAGCATGAGCATGGTTTTAAAACAGGATGTCTACACTTGTATTTCTGGTATTTTAGTACAAATACAAGGAAGCGTATGAGAAACAGAAAGGCCACCACATTGGAGCCCAGAGCATTGAAGATGATCCCAAGATTATGTGTGCCATACATGCAGGAAAAATTCAAAGTGAAAGGGAGTACAAGAAGGAATTCCAGAAGTGGAAGACCAAGTTCTCTAGCCCCGTGGACATGCTGGGCATCTTGCTGGCCAAGAAATGTCAGACGCTGGTCAGTGACATTGATTATCGCAATTACCTGCATTACTGGACATGCATGCCTGATCAAAACGACATTATCCAAGCAAAGAAGGCCTATGACCTGCAGAGTGATGTACGTAAGATGAATTTTGGGAAAGGGGGAAGGGGAAGACGAAGATTTGTTAATTGTCCTGTCAGTGCCGCTGTGGACAAGCCCCTGGGCTGTGTACTGCACAAACCTGAGGGCAGGGGTGGGGGGTTACCGTTTACATTATTTAATATAAAATCCATCTGTAGTAGTTATGTTGTGAGAAACAAAAATAGAGATGAGATGAGGTCATCTCTATTAGTGAGGTCATGTCCTTTATTCCCTAGCCCAGTTTAGACATTTTTTTCCATGTCATTTGTAGCTTCTGGCAATGAAAACATAATTTCAGACAAACATAAATGATCTGAATGTTTTTAAAAGAATTGCTGCTATTATGCTAGATCCAAAACACTAAACAGCATTTTCTTGGATCAATTATCACAGGATTAAAATAGAATTTAATGCAGCAAAATTTCCCTTAAAAATTTTCAATTATAAAATTTTTTGAAATATCAACTATATCATGGAATGCAGCATTATTACTATATATTATTATTCATGGCTAGTATAAATAATTATGTTTTTACGAATTACTTCTGTCATCAATATTAAAAACCCTGAATCACGTGAGATCTCAGGTCTTACTTTTTGGAAGTGTAATCTCTGCTTATCCTCCCTTCAACCCCATGTGCTTTATTTTTCAGCTAAGGGGTGGTATGTCTAACACTTGAAATGGTATTTTTGTCTGACATCTTTATAGAATGTATATAAGGCAGACCTGGAGTGGATGCGTGGCATCGGTTGGATGCCAGAAGGCTCAGTGGAAATGAACAGAGTGAAGGTTGCTCAAGACCTCCTGAATGAAAGACTCTATAGGACACGTCCAGAAGCTTTGTCATTCACCAGCATTGTTGACACTCCAGAAGTTGTCCTGGCAAAAGCCAATTCTCTGCAAATAAGTGAGGTAAGAACCATCCTACTATCAAGCTTTCCTGGTTCTGGATTCTTTTTCCCAATGATACCACCCAAACTGAGCATGTAGACCAGACTTCTTCAAAGAATTTTAGTGAGAGGAGCAACTCTAAGAATGTCTTCACTAGTTCATGCCTGTAATCCCAGTACTTTGGGATCACGAGGTCAGAAGATCGAGACCATCCTGGCCAACATGGTGAAACCCGTCTCTGCTAAAAATACAAAAATTAGCTGGGCATGGTGGCACATGCCTATAATTGCAGCTAATTGAGAGGCTGAGGCAAGAGAATCACTTAAAGCAGGAGTCAGAGGTTGCAGTGAGCCAAGCCGAGATGGTCCCGCTGCACTCCAGCCTGGTGACATAGCAAGACTTTGTCTTAAAAAAAAAAAAAAAAAAGAATGTCTTAACTCGTGAAGATATATTGAAAATAAAACTCTGACAAACACCAACATGCCTTTTTTTCTACCACACGTACACACTTTGAAGTACTGCAATGAAAATGTCACTCCATTACAACTCAGGAACACAAATACTTGTTGACATCGTATTAAATACTAAGACATGTAGTGTCATGCTACATAATAAATAACATTGTATCAGTCCAGATTCTCTAGAGAAACAGAACCGATAGGATATGTGTGTGTGTGTGTGTGTGTGTGTGTGTGTGCAAACACACACACACAGAAAGAGAGAGGTAGACTTTAAGAAACTGGCTCATGAGATAGTACAGGCTGGCAAGTCTGAAGTCTGCAGGGTCGGCCAGCAGGCTGGAGACTGCGGGCTGTGTTGCAATTCAAGCCCAAAGGCCGTCTGCTGGGGAGGTTCATCTTGTCTATCAAGGTCTTCAACTAATTAGATGAGGCTCACCCACATCTGATTTAAATGTTAACTTCATTTTATTGATATTATCACAGAAACACCTAAAATAATGTTAGACTAAATATCTGGGTACTGTGCCCCAGCCAAGTTGACACATAAAATTAACTATCACAAACATATGTAAAAGCATTTTTCCAGATTGAATAGTTGCTAAGGCTTAATGTTTCAGATACTGATTTCCCATTTCCCTTCTCTCCACAGAAACTGTATCAAGAAGCCTGGAATAAAGATAAAGCCAACATCAGCATTCCTTCCGATACTCCGGTGATGCTGCAAGCCCAAATCAATGCCTTGCAAATCAGTAATGTAAGTGGCATGAACATGAAGTGCAAAAGCCTTTATGGGTAATATCTGTCTGCTCATGGAGTGTGCTGTAACAGACAAATTACCTACGTCGGAATGTTTGTGGCTTTTGGTGCTAGACATTTTCTTTGGAGCTACCAGTCCCAATGTAATATGAATGGAATTTCTCTCTTTTAAATGTGTGGTTAGATACAAGGCTGGGTGCCTAGACTGCAGGAGTTAGAACACCTGAATCCCTTTTGTGCCCTCCTTCACTCTAAACAGTCTTTGTTATCATCTTGGGTTTTTTGATTGATCCAGGACTTTTTCATTTGACATTTCAAGGCCATAGGAAAGACAAAAGACCATTTTTTAATTACATCCAAACAGTAGGTGATGTATGGTATCTATGTCACAACGCTTTAGCAGAAACTTCTGAAAAGTCAAAGGGCAAAATTGGTAGAATAATCTTATCAGATCTTCTCTGGTACCTGATAAAGTTCTCTGGCTTTCCCATTGATCCTTAGGTTCCATGTATGTGCTGTGGGATATTTTCAAATGCATACCATATTGTAATGGATGTAAATATTCAGACATTAATAGAGTTTGATGCTTAGCTTTAAAATTTTAACCAGAAATATTCTATACACCACAAAGGAAATAGCCAACAATTAAAAGAACCCAGAAATGAATGCTTTTTTCTTATACTGACTATATTATGAATTACATTATGATAAATTTGAGTATATTTGCTTATTTTCCCATTCATGTAAACAAACCTATATTTTCCCTCTATAGAAACTCTACCAAAAAGACTGGAATGAGGCCAAGCAGAAAGGCTACGACATAAGGGCAGATGCCATTGAAATTAAGCACGCCAAAGCCTCCAGAGAAATTGCCAGCGAGGTATGCTTCCTTCTGTTTCCTTGTAGTTTTTCTCCTCTATAAAACAAGCAGGCAGACTATTTTTCAAGAATTTTGTGTTTAAAAAAAAATCTGTGCAAATAATTGCATCTCATCCCGTGCTAGAAGCTTTCTCTATTTGAAAATATTAAAGTGGAATGGAAAACATTAAAGTTAGCATAGATGAGATATATGTGTAAACTTACTTTGATGCTGTTACAAAGTAGAAGTAAAACATTATGAAGAGTCTGTATGAAATTCTTGGGAAAATTCAGGACCCAATACAATGTCATTTTGTCCCTAAAATATTTCTAACATTCTCCATAAATATAAATCACAGATAATAGTTTCACATAAGACTTAAGACTGATATCACATTTAAATACAAGATTTTATACTGGAGACTTATGTAGAATACTCTTAGTAATGTTTTGAAGTTCATTTAATTCTAAGTTTAAAACTTACCAGTGGTCAAAATAATTATGCTACTAGCTGGGCATGGTGGCTCACGCCTGCAATCCCAGCACTTCATGAGGCTGAGGTGGGTGTATCACCTGAGGTCAGGAGTTCAAGACCAGCCTGGCCAACATGGTAAAACCCTATCTCTGCTAAAAAAATTAAAAATAAAAATAAAGGGCTGCGTGTGGTGACAGGAGCCTGTAATCCCAGCTACTCAGGAGGCCGAGGCAGGAGAATGGCTTGAACCCGGGAGGCAGAGAGTGCAGTGAGCAGAGATCGTGCCATTGCACTCCAGCCTGGGCAACAAGAGTGAAACTGCGTTTCAAAAAAATAAAAATAAAATAATTATGCTACCAAGTCCACCCTCCCCACAGCTCCAACTCTTTAGGCCACCTTGTTCCCTTTATCTGAGTTCTTCTCTGCTTTTTGTCTCATGTATCCAGTTGTTTCCTCCTCCTTATTCTTTATTTTTGTATAACCATAGCTGGTCCATATTATCACATTACCGCCTGCTTTATTCCCAGTTTTCTCTCTCTGTGTTCAAACTTGCCTGTGTTATCCAAACAAAGGAAAGAAGCAGAAACCGTCTTATACTAGTCCTAAGACACTCATCAGACAAAAACTCTTGTCCACAGAACATTTGTTTTTATCTTCTGATTCAAGCCAACGATCTTGCTTTCCATCCTTGTAACATGTGTCTTTCTTACCTGTTTCCAAGATCACACACATATGACCTCTCCCCACCTAAGGTTCCTTCAGTACTTATAGGAGATCATTTGACCTAATGTTGCACTTGTCAGGGAACCTTGGTGATGGAGATTATTACATGTGCCTTGTTTTCCCCATCTGGAATATATGTTAATAATAGTATCTACCTCATAGACACATTGTGAGGATTAACTGTGATTGTAATTGCCACTGGTCAATGATTTTTGACCGAAAAACACGGTAGTTTCATATGGATCTACCCAACACATGTGAAGTAGTCGTAATAGTGTCTGGCATAGAGTAATTACTTAGTAAATGTTAGCTACTGTTTTTATTACTCTTGTTCACCACACCATCTCCCTCCTGATTTACTCATGTCCTCTCTGAAACTACCTAAAATAGTATTACCTAACTTCTTTAAAGTGAACTGAAATATATAACGACTGCCAGTGTTGAGCCAATTTATACTAAGGCTAAGAAATCATTCTGAAACCATTTAAAGAAGCCCCTCTTAATGTATTATTTCTGTATGTATTTTTTATCTGATTTCTTACAACTTTAGTACAAATACAAAGAAGGTTATCGTAAGCAACTGGGCCACCACGTGGGTTTCCGCACCCTACAAGATGACCCCAAGTTGGTATGGTCTATACATGCTGCCAAGATCCAGAGTGACAGAGAATATAAGAAAGCTTATGAGAAGTCTAAAGGAATTCACAACACACCGTTGGACATGATGTCAATTGTTCAAGCCAAGAAATGCCAGGTCCTAGTTAGCGACGTTGATTATCGCAATTATCTGCACCAGTGGACATGTCTGCCAGATCAGAATGATGTGATC